AAGTAACTGGAGATATGTACAAAAGTTCAAATGTAACTTTGTTTTAGTGGTTCCACAATCTTGTATCCAATTGGGCAATGCCTCCAAATTTAATCATACAAGCCAAAATGATTGAAAATCTCATAAGGACCTTTAGATCCAAGTTACTAAGATCTAGCATTTGTAATCAGTTGAGCCTTGATATGCATCTCTTTACGACATATAGATTGTTGATCTCAACTTCTATAGGAACATATTTACTGTCCAAATCGAAAATTATAGTTCTTTCCATTTTCTCCATATGGAGTAAAAATTCGGCATCTTCTTCCATTTCCTTGGACAAATCCTTTTGAGATATTGACACATGTAAATCCTCATGGATGAGTCGGAGGTAAGAAAATTTAGAGACAAGTATTATACATGTACCATTGCGATTATTCTAAATCTTGATTGAAGTCAACAAGAGCAAGATAATATACTCATCAAGTATGATCTTTGGGACACAAGTGATGTTGGACCAATACTCACCTTCTTCCTTTTGGCATCTTATAGTTAAATGACAGCTTCTAATCACCAAATGAGATGAATGCCCTTAGGTAAAGCAACCAAAATAGGGACATCCTATAATCTTTATTTTTGGAGCAAGTTGAAGTTTTGAAACCAGTATGGAGGCGACCATAGATTGATACAAATGCCAAAATATAACCTTTTCAGAGACTCCCATCAAATTTAGCTTTGTGGATCTATAGATTACCAAACTTTCCAATGTGATCATGTTACAAGATGTTAAGGATTCTAAGTGTTGACAGTTCTCAATGGCCATCATTGGAAAGTTAGTGAGGTATCGCATCCCTTCTCCCAAAGAAACATTCTCCTTCTTATCACCTTAACCAATGTGAGTGTCCTTCAAATGGATTATCATCTTTGCTTTATCTTTATCTCTCCTGATCACATTTAGGGCGTGCACAAAAGAGTCGGTCTCCCTTTCCATGGCAGTCATGCCAATCTACAGCTTGTTCATAACATGTGAATTGGTATAACATTGTGCGAACATACCCAAATTCTTTTTTATTGTATGCATATCCATTTCAAAACGAATTAAAAAGTAATCGGTAGTTCACCCTACCCTTAAATAGTCCATGAACTCTAGTCTAATCTAGCTCAAATGAATGATATAACTTATTTTCATACCAAATGTCATAATTTAATACAAAAGCCCAAATGTAACGTTTTTAGATTGGCTTCATAGTCTTGTAGCCAATGGGGTAAGGCCTCCAAATTTAATCATACAAGCAAAAATGATCAAAAACCTCGTAAGTACCTTAAGAGCCAACTTACTAAGATCTACCACCCGAAAGCAGTTGAGTTGTTAGATCCATCTCTTTATAAAAGATAGATTGTCGATCTCAACTTCTATAGGAACATATTTACTATCTAAATATGAAATTAGAATGGTTCTTAATTTTTCCAAATGGAGTAAGAATTCAAGGTCTTCCATTTCCTTATACAAGACCTTTTGAGATATTGACACATGTGAATCATCATAAAGGAATTAGAAGGACGAAAATTTAGAGACGAGTATTATACATGTGTCATTGAGATTTGTAAATCATGAACGAAGTCAACAAGAACAAGATAATATACTCATCAAATATGATCTTTGCAACATGAGCGATGTTGGGCCAATACTTATCATCTTCCTTTTGGCATCTTATAGTTAAAGGATAGCTTTTAATTTCTAACTCTCTCTTTGCGATGAGGAGATGAATGCCCTCGGGAAAAGCAACCAAATTAGGGATATTCTATAATCTTTAGTTTTTTGAGCAACTTTTTGTGTTAGTGAGTAATCAGAGATAGGTACCAAAACTCAAGTGTAACCTTTTTAGAGTGGTTCCATAATCTTGTAGCCAATTGAGAAATGCCTCTAAATTTAATCATACAAGCCAGAATGATCGAATACCTCGTAGGTACCTTAAGAGACAAATTACTAAAATCTAACACCCGTAAAGAGTTGAGTTGTTAGATCCATCTCTTTATAAAAGATAGATTGTTGATCCCAACTTTTATAGGAACTTTGTACTATCCAAATATGAAATTAGAATTGTTCTCAATTTCTCCAAATGGAGTAAGAATTCAGGTCTTCTTTCATTTTCTTGAACATGTCTTTTTGAGATATTGACACATGTGAATTATCATAGAGGAGTCAGAGGGACGAAAATTTAGAGACGTGTATTATACTTGTGCCATTGAGATTTCTAAATCATGATAATATACTCATTAAGTATGTTCCTTGCAACGTGAGTGATGTTGGACGAATAATCACCTTCTTCCTTTTGGCATCTTATACTTAAAGGATAGCTTTTAATCTCCAAACAAGATGAATGCCCTCGAGTAAAGCAACCAAAAAGGCAACCTATAATCCTTAGTTTTGGAGCAAGTTGAAGTTTTGAAACTAGTACATAAATAATCAGATAGGTACCCAAATATAAATTTTTTAGAGACTCATATCAGATTTAGCTTTATGGATATATGGACTACTGAATGTGGTCATGTTACAAGATGGCAAAGATTCTAAGTTTTGACAGTTCACAATGGCCAACATTCGAAGGTTAGTGAGGTATCGCATCCTTTCACCCAAAGAAACATTCTCGTTCTCATCACCTTGACCAGTATGAGTGTCCTTAAGATAGGTTATCATATTTTATTTATATTTATCTCTCCCAATCACATCTAGGGCGTGCACAAAAGAGTAGGTCTCCTTCTCCATGGCAATGTCATGCCAATCTACAGCTCGTTCAGACATATTGAACTAAGCTTTTGCAACTGCAACTTACCCAACCTTTGAACTAGCTTTTGAACCAACCTTTCTCTCTTTGATTCCCTATTTTGTGCTTTCCAGACTAAACGCAGCACTCGACCAGTCGTGAATTGCAACATACTGTCCTTTGATGATACTACCTCTGGGTTGAGCCCCTTTGTAGTTGTCTCTGTCATACATTCAAATTCGTTGGCGAGAACATCATCCATGTCATAGCAAGATCTTCGAGCTTTCCACCTGTCCACCCCCCCCCCCGCGCACATGAGACTCTACCCTTTTATTTCCCATATACATTTATGAGAGCCTTTGCGATGTGCTAAGGTTTCCTGAGAGCTTGATGCACGTTTGACATCCAATGACAAGTAAATCTTCTTCGGTACACACATGGCAAGCAAGCCGTTCCACACACTTTCTCTGCAAAATTCAAAGGACAAGAGGCATAGTGGATTTGGAGGAAAGTGAGTTCGTTTTGTGTATCATTGTTAGTTATTGGTGCCTAATGCTACTTTTTTTCCCTTTCTTCTCATTTGGACATAGGAGAATAATAAGCCCCAGCACGACACACAGCTGCCCCCGCTCTTTCCCCCCCCCCCCCGTGTTCCTCATGGATTCTTTGATACCTACTTGGATTCGTAATATCATCCAAACACACAGGAAAGCACAAATCTTGTTACAAAAAAGGCCCCACAATACAATTTGTTACACAAAAACCGAATTGTTGGTGAGAAAAAAATGAAAGTGGCACATGGGACCCATCATGATCGGCAACCTCACCAACCTTCGTCGGCGCACTTGTAAGGAGGGGAGACCTAGAGAGAGAGATAGAGCTTCTTTTCTTTTAAGGTGTCACCACCACTGAAGAAATCAAAAATTTTGCCGGGGGAAGATAAATTATCGTGTCAAATAGAATACCCTTTCCCTTTTTCCTATAAAGGGGTAAAATGAAGAATTCAAGTTGGTGGTGGTTTTTTTAAGGTCAAGAAACACTTTGATAGAAAGCCATTTAGTCTTTCAAAATCAACATGAGAGAGAAAACTCATTTTGGGTTCAGCTAATGTATGAGTGTATTCTCTCTCAGCAGCCATTTACCTACTCGAACGTCTTACAAAGAAAACGTCAAATAATAGAAAAGGAGAATTTTCTAAGTATGAAGAAGCTCTGTATACACATATATCAAGTGATATTTCTAAAGATTCAAAAAAGAAATCAATTTTTTTTTTTTATTTAAAACAACTTAATCAACGTCTAGTTCGTGATATTTCTAGGTTTTGTCTTTAAGAATTCTGTGGAGCTTAAGATGGTATATATCTCTCTACTCGCATTTTTGTTATGTTAGTATCGTCACACATCACACACATCCTATCAAATTAGTTCTTGTTCCTCTACCAGGTTTTTATGGCCGAGGTTAATTAAGTCGCTAGGTTGGTGGATCTGGTGGCTAGTTCCATTCCATGCAAGTGGACTTATTATTGTTTGGGAAAAGGTTAGGTATAATTGGTGTTAGTTAGACATCAAAAGAGAGAGGAGATAACCCGATCGAAAAGACTCGGATATAAGCTAGAAAATTTCATCATGTGGGATATTAATCTCATTTTAGTGTTTGGTTGGTTTGGCATGGAGTGGGTAATTTCAACCTCCAAATTTGTTGCTTGTAAACGGAAAAAGACAACAAATGTTGGTCTCATGGCTAAAGAAAAAATGACAATGTTTGGCTTCTTACAAGTAAGGAGTTGCCTTGGAGATAAATTTCAAACCAACACATGCGACGAAAGTAATTCCTTAAAATTACAAGAAGAAAAGTTTATACACGCATGTGACATGTAAGGTGCCAAGCTTTTTAAAGAAAAAGTTGTTTTCTGATTTTGTAGCCACAACTTTTTCCACTGGTTCCCAAAACCCTAGCTGTGCACCAATCATGATAATAATCGTAGAACCAAAGCTATCAAACTTAAAGAGTCCACAAGGATAAAGTTCTCTCTCTGGTTAATCACCTAGCAATAGAATGCCTTATAAGCCAAGCTTTATCCAATATGTATTTAGATATCATCATTAATTAATAATTCAACATTTCCAAACTCCTATATAATATGGTTAGAGAATGCCAACCCAATTCACTCCTCCAAGCAAAACTGACCACTTGATTGCTTCTCAATGGAACCAAACAAGGGTCTAGTTTCAGCTCTCTTCCTCTTCTTCCTCCTCCATGCAACCATGGCTTCCCCTACCCCCAAAACCCCATATCAAGCCTCGTTCTCCTCCTCACCACCCATGCAGACACCTAACCTTTTATTTCCACGACATTATCTTCAACGGCAAGAATTTCAAAAATGCCACTGCAGCCATTGTGGGTTCACCGCCTTGGGGCAACAGGACCATTTTGGCAGGGCAAAGCCATTTTGGTAACCTTGTTGTGTTCGACGACCCAATTACTTTGGACAACAATTTGCACTCTGCCCCAGTTGGTCGTGCCCAAGGCTTCTATATTTATGACAGGAAAGACATCTTCACTGCATGGCTTGGCTTCTCCTTTGTCTTCAACTCGACCCAACACAGAGGGAGCATCAACTTTGCCGGGGCAGACCCATTGATGAACAAGACTAGGGACATTTCTGTCATTGGCGGGACTGGGGACTTCTTCATGACTAGAGGGGTTGCTACTTTGGGAGACTGATGCATTTGAGGGTGAAGTTTATTTTCGTCTTCGCGTTGACATTAAGTTGTATGAGTGTTGGTAAAAATTCGTGTGACTAGGTATTGCTAATTTAGCATTCATCTCACACTTTGATTTCAGTTTTGGTTTAACTTTTATCCAAATTTTTTTGATCAAGATAGTAATCATGCTTTTGTATCCAGGACTAGGGGGAAATGAATGCATGTACTCAATACTAGATCGATGATCAATTCTATCCATATTGGGTTTTCTTGGTTAGGTACATTTTTTAATCTTTAAATTTGCATCTTCATGAACAAATTCAATACTTCAGACAAATCTAAATCTACTAGAAAAATGTGAACTCGTCAATCTAACGATTAAAAAAGTGTTCACTTTTAATACAAATCTGCAATTTTAATAAATGGGTTGAAATTTTCTAAAATTTCAGATTTTCTATTTTTATTTTTTCCGAGTGAATGGTGATTGATGTTGGTCGTTAGTGTGTTTGTTATTTGAAGCAAGTTGTTGCTTGTAGTTTGTAATGCCTTTCCTAACTGATAATTGAGTGATTGGTAAGGTTATTGCAGACAAGACTAAAAACCACTAATCGCAAAGTTGGGGCCCATAAACCAATCAACACAAGCATATTTATGTATGAAATGATTGCCAAAGTTAGTGAGTGCATTGGAATTTCCAAACCACTCACCACCTTAATTTTCCACCTTTTTTTTTATAATATGTATTAGAATTAGATTTTCCATTTTTCCTTCTAATTTGCATTAGACACCAATATATTACTTCTTTTTTTTAAGTTTTTTTTATGTTCGGGCTTACTTTGGATCTTATTTATTCATAGCAATTAAACATTACCACATTAGTTGGTATCCAAAAATTATTGTAATAAGTTTGTGTCTCGAACATTATCGGGGGAGAAAATAGATCTCCCTAGTTACTATTGGATAGAGAAAACAACAAACTTCCCTCCACAATAAGTTCGAGTTCAAATTACCTTCTATATGATCATTATAAATAATTGACCAACTGAAATCTTACACTACACGTAATCAAACCATAAGCCCTTGTAATTCAGTTAACAAAACTAAGTTAAAACACCCTAAACAAAATTCGCTTTCTTTCTTCTTTTTCTTAAAGCTATGTTGCACTGCGCTAAATGCTCACGTTAGAAATAATTTTTCTAACCAATATAGGGTCCCAAATGTTCGTGGTGCCCCAAATGATTATGTTAGTCGTAGTTATGAAGTGACCAGAAGAAAAAATACAGCCAGGTAGGTTCATACTATATAGTACCATTCCCATCTGAGCAGTGCTAAAGGATGGCGTACAAGTCAAGTTAATTACTATTTTAGTGAAAGACCAAAAGAAAAAAATTTAAACTAGCTCTGAAATTTTCTGAGAAAATTTATTATAATGCGATTAAGTTAAGACCATGCCAATTCACAACTTGTCAGAGCATATACTTGCAACTACATTTCTCTCCTATATATCCTCTAAACATGGCTACCCTAAAACCAATTTCAACTCTTCTCCTCTTCTCTCCCTCCTCTTGTCCACCTCCGCAGCCAAACCAGGCAAGAGAGTCCGGGCTCACAAACCGTGTAAGAAGCTGGTGTTTTACTTCCATGACATTATTTACAACGGAAAGAATGCCAAGAACGCAACATCAGCCATTGTTGGAGCACCAGCTTGGGGAAACAGAACCATATTGGCAAGAAAAAGCCATTTCGGGAACATGGTTGTGCCAGATGACCCCATTACCTTAGACAATAATCTACACTCAACCCCAGTTGGTCGCGCACAAGGCTTCTACTTGTACGAAAAGAAACATATTCACTGCTTGGCTTGGCTTCTCCTTTGTGTTTAACTCACCCAAACACAAGGGAATCATCAACTTTGCTGGTGCTGCTCCACTGATGAACAAAACCAGGGATATTTCAGTGATTGGCGGTACCGGCAACTTCTTCATGGCTCGAGGGATAGCCACTTTGATGACTGTGCATTCGAGGGGAAGTACGCGCCGAGATAAATCTGTACAAGTGTTGGTAACCAATTTGTTTATGGCTCTTGTTTTGGAGTTTTTAGTTTACTTTGCTAACGAACGTGTGTTGAATTTGAGTTTCTGAGGTTTGAGAATTCAGATTTTGAGTTGTAAGTTTTACTTACAAAGAACATGTTTCAGAGTTTGAGTTTAGGGACATTCTACCATGCCATCGCATCCACTATAGAGGGGATCAAAATAAGCCATCCACATAACTTTTCGCTTTAACCAGAACGGGCAGTTATTCTTTTACAAGATTGATGAAAGGAAAATATCTCACCATATTTACATCTGTCTCAAGAGAAAATTGGGAATCTTTGATCCCCTGAGGCATATGAATAATACTCCTTTTAAGGGGTGGAATATACTGTGCTCCGTTGAATGCAGCAGCCCGCAATATATTTAGGTCCAAAATCAACCGAGTAAGCCTTTTGGAAACCATCCAGGATTGCCATCATTGTGACATTTGCTGATTTCCTCTCTGCTTCATATTTCTTCAACAACAGTACCTGCATAAGATTAGAACTACATTCGTCAGATGATTCAATTCGACCATCATCATCAGATTATCAAAAGGAAAATATAGAAAAACCAACCCATAGTCACCGGAATGTAGTGCGACACTAAGCCTGCTTATTCGGTACAGAAAACCAAGCATCAAGAAATTCACACTTCAAAACAACCAAGGCAAACAAAATGGAATCCACTTGATCGCTCATATTACATTTACTACTATGCATACCACTCAGGAAACATGATTTCTGTAACTGACACACTACCAATGGTTTCGCCTTAGTTTATTTTCTTTCTTTTAAAAGCTGTGTTAGACTGAGATAGCACCTTCATGTTATTCAATTAATCATCTAGTTTGTGATTTTGTAATATGTTGATCTCATAGTGAAAGTTTTACAATTACAATCCGGATTTTTATTTATGATTTGAATGATTACTAATAGATCTCCATGTCTCTCAAGTAAACAAACACACCCCTCGTACAAATAAAGATACTACATTATGCACGTTTTGTGGCAACCAATAACGACTTTTCATAAAAAGAATTAAAAAGGAAATCACCCACCTCAGCAATGTCTGTTTCCCACTGCAATACCCTCAGAAATGATTCTTGAAAGAGCAAATGCATCTCCAAAACCCAGATTAACTCCTTGCCCAGCCAAAGGGTGAACAGTGTGTGCTGCATCGCCGATTAGAACCACATGCTTTGACGCATAGTCATTGGCATGCATCAAAGATAATGGAAACACCATTCTTTCTGATGCCAACTTCACCACTTTCGGTGGAACTTTGAAGCACTCATCAGGAGATAAATTCACGTCTGTTTTAAACCAAGAAAATACGCCTCCACTTCCTAAGGTGCTCGACTTAGGATGAGGACCAAATCCATAATCCAGCGCATAATTGACATCTTTCACAAAATCTTCCTCAGCCAATGATTTACGATCAGTTGCTTCTTTTGGGTTCATAGTCCAAACAATGTTACTGAAATTATCACCTATTGGCAAAAGTGCAATTGGCCCAGCAGGTAGAAATCGTTGCCATGCACATCGATTTTCTACACTATGTTCTACAGTACAAATGATTGCATTCTGTGAGTAGTTCCATCCAGTTGTCTTAAATCCTGCCAACTCCCTAACACGTGATTTGGACCCATCAGCTCCAACCTGCAATAAGCTCTATGTGACTTGATGCCAATCAATAACTTACAAATGAGATATGTTAAACTTTCTCACTGCTAACAGACAATTCTGTCATCCTACTTTCTATTAAAGGAGAATACAAATTCTTCAATTGCAACTGAAAATTACCACCAACTTTGCATACAGACTGTTGCCATCACTCAGATCCAGCTTTGCTAAGTTTCCCCGCTCATTCAACCCTGATGATGTGCTATCCACCCCCATGGATAAATTTCTTGGCTGTAAAGTCATTGAAGACAATCTGGAAGGATAGATAGTCTTCTGGAAATCTGTATCCTGTCAAAGCTTAACCTTCTTAGCTGTAGAAAGTATTGAGACTTATATGCCGTACATGAAAATTGTCAAAAACAACAGAGAGTATTAAGAGAAGAATGCAAGGTGGTTTAAAGAATTTTTTCATCAGGAAAAAACACGTGAAGAAAAGATATCTTCAAGGAAAAGCAAATCTATAATAATAAATCTGAAGGCACAGCCACCAAAAAACTAGGGAAAAACAACAACAATCAGAACTAAGAAACTACATGAGTCACGAGTGATTAAGTGTTTTATTTGGAACAAAATAAAAAAGTTAACCATTCCGCTATGCTAGATACCTGTATACATGACAAAAGAGAACTGTGCAGTACTTTATTCTCCACTACACACCTGATCATAAGACAAAATCAGCATCATATTCTACTAGTAATAAATGAATTACCAAAAAAATAATAACAATCTACTTCTTCTTACCCTAGAGTGTCTTTATGCACATCTCTTGCATTGTACTTTGTATACCCTAAGCCAGTATAGTCCCAAACCTACAAAGATCATGAAGGAATAAATTCAACCTCAAATCAATGCATCGCATCATCAATCGTTTTGAAAAATAGCATGTCAATGGGAGGTGGAATATGTTGCAGTGCATTTTCAGAAGAAAGAAATAAAAATATGAACGCACAGCTCTTAGGGAACATTGAAGAGTAAGAAACAATATAAACCCGCATAACAGAGTTGGGAAAATATATGAGTTAAAACAAAATCTAAATGACAGACAACTGAACAATTTGGTAGGCATAGTGCTTTGAGATCATGATTTATCATTTCATTCATTAAAGGATTAGCAATTGGAATCAGATCTTGTAAGTCAATACGCAACATAAACAAAATGTGAACTACTGTTGTTGATCAAAATATGCATTTGATGAAAATATGCTATAAGAAACTGGAAAAGTCAATCACCTGCATTTGATCAAAATATGCATGTCGATGCTGTTCAACATATTTCCAAGCACCAATATCTGCAAAATTCAACTGTTGTTATTGCCAGAAAAAGTTCAACATTTGTTTCTGCCCAAGAAATAAGTCACACTTCTGGAATGGTTACAATCAAAATAGAGAACCATGGTTGCTACATCCTACAAATGGGCAATACAAGCTAACCAGATTTGTGCAGGGAAATCTGATTTTAGCTCTCTTAACACAATTTCCAAATGAGATGAGAAATGGATGTTGGTACAGTACATAGAGAAGAATCACATATATGTCAAGTCTGATACCTTTGAAGAGAGATATAGTCGCAGGTGTTACTGTACTGACCCTTGGATCAGGAGGGTCTTCTTTCTTGATGCTGAGTCCCTTCAATAATGCAGGATTGCTATCAATGATGGCAACTTTCAAGTGCTTGGTCAGTGGCATTCTAGCTAAAAAAACAGAATAAAACAATAGATGGAAAATTTTAGTATGTCAGTGTAGAAATGTGCTATAGAACAAAGCAATTCAACAAAACATCTTCTCTATAAAAAAAAAAAAAAAAAAAAAAATTAATTTAATTACATTTCAGGGATTTTGGTTGAGAAACAAAAGCATAGCAGAATACACGTTTCTGTGCACTACCACCTAATCACTTTTTTCACCGTTGACAACGTTGCTAAGTTTCCATTCTATCCAACACAAAGGTGAGAATCTAGTCATGCAAAACCTACAAAAATATCTTGAGCATATGTCTAGTTAATGCAAAATCACAAAATCAACTCTAACTGTTCGACTGACCTCAACAGCTTTTGATTTAAAAACCACATAGAGCGTAATTACATCAGGTTAAAAACAATATTCAAGAAGTCATGAGATGATACCAATAGTAATTGAAACGAGATTTTGTCAAAAAGAAACACAATACACTACGTACCCAAGGAACAAGCAAGGGCCATGCCAACCATGCCCCCTCCAACAATAGCAATGTCGTACGGGTGGACTTCATTGCGAAAACTCTGTTGCCCCACATGATCCTGGGATTTCAAAAGAAACCATCAAATTAAACATTGGAAGAATATTAATATTCTTGCAAGTTAATCACTTTACTGGGCAAATAAATTGATTGGACAAGAACAATTATTTCCGGTTCAACAAAGCAACAAACAAAAACCCAATGTAATAAAATATGAAGACTTTACATTGCTGGATTGGACACTATGGGAGCTGGAAACTTTAGTAGCTGCATCTGTACATAAAGTCCTCTGTGGAAATTTCAATCTGCTGATATGTTCAGCAAGCTTTCTTCTGATGATCAAGCTGTTATCAGCAGATCACATTAGACAAAACCAAAACACTAATTATGAAATAAATGCATAGGGAAGTAACTTAATCTGTCAAATTTGAACCTTAATTTCCATAGCTAATCGCATATCAGCAAAAACACAAAAAAGAAAAAGGCATAATAAGCAGGGGCTAGGGCACATGATTGAAACGCTGCGTTTTTCTAATTCAACAAGAAGAGTAGGGCAAATGCTTACCTGTTCATTTTCGAATTGCACGAGCTCACTGGTTCAGAGTTCAACTTCAGAGAGAGAGAGAGAGAGAAAGAGAGAGTCGCTGAATCAGAGAGACGGTTGCTTGGTTTTGTTTGTCCTTGTTCATACGAGATGTCGTATAATACAGCGTGTGAAGGAACTCATTCTCAAATGAATAAAACGACGTGTCGTTTGAGATCAAATTTGAATTTCAATGAAAAGGAGGGGTCAAATGGAGTTTTGGAAAGTAGATAAAACGGTATTGATGTCTTGGCGCTTTTTAGCTCCTCCCATTGCTTATCTCTATTGCCACTCTGAGTCTCAGAGCCTCAACAGTTCCAAGCCCAGCGCCAAAAGCTTCCTCAGAAACAGAGAGAGAGAGAGAGAGAGAGAGTGTGTGTGTGTGTGACAGAATGCGAAGCATAGCGCTCTCAGAGAGCGTTCTGGGGGTGCATTCACTGCCTTCACCATTTCCTAAACCTCTCAAGCCATCATCTTCCTCATGTTACTTGCTTCCTTTCAAATTACGGTCCAAGAAGCTCACTTCGAAGCTTTCTTGTCCAAACCCAAGTTTCGTTTCCTCGAGGTGAGTACAATTCATGAACTCCCATCTCAATTTTTCCTAAGGCTGCTTTAAATTTTGAAGTTTTGGTGGAAAATTTGCCTTGTTCTATTCCTGGGTTGTTCTTAGAAAAGTGGTGAGTTAGAATGAAGCACCTGAATTTTTTAGTGAAAGCAGGATTTTTGTGTTTCAGGTATTCATGTAAGTGGAATGCGAACACCTGTGAGGAATGGTTTCGACGTCTTTTACAAACTTCTGGAAATTTAGATGACCTGGTAATGAATCTTCTTTAAGCCCATAATCTTTTTCTCCTTTCTGAAAATTCGAGACCATTTTTTTTCTTTTTAAAAAAAAATTTAATTCCTAATGCAGCATTAATTGAATGTTAATTTTAACGCAGGAGCTACACTACCTTAATTACGAGAAATGCAGGGTGACCACAAACCCAATTGACATTGAGGATGATTGTGTTGCTTTAGATAAAGCACAACCAAAGAAGAACTTAAAAAAGAATTGTCACAGGGATAGAGAGATCATGACTCATAATTCATTCTCTCATTTTTGGAAGGCTATTCTGCTGTTTGGATTTCTTGCACTTCAAGGCTCTGAACCGGCTTTTGCTATATCTGATCTTGCTAGTGGCTTACCATCAATTCCTTTTCTGGGCGACCTTGGTGATCTTAGCACAGGTTTTGCTTCAGTTAGGAAAATCTCCCTCTAACTTCTGTAACCTGGCATTTTTGTTGTTGTAAGTGAAGCCTGAATTCTAGTCGGCACATAGTCTTAAATTAGAGATCACGATCTTCTGCTAGGTTTTGATAACTTAATTATATGTCAGTGCCTTTGAGCTTTCCAATTTTAGATGATTTCTAGGATACAAATTTTCCTTCTTCCTTTCTCTCTTACCAAAATCAGTATAACCATTTATTAACATCCACCTCTGACAACCAAATATAAGAATGCATTTCCTTTTGTTGCAGGCATTCTTGCTGATCTTTTTCTCAGAACTAGGGGACAAGACCTTCTTTATTGCGGTAAGGTTTAACGATTCATACTCCGGTAGTGCTTGAGTACCAAACTCTTTTAAATGTTAATGGGTGACCAATGTGAACTTAATATGTTAATGAGTATCATATTCATCTAAGTGCACAGCCTGTGCACTTGCATAGGCTTTTCCCATGACTAGTGGAACAGTTTATTAATTAGCCCACTTTTCTACCTGACTCAACTTTCTAAGTGACTATTTGTATACCGTACACATCAGAGAGTCAGAAATTTCATCTCCCTTATTTGTCTCCCAATTGTCTTATCAACTGATGTATCAGAGTTTGTCCCATCCTAATGAAAAGGTAGGATTAAAGGAGAGAGATACTAATGAGTAATGACTTAAGGATCAACCTAATTCTACATAAACTCTCATAGTTGACAACTAGACATATGTATATAAGGTTTTTAGCATTACGTTAAAGATAGAATGCTTTGATCACATATAATTATGACTTTTGCTGTTTTCTGCAGGCACTTTTAGCAGCTAGGAATTCTGCTCCTGTTGTTTTTATTGGGACCTTTGGTGCACTTGCGTATGTTATTCTGTTTGTGCATGGTGATACAGATGTTCTTTTGCATAATCAACTTCCATTTTGTGTTTTTTATCATAAGTACTAAGAAGAATCTGCAATATGTTACGTCAAGTTACTACATGATAAAACAACTGGACATCCATGTAAGTAAATAGGGGAAACCAACCTCTACCAGTCTACCTTGGCAAAGAGTGTGTGAACATTGCCAATAATAGGTCAAATTGTGAAGTTTAGTTTAAGTATGAATCCCACATGGCAAAGTGATACTTTTGAAAGCTGATAGCAGTGCATAGCATTTCAAATCTTATCAATCGAGTAACAGTGTTTTGGCCAAACCCATTTCTTGCAATCATGGTGATTATGAAGGTTGTTGGGTTCTATCAAACACACACACATGCCTTATAAAGGTGATTTATATTATCAAGAACTATTGATTGTGTAGTTGCACCATATCCTTAATCTTAGATTTGCTTACCTACAGGGCAATGACCATCATATCTGTTGTTCTTGGACGAACTTTTCACTACGTCGATGAAATCCTACCATTCAGGTATTTGAGATTTGCATTTCAGTAGGGATCTTGGGCGTGTCCTACTACAACGATGAAATCCTTGAATTGAATAATCTAGTTAATTGTTCTTTATAAAGCATGTTTTTACGTGGTAAATTAATTGTGTCACAGCAATAATATATCTTTTTTTATCATCTAAAGAATTTGTGCGGATGTGTTATTTATGCTTGGTTAAAATAATTTATGGCGGGAAATTTCCAAATGCTACACATAAGTCTTTTGTAATGTTTTCTTAGTTGGTATTCATATAACTCTTGGGTCCCTGAGGCTCTTAATCATCCTATCTAGTAAATTTCACTTGGATCTGTCCATCTAATTTGTATGAAGTAATGGTATTATAATTGTTTGTGATCACTCTGATATGGTCTTTAATCACAGGTTTGGTGAGACTGATCTACCCATTGACGATATTGCTGCAGTTCTCCTTTTGGTAATTCTATCTTTTGATTCTTAAACCAGAATAAATAAGCATCCATTAAAACAAAAAAAAAATCCTTCTCCAGGAGAACTATTAAATGTAAGCAATTTCAGGTTTATTTTGGAGTTTCAACTTTGCGTGATGCCGCCTCAAGTGACGGTTTGAAAGCAGAAGATGAACAAAGGGAGGTAATACTATAGTTTGTTCATATGCAAATTACCATGGATATATCAAGACTGATTTTTTTCACTTCGTCTTTTTTTTCCTTTTGAAGCCACATTTCCTTTGTAAGGGTTAATCTTATTGTCATATATTCATTAAATCAGGCAGAGCTAGCTGTTTCCAAATTTTCAGGAAACGGTGCTGGAATATTAGCTGCTGCTAGCACTGTCATTAGCACATTCCTCTTAGTTTTTGTTGCTGAATGGGGAGACAAATCATTTTTCTCTACAATAGGTGAGTTACACAGATCAAGATCGCATGTTAATAGATTTTATTTATATTTGGTTGTGAAGTTACTGTTATATAAAGAAATTCGATATAAAAGAGGGCGTAGTGTGTATTTTTCGTTGGGGATTTCCTGGAAAAAATCGTCGCATATTCCTCCGATCTACTAAATTCATCGAGTTGTTCCAAAGGATCAAAACGGCCAGTTATTAATGGAATTCCTTGTCGGCTTTCTGTTTCAATCTTCGGTGATAGTTCTTCCCCTAACGGAATATCACACTTTGACTTTCCTTTTCTTTTAGCCTAGGAAGAGTAACAGGATATCTTGAAATTAAAGAGCTTGATTATTTAATTCACGTTTTATTTATGGTCTATTTACCAGCTCAGCACACTGCTTTAAAATGTTATTTTGAGATGGTGAGAAAGTCTGGATCAATTACATGGGCACTTGGGTCCCACTATTTTGTAGATACATTCCCCCTTTTATAAAATTTTAAAAAAAATTTATCTTAATAAGACAATATTTTGTTTCATATGCAGCACTTGCTGCAGCCTCTTCACCCCTTGGAGTCATCGGAGGAGCACTAGCTGGTCATGGTGTTGCAACTTTGGTAATTCTTCTTTAATTGTAAAATAATTTAATCCAATATTTTTACTACATCAGTCACAAGTGCAAATTTATTTATTGACTAGAAGCTTTTGGCTTTCTGAAGGTGCTCTTTGAAGTTATTAAAAGTAAAAATATACATGGTTCTGCAAATCAACTATTTGCATTTGTATCATTTTAATTCACATCAATTTTTTTCCCTTTTGAATGGGATAAACTTTTCTCACTCATGTGTGTAATATATATGTGGGATGCCTAACCTATTTTTCCCCTTTTCTTTTCTTTTTCTCATTGGTGTGTAGCTTGCTGTTTTAGGAGGTTCTTTACTGGGCACATTCTTATCAGAGAAGGTAAAACTGAACTTCTAACCTTTCACTCATTTGCCAATACGCATCCTCTGTGAAGTTGATTTTGTAAAGCAGAACCATCATGTGATTATGTTATTATCTAGAGTTTTTCCACCGGACACATCAATCCAATTGGAAAAAAACTTCAACCTTTTTGGCTAATGAAAATGACATTATCATCTCGCTTGTAGTTGACAGCATGTTAATTGTTTTGAACAAGCATAAGACATAAAACTTCACGCTGCTAACACTAAAAGTAGAAAAAGATGATTAAAGATGTTCTGAATTGGCCCTGAATTTTCCTCAATCTATCTAGATACAAAGCTCTTTCAAAACTTCTTGTCTGCTTTTTTGACTTCTGCTATTCTCTTCTTAAGTAGAAAATAATAGTGCAATGAAGGATTGGTTTGAATTCTATGGAATATAGCCTGTGGAATTCTTTGTATAGGCAATCTGTACCCTGAGAATATAAGTATCAAAATTATGTGGCGACCATAAATAGGTCAACAGCATCCTGCTCTACATGCTTTTCAAAAGGTTCTTTAGACTAGCAAGTTCATTAACCAGATCAGTTCAGTTTTATGCCTCGACACTTTCCCAGGTTGAACTACGGGCAGTTGGCCTACATGAGTTAAAAAATGAATTTTCTTATCTTACCACATTGAACCCCACAGCTAACAAAGTAACAATACATTGTATTGTATCTTGATGGCCTATGCATCATCTTGCTCTTGGAAATGACTTGCACACTAAGTAGTTTCTTTCTTTAATCAATGGTATAAATAAACGCACAGAAAATAAATTACAGTTGTTTTCGGTTTCCTTCTGCAGGCCATTGCCTACACCGGAGGTGTTCTTTTTCTCGTCTTTGCTGCCGTAACGTTGGTTGAGATAGTAACTTAAAGGTAAAAAAGATCCCCAAAAAAAAATTTTAGTTTATCAAAACTCAGAACTACATTGCTATGAACTTGTAGTTGATTGTAGCCATTGTTTAGAATTTTGGTTGATTGTAATTATTGTCATACTGGCTCTACTTGATCAGTTGACGACGTACAAACTTTGATTCTGTGCTTTGCAAATTAGCAAGGAAAAAGATTATGAGTTGTGCAGCTAAATAAAGTCATGTTGAATTTGATTTGTGGAACCTTTTTTTTGTGTTTTGGGGTTTTGTACTTTGTAGGGTGGGGGAGGGAGGATTGAAAATTGAAGATATTATTTTGAGAGATGAAAGAAGTTGCAAAAATGCAATGAACGTGGCACAGTCTAACCCATCAGTAGAAGCTTTTTCAGGGAGAATCAAAAGTCCTGAAAAAGGATGATTGTGGAGGCAGACAAATCCCACTCTCTCTGCCCTACTTTTTTCATGAGCCTTCCTTTCCACTTTGGCTCCGTACGGCTGCTGCCTCATCTGTCTCTCAAATGCTCCACTTTCTTCCCTTTCAGTTCATTCACACAAATATCATAATATAGAATTCTGGCCCCTTTCCTTTTGTTCTAATTACCGTCATTTTAAACACTTGCTTCAATAATCACACTCTTATTTTGTGTTTTGGGGAGGATAGGGGTGTTTATTCAACATGTTTATGTCCTTTTAAATCCCATTTCTAATTGATCTATCTAAGTGGATTTTTCCTTTTGGTTTTTTTTTAAATTGTCCCATTATAGGTTTTGTTAATTCTATTAAGATGGTGAGAAAGGGGAATCAAACCCAACTAACATTTTCTCCCAAGATTTTATAATAAAAAAATAGTATGAGTAACTTTATCATATATTTCACACCCCTATTAGCGTAATCTAGCAGGTGTGGAGTTTTATACAAGTTTCGGATCTCGGAGTTTAAATTCTTCAACAAAATCAATAACTTCGGATTATTGTAGTTATTATGTTATAATAAATAAAATAAAAGTGGGTTACGTGCACTACCCCTTTCACCTTTGCTAATTGAACGAACTTTGAAGCTTAGAAGATTTTGTGGGGCCATTGTGCATATGCAGAGTTTGTCCCCAGGATGAGACGCAGACAGGCATGCAAATGCAAAGTCGCAACAACGATAATAATGAATATATTTTATTACTCACTAGAATAAAGCTGTTCTTGTTTTTATTGCCTAATTGGTCTCATCTTCACACGTGTACCCGTAGGAGCCGAATATGTGAGAGCATATTCTTCCTTTGAAGTCTGATGAAAGCACCTCGACCTCTCCACCAACATTTCTAATCCTAAAAAAGAGAAGATCAAAACTGTGAAACCATGAAGTGGAACATGAACATGAACGGTGTTTACACTTGTTTTTACCAAGAAATAAACACGTGTATGCCTTTACTCCGACTTTTAAACATCATATTTACTAATTACATTATTCATCGCATTTCTTAATAATATTTACATAACTGATAATCACTGTAACGAGAGAGGAGTATTTAATTTACTACATTTATGTTCGTTGTTGAAATTTGAGCAAAATATGATCAATAATGTAATCAGTAGAGATATTTCGTGTGATATTAGACTAATCTTTTATTTTAATGAAAAGCTTTTGTGCTAATCTAGATATATGCAAAATCTCAATGATGCATGAAAAGGAAGTTAGGTTATTGTTCTAAAGGTACTTTAGAAGGTACGTTAATTTACATGTCCGACCAATCCTTGTAAAGGTCGGTGATGGATCTTCATGCACTCCCACGGACCACCACCAAACGTGATCTGACGGTACAAAACTCAATTCTAGATTCTTAAGTGTCAAGATCGTGTGGCGGATAAAAATAAGATAAGGGATTAAATTCTTGACCTTTTTGAATAATTGAATGGTTAAAGAGATGAAGAAAATTTTGACTTTTTTGGGCCAAATAAATTTAAATAAAGTGCGCTTGATCTTGTCCCAGCAGCCAGCACCACTCTTTCTGCGGAGCATTTTCCCAACTTTGGGTAATCACCTTCTACTTTATTTTCCGAAAAAGTGGTCGTCGTAGAAATTTACCCAATACGCATGATTCTGTATTCGAACACCTTCTCTCCCGAATTACTTTGTAAAAAAATGTCTCTATTGTCTTACTCATTTTCTATTTTAGTCTCTATTATTTTAATTTGGACAATTTTAATCTTTTGCTTCCAAATTGTAGACTTTATCAAACTGATAAATAAAATGCAATATGGTCATATGCCCCATTACATGTGAGAGTATTTTGCCACTCCAAACATTTGCAGTCAACTTAAAGCATAAGATTTTTATTTTTTGTAAAAGTTTGACTGTTGACTAAATAAAGTTGCAGGATCGAAATTGCCAAAATTAAAATTGCATGAACTAAAATGAAAAATTAGTATTAAAATGAAATTTTGGTCTTTGCAGGAAGGTGTGAAGTTACGCGGCTATCCTAGAGCGTGGAGAGGCCTTTTCCTAGATTAACCGCCAAAGTCGCGTCATTAAACTGGAAACCGCGAGAGCGAAAACCGTCCGCGGTTTGTCTCCGGGATTTTAAGCGTGTGGGGGCCTCACACGAGGAGGAGACGGAAGAAGAGCACAAAGAGCGGTGACGACCCGCTGCTGACACGAAAAACAAAGGGGTCATGTCACCGCTGACGTGTACAGGCCAATTATCTCTCGATTTCGTATCGCCACACGACGTCGTTAATCGCTGGTCCCGAAGCCAAGCTTTCCGCATCGAAACGCACAAAAAAAAACTAAACTAACGTTACCGCCTGATGACCTTTTTGGCTCCATGCGGCGGTTTGATGCACTTGTGCGCAAAACCTGTACTCATTCATCGTTATCTGCCCTCCCCATATATATTTACCTTTGGTTTAAAAACTAACCATGGTTACCACTCGCTAGGGCTTTGAATTGTTAAATTATTCAATTATCTTATTATAACCCTTTTGTACAAGGGAGTTTTATTAAATATTAAATAATAGGACGTCATGAGTAAAATCAGGAACACCTCAAACCACAAAAATATGTCTTTTTGACTTAAACTAAAAGTAGCTAGCCGGTGTGCAACACCACTAACTTCTCTATGAACAAAATCAAACCAAAACTCAGGGACTTGCTGCAGCAAACTCTTTATATCCTCAATGATTCTGCCTACCCTTTGTCCCAATCTTAATTGCTTAATTATTGACTAAAAATATCTTAATTGCTTAATTCAGTCCAAAAATTTTGCATAATTTTATTGGAGATTTGACTCACTCTACTAACTTTTGTAGAGGATTGATGGACGAAAATTGTATTTGATTCAGCTTATTGTGTTATTATAATATTTTGGAGGTGATTTATAGCATGGAATTTGCATCCATTCATTTTTCTACAACAAACAACAAAGGCAATGCATATAGTTCATGAAAAGAGCATGGTTGTTTTCAAATATGATATCGACGGCAGAGCTTTTCAATTGATATTGCAGCAGGTGTTTAAGAGTTATTGGTTTTTTTATGGAGTTTAAGAGGGCCACGACCACTACAGACCTATATGTGGCTTCACCCAAACGACATAGTTTTATGGAAATATGTTCACTTCCAAGTGACTTTATTATCACTGGAATGTTATTGAACACTTAATTTATTTTGACTGTCAAAATTAACTATGATTATTTAAGACAGCTCAAGTGAAGGTATTAATCTTGTTTTTATGGTTAAATTCAACTCAGAAGTTAAAATTAATAACCCACTTGGTTCGTCTTAAATTGTCACATTGGTTATAAACTTCAAATTTTACCTTTCGAAGTAAACTTGACAACTTTGTTTTTTTTTGGTGTAAAATAGTATACCCTTGAAAGGGAATACTATGCCAAAGAAAACTTTGTTAATTTCATATATAAATTTATTCGATTGTTAGGTTAAATTCTAATCAAGAAGATTAAAGTTATATTTATATTTTAATTAATGTTGTGACTTCTATTAGTTTAAAATAGGATTTGTGCTTCCACTTTGTATATAATTAAACACTGAATTTCCACCCCCAATAATGCTATTGTTAGTATAAACAAAATTAACATCCCCTTTTCTTGGCTCTATGTTAACCTTTATTGTATAATAACACTTATAAGATGACAAGTTTAAACATGTTTAGTGATAAATTAACAATTAGAACTTTGACATTTGATTTTGGATGAGACGACGAAATTCGTAAACTATTGTAAATGACTCTTTACACAAACCAAATTCCACATACACATATACAATGGTGGTGTGAACACGAACATTCCACACATCATTTGGATATGCATGACAAATAATACGCCTAGTAATTCAAGTGATAAAAAATGAGGACAAAGACTTGCGATCTTGTGCTTATATTCTGTTTCTATTGGTTTTGTATTTATCTTCAAAAGTAGGCCTCCATTTGGATTTCCATTCCTAAAACAATGCCATTTTAAGTATGTGAGATTTCTCACTCTTTTAACAGGAAAAATTATTGGTGTATCTGATACACCGCGTGAGATGTTGATATACCCAATGGCGGCACTGCCACTCCTAGTCCATAAATGGCCTTGGCCGTTGGCCCCCATTTTCTTCACATCTCTCCTGTATATAGACAACCTGTAATTTAAGTTAATGATCCATCTAAAATAAATTAGACTTTACTGAGTTAGAAATATTTAGCTCTAACATGCAACTCTCCTGAACACTCATATTTGATGTACTTGTATTTTATATTTTGGCTCCCTCAACCTTACAGTTCTAGTTCCGCCCCTGGACATATTATTCAGAATTCATCTAAGTTATAATACAAGTAAAAAGTCATGAGTTCACTATTTAAAATTTAGACATTAATTTGTGAGAATTTGATACAATGCTAGGGTTGAGATATTTTTTCCACATTACCCTCGAGGGCCTCGTCTTAATGGGGGCGCATGTATAAAGATAGTACTCTCCGCCTTGTATATACTTGTGTTTGTTAAAGTGAAAATATATGTTATACATATATATTTTTCTAGTTAACTCTAATTTAGGGTACAAATTTGTGTTCGCATTTTAAATTTAGTAATATGCGGTACATTTGTTTTGTTGAAATTTGCATGTACTCTATATTGTGGTTTTTTGTTGTTCCAATAAGGAAGAAATTTTTTAAAAGAAATATTATCGCGACCTTACATACTCGATAGAGTCATTGTTTACGTGGCAACATGGGATGATAATTGTAATCACAACTTTGAGTCATTGTTTACGTGGCAACGTGAGACGATAATCACAATCACAGCCCATCTGACACTGTTACCATCCTTACGCCACATCATATACTTAGTAGAACGATGTAGTAATGGCAATGCCAACTCACCTAGCTCGTTATTGTCCTTATGCCACATCAACATCTTACGAAATTGATCAAAAATGCACACAACATTATCTAATTTTCGTCCAAAAAAAAGGGGTATGTACAAAGTCAACACGGACAGTAAGAATGGAAATTTTTTTTACAGCAAAAATATAAGTGGAAACTTAGAAGAAAAAAAAATGGAAGAAAAGAAAAATATAAATGGAAACTTGGAAGAAAAAAAGGAAGAAAATATAAATATAAATGGAATCTTGGAAGAAAAAAACCGATGAGGAAACTAGTATGTAAAAAATGGCAACCGTTGATTACCATGATTGTGTCTCTGACAAGTAACCCTGGTTATCGATTCACAACCCACAGTGTGTTTTTCCACGTGCCTCACTCCTTTTCTTAATAACACGCGCACCCTCCACCTCTTGCTTCGTCATTTCCGCATCTCTCTCTCTCTCTCTCTTCTATCTCTCTCTTTCTCGCCGACTCCTCCACTCTCCAGCGGGCACCTCTCGAGCCCTAAAACCCTAACACCTTCTTCGCACCGCCGAACCCAACCCAATCAAATCCACATCCAAATCCAAATCTGAGGTAATTTCTGCAAACTTTTTCGTTGCTAAATCTCAAATCGTGTTGTTACGGTGATGCTTCAACTCTGTTATTCAAGTTGTTCTCGGGTTTTTTGTTCCAATTTCTTGCAATTCAGCTTCGTTTGGATTGTTTTGGTGCCGAATGAATTGAAAGGATTTGAAGAACTTTGTTTTCATTTGATATCGGTTTTGTTCTTAATTTGTTTTCTTTATTTATTTTGAAGGAAGTTGATTTGGAGATGTTAGATTAAGCAACTCTTTGGCTAAGTGAGTTGAAGTTTCTGGTTTCGAGAAAAGAAGTGTTATGAATTAACTTTCTTGTCAGCCAAACAGAGGCATAGCTTGCGCTCTGTTGATTTACTTTCTCTTTTTCTTGAATTTTTTCTTTAAACACAGAATGAATTTACATGATTCTTCTAGATTTGTTATTGGTATGACATTTGTATAACAAATCTGTCGTCAAAATGAGATTTTTCTATATTTCCTCATGGTTTGCCTTTTCTTTTCCTTTTTTCTGGAAGTTTTAATCGGTTTTGTTCAATTGAGTTTTCAGTACTCTACCTTTCAATTTTTTTTCAGCTAATTCACTGGAAATTATGTTGAATTTTATATGCACAATGTTCTTTAGATCTCTGTTATTTATTTCTTTTCATGGTTTAGAATGAAATAGATTATTCTCGGTGTTAATTCGATTAACTGAGTTACTGGTCGAACCCAGGTTGGTGCCAGTGTTCCCAACTGATACGATTTTAAGAGTCAATTCTTCTGGTGATTTGTCCTGTTTTGGCTCTTTTACTTGTTTCAGACTTCATGTGTTTGAATCTGATCTGGGAGTATTCACGTTGTTAGAAATTCAAACCCCATTTAATTTGCATACCCACATTTGAATATATCGGTTCCCATATCTTTTCTAATTGTTTTCCTTAAAAAAAAGGTTGGGAGTTTTAAAAGCCAATTCCTATAGTTTCTTTGTAAGGCCGGAAACTCCCAAAATGTCATTTATTGTATTTATTAGTCTGGCTGAGCAAATCTTTTTTGTTTTTGCATTAATTCATATTTTCTTGCCTGTATTTGAGCTGTCTTGTGAGCATTAATTGTGTTGATTTTTTTTTCCTTTTATTGATTTTTTTTTCCTTTTTAACATCCTCATTATAGTTGCTTGTCTGTCAACCAATTCTGCAAAAGTACTGTAGTTGTTCAGTCGTAACTGTCTATATTATTACTGCATGACTTCTTATGATTACCTGTTTTTGTTTCTTTGTAGATTTCCGGGGCGCTGGTTTCTTTCACTGCTTTACATGATCTTCCTTTCTTCTCATTTGAGGTAGATTGAACTGTTTTTCAAGGTTCTTCTTATTACTATCTGTTTTGTTTTTCCCTAGAGTTCTAATGCTTGAACATTTTCTCATACTTGGAACTGTAAATAACTTTTTTCCAATTAGTGGTTTTGTCATCTGTGAAATTTTGGTTACATGGGCTTGATAATTCTTAACTCTAATACTCTGATTTGTTTTGGAGCAGGATGATTGATTGCCATAATGATGCTATAAAGACAAGTCTTCTAAGATTCATCTACTGCTGCAGCTGATTAGTGAAAGTTTGGTTTAAATTTCCTTTTAGGAAATGGATCGGCGTGATACATCAGGATTTGTTAGTGGGGGTGGGATGTACTCTTTTAGAGACATCTAACTCTAATTTTGTAGATAAATTTAATTAGCCAGGAAGTTGGTAGACTGTTTTGTTTCAATTTGATTAGGTCTTTGTATATTATTCCAATTAGTCGTTACTTATGGACAATAGGTTGCAGAACTTGGGTTTTGCTGCTAATTTTTCTTCAAATGCCTTCAATATTGTGGGCAACTCAATGCAAGTTGGGGGAGCTGGAATTGAGTCTTGTGCAGATACTATCTTACGGCTCAATTCCCCTGGTTCTACAATGGCTTACATGTCAGGCTCTCAAGGAATCAAACGGAAGTGGAGTTCGATTGGAGGATCTTTGACCGAGCATGTTAGCTCTTCACTGTCTCTTGGGCTTGGCCGTTCAACAAGTTCCTCAGACAGCAAGGGGAGCTCAGCTACTGCTTGCACTACAATGTCCTCAGCCAAAGAAACAGATGAGGAGTCCTCGATGGATTTTGAATTGGACTTTGCATTACATCTTGGAAATGAAAAGGTACCCAGCCCGAAGAAACCTGCTAATTCAAAGCTATGCGCACTGGAACTGCAGCCCAAGGTTGACTTGGAGTTAAGTCTCTCAACTGGGCTGTCTGAATCTGAAATCACTTGTGTCAATCCAAGTTTCACTTCGGCTCTTTCAGGCATGGAGATGGCATTGGTGGCTGGTGGGGCCCAAAATGCAGATGAAGGATCAACTCCATTCCATTGGAAGCGAGGGATTGCCATACAACCATTGCAGACTTCATTCAACCCAGGGGCGAGCTTCCTTTTCAAACAGGTTCCACAAAAGATTGATTCTCCTGCTATTGTTCCGGAGCTCTCATCAAGCATATTAACCACACCAAATAGCTCAGTCAGCTGCAGTTCTGGGATGACACAGAAGCAACAGTCACAGCATCGCAGCTCAAATTCAAAGACGTGCCAGGTTGAGGGATGTGGAAAGGGTGCCAGAGGTGCTTCTGGCCGCTGCATATCTCATGGTGGTGGTAGGAGGTGTCAGAGATCTGGCTGCCATAAGGGTGCTGAGGGCCGAACAGTGTACTGCAAGGCCCACGGTGGTGGTCGGCGATGTGAATTCCTTGGGTGTACAAAAAGCGCAGAAGGACGCACTGATTTTTGTATTGCCCATGGTGGTGGTCGGAGGTGTAGTCATGAAGGTTGCACTCGAGCTGCCAGAGGGAAATCAGGATTGTGTATCAGGCATGGTGGTGGCAAGAGATGTCAAAGGGAAAATTGCACAAAGAGTGCAGAAGGCCTCTCAGGCCTTTGCATCTCACATGGTGGTGGCCGTCGATGCCAAGCTATAGGATGCACAAAAGGGGCGCAAGGGAGCACGATGTTCTGTAAGGCTCATGGTGGGGGGAAGCGATGCACTGCTCTAGGTTGCACCAAGGGAGCTGAAGGGAGCACGCCCTATTGCAAAGGCCATGGTGGGGGGAAAAGGTGTGCATACCAAGGTGGTGGGCATTGTACAAAGAGTGTGCATGGTGGTACCAACTTCTGTGTGGCACATGGGGGTGGCAAGCGATGTGCCATGCCTGAGTGCACAAAGAGTGCAAGGGGACGAACTGACTACTGTGTCCGACATGGCGGGGGAAAGAGATGCAAGTCTGAAGGATGCGGTAAGAGTGCACAAGGCAGCACTGACTTCTGTAAGGCACATGGTGGAGGAAAGAGATGCTCATGGGGACATCCTGGATCAGTTTTTGGTGGCCAAGCTATTGGTCCTTGTAACTCATTTGCAAGGGGGAAGACAGGCCTCTGTGCACTCCATAGTGGTCTGGTTCAGGATAAGAGGGTTCATGGAGGTATTACTTTGGGACCTATGGTCCAAGACCCTAAACTTGGGAAGTCGGACAAGAAGAAAGAAGTAGCCACTGCAGATGACATGAATGTTGATGTGATGAATATTGGGAGCAGCATAAGGACTTCAGCAACCGGAACTTGTTCTGATATGAAACAAGCTGGTCAATCTTCAGCCCCAGTCCTCATTCCAGAAGGCAGGGTGCATGGGGGAAGTCTGATGGCTCTGCTGGCAGGCGGTTCAGACTCCAATGCAAACAGCAGGGGGAGTAATTCATCTGGGCCAAAGAAATCCTACGTGATGCCTCAGAACTGGATGTGAGGCTATTTCTCACCCTTGTTATTTGATTCGGTCTCGGTGGTTGGCAGAGTTTCTCAGCAGGTCAGCATGTCTGTGTCCTTCGTTTCTTAGTTTGTTGTCTATTAGTGGCTTTGATATACGTAGAAGAAGAAGTTCTCATTCATTGGTTCTAATGGAGAGAACCCATAAGTGCTTAAAAGACCTTAGTGTAACAGTTTGGGGTATATCAAGGTAGGGCAGTGGTTAGTTAGCAATTTGAGTTTGGTCTTTGGTGTTCTTTCCTGTAAATATTTTATAAGTGTCTGTCCAGCAGTTTGTTGTGAATACAGGTTATACTGCCTGTAGGGTCAGTCAGTTTGTCAGACGATGTGGTGCAATAAAAGCCTTTTACTGAGATCATATATCCTTTTGCACTGTTTGGGTTACTTATTTGACTTGCAATCTAGTTACCAATTTTGAGGATGAATTCTGTGCTGATTCTTGTTGTTAAATGCTTATTTAGAGTTAATTTAGAGTTGTTTTAGGCTGATGAAAGTATTCCGATCTCTGAGCTTGAAAAGCTTTTTGAGCTTAAAAAACTTTACAGCCATTAATATTGGGTACAAAGTATGTCATGACTCGTGACACTGCAGTATGAGCCATAATAAATGTAGAATTGGATGGGGAGGGGGCTTGTAGTTCAAGTGGTTTAGAACCCTTGTTTGTGTTCAAATCCCCCCTCCCCAATATCGCTTGTGTGAAAAGAAAAAAAGTTGTAGAATTGAATGGTTATATTTGTCATGAGACTGCTCAATTTGAAAGGATACCCACCACCCTTGATCGCTTTTAATACGAGGCTGCTCCTAAATCCTGATATAAGATTGGTAAAATTATGTTTTCAATCTTTTGCAAATGCATTGACCCTTTCGTTGCCATGCTGGTGCTGTTGAAAATCACAAGTGGTAGTAACTATGAAAAGTACAAAGAAATCCAACAAAACCTGTTAAAGAAGTATTTACAAATAATCCTTTGGACCGTCTGCCCTCATTTGCACCCAAAAAAACTTTCATAGCCCTTTAAACAAGTCCAAAATCTCGAACTTATTTTGGGACTTTCCTTTTTCTTGAAACTGTAGCATGTTTTTACATGATTATTTTCATATAAGATCTTGTACAAGTAGTGGACATTTTCTCGTGTACAAGTGCTCTCGCTTGCCGTGTCAGAACTTGGCCAGTTTAGAAAGCTCATCAACTGCCTCAACCAAGTGATCAAGCCTAGCCACAAACTCTATCAGCAAGGAAGTGAAGGTGGCCAGTGACAATGCTGCAGTGCTTTCCAATGCCTTCATCCTAGGCAGGAAGTCCCCTGCAGAACCCTCCTCTTCAAAAGCGTCAACCTGTAGCGGCGGCCATGAATAATGCAGCCTCCTCGACTGCTTCCTCATCAGCTCATGGTAATTAGATTCCGTCTGCTGCGGTGTGCTTGGGTTCAGCTGCTGGCTCAAGTTCGTTTCGAGGCTGTTGCCGCTGTCGAGATCAGCCAGTTGGTTCGGGAGGTCGGAGAAGGTGTTTGTTAAGGTCTGAGAGAGCCTGGGGAGTGGCTTGGAGGAGTTGGTGGTGTCTGGGGGTTCACAAGTGGATGTGAGGAGATAAGAGTGTACGTCTATGGCACGCTGGAGCCGCTCTGTGGCGCTGTGAACCTTCTTGAGCAGAGAGTTTCTGACGCTCCTTTTCATGCTGCTTATGTCCTGCCCCAAACTCCTTACCAGCTCTGCAGCCTGGCTTGTGGCCTCCCGGATCTCCGACTGGAACGTAATCCGGAGGTTGTACGGTGCCTAAACACCAAACCAGTAAAAGATTGATACAAACTAATTGTAATTCTGATGGGGTGCTATGTATTATGGAAGAACAAATAGAGGAAAAAAACAGAAGAATTTTTTTATAGAAAAGGGTTTCTTTTTCTTCAGTTTGTATTCTCATAACATCTTGTTTTGGTCTGAAGAAATTCACTTACGAATCAGGTCATAGGAATCTCTTATATGCTCGAGAATTATAATTAATAATTAATATTCTGGTTCCATTCTTAATTCCTGGTCCCTCAACATTGGACACCAACAAGAGAATAAACACATCGTATAACTTGCATAATTTTTATTCCCAGCTCAATTCATTCTTTCCAAATATTCGCCAGCTCCGAAAAATACCGACCGCTGACATAAGTTCTAATTTGTAGATTCCTGAAATTTTTTAACCTTAATTGTCATAAAAAATGAGTCAAGTGCTTAACATGTGACTTTCCCAAATGACATTTAAAGTCACTTTTTCTTGAAGAAAATAGCGTGAAATGACCAAGCTGCCATCAAAAGTCACATACATATTTAACGGCATCTTGGATGAAATTACTAGGAAGATGATGGTAGGGGTAGATTGACTAGTTTTGTATAATTAGGGCGAAAATTTGGCTGGAAAAAAAAAGAAAAGAAAAGAATATAGGGGGGTTGTTGTGGTATATTGATCAATGTAATTTACGATTGAAAACACATATTACCCTCTTTTTCCAACCGTTGGAATTGGAAAGGGGTTTTTGATTCCCATTTGGTTATGCTTTATATGTAGACCTTTAGAAAAATAAGACCCAAAGGCTTCAAGTATACACATGGGGAGGGAGAGAGCAGGAGAGAATATATACCTGAATCTCAGAGTGCAAAACACCATGAAGAGCCATAACCTCATAAGCACAATATCTTAAAACAGCTGCCACCTTGACATATTCTGACCAGGGATAGAAGAAGTGCCTGAATCTGCCGTGAGGTGGCTCCCACTTTGCCGAGACAGCCTTGTGTTTAAAATATGCAAAAACAGGATTAGTTTTGCAGGGCATGGGGCTAATGATGGCTTAGAGGTTTTAAATTTTAATTATGGACAAAGTTAAAGAAGAAAATCAGTACCAAAGCCTCCAGTTTTGCTGATGAGTTCAATGTGCTTCGGCATTTCCTATAAGCAGGCTCATCTGGAAACTCATCCATGACAGTTTTGGAGAATTCAGGGTGCTCTGACCCATCATCTTCTAAATATTTCCCAACACATTCTGAAAATTATTTCGAGATATATTAGGTTCAATCATCGATTGACACGTAAAATTTGAAATATAAAAATTCAAGAGGATCATATTTTCTTTCATGTTAACTAGTTGATTACGTTACAAACATAGTCTACTTATTACATCAATTATTATGATCAGTCGGTAATTGACATCATTAGATAATGTGATATCTTTAGCATTATTCATATGCGAGCTAATACTAGATATTATGAACTTACCTTCAAGTGAGGCAGCCACTGAGTCAAAGCTGTTGACTAGCTCCTTATGCAACTGCTCACCAGCCCAAATAGGGCAAACAAGCACATTCACCAAGACTGCTACAAACCCTCCGATGGCGATGGAGTAGAGTCGATCCATGGCAGTCCTCATCGGATTTCCCATCGATATTCGGTACCCAGAAACCACAATCAAACAATAGGTGAAAAGTACGACCCTGAAACCGTACTCATATGGCACAAGTGATGGCCACAGTTTCATGAACGATGTAATTGTTCCTGCGCAAATGAATCATGTCCAACAAGAATTGAAGTGTCTGATAATTTGAACTCCTTATATGTGGCTTTTGTGATCATTTGGGAAATTTATGCGTGGCTTACCAATTATGAAGATGCTAATGCCGATGATGATGGGTTCAGCTACATGGCCAGAACTTAGGGCTATTTGAGCAACACCAATGGCCAATATTCCAGCAAGCAAACTCCCAAGAGCTCGGTTGAAGCCTCTGTTAAATGTTGCACCTAGAAATAGAATTTACAGCTTCATACAATATATATAGCTTATATATAAATTGGTGTGAATAATATAAATAAATCATACACAAATCTATCTATCTATTTGATTGAAGTGAAAAGATTGTCTAGTATCGGGTACTAATCGACATAACGTGATATTGTAGATATTCAATGCATATTTTGTACAAACTAAGTTCATATTTGATCAATATTACCTTATATCAACCAAGTAGATGGTATATCCTAGGTATTTGGCGTATTGTAGATTGGTACCAAGTACCAGCCAACCACAACCCATGCCGAATACGAGATTAATGTTAGATCTTCATTCGAGGGATGAACTAGCATGAATTTTATAATATGTGTGCATGCATGGAGAAATTATATGTACATGTTTACATACCAACTGTATATTCGAACATGATGGCAACAGTGAGAATGGACCAAATGATATTGGTGCCAAAAACGTCATAAGGTGCTCGGAAGAGTATAAGCAAAGACACAAGAAGCACAGCCAGCCCTACTTTCAAAGAGAACTTCACTCTGTTGCTATCTTCTTTGGCAAATTCCGAAACTTTCAACACCCAAGCCTTAAAGCAGAAGCCTCCTCCTCCATTGCTGGATTTCTTGCCAGCTTGGTCAAGCTGTTTGACTTTGGCCATGGAAGAAGGGATGTTGATGCTAATCTCAATATTACTACCCTTTTTTCCATTCATTCTCCAATGCAACAATATAGCCTTCCCCAACTCTGATTTAAGGTGCTCTTACTCTAAGAGCCCCGTATTGTCAAATTAAGTGCTTATAAGAAAAGTGCTTTGCCAAAAACTGATCAGTGAATTGAAGCAGGGGAGACAAGGGAAACAAGGAGGAGAGATCTTAAACTGTAGTTGGGGTGTGATCAGAAGAGGAGAGTAGGTTTTAAAGAGGAGGGTGGTAGCTGTGTTTGTTGACAAGTAGTAGAAAAAAGTACGTCATGTCAGGATGTCATGTATAGATGGGAAGAATACAATACGACAATAATAGAAGAAAAACTTATCGTTGCTAAACCCTCAGGATAAAAAGATGCTTAATATCAATAATGCTGCATGCATGGATAGAGAATTAGAATCTGAAATGCAGTTTTCAATCGCCAGACACGTTTTCCTTTTCAAAATATCGATCATCCTCATCGTATAATTAAAGTGATAATTACAGTAAATACCATTCCTAATTATCATTTAAGGATATATATTAACTATTTATATCATATTTAGCAAAGAGATGACTACAATGTTGATCTCGCTTTGTAATCAAGTGAATCATGTTCGACAAACACATACAAGGCCTTAGATTACAAGAAATAATTAAAATTGTGAGAATAGGGTTTGGACCTTGGGACCTTTCGAAACTAGAGTTCTCGTACGATGTTAGATGAGCACTATGCCTTAAAAAAGCTTAACAAATCCTAGCGATTTGAATTATTAAAAAAAAAGGTCATCAAGAAAGGTGGTACGGTACACCTAGAAAAAGAATTAGGATTAAGATAGACCACGAAAAAAACTAATGAATTACATGCATGTGGCTTTTGGTTCAAGTGATAAGAATAAGACGGGTAGAAGGGTACTGGACTTTTGATTCACATGAATAAAATTCCAAAACCTTAATTAAGGAGCTATTCAAAAAATATTTACCAAGAATGGGTAAAGAGGTGAAGCAAGAGGAATATTTATCGAACCCAGAACTCAGAAGGTAGATCTCCTTTCACAAGGAAGCCTCTTTGCTCTTTCTTGGTGCGTAGGAATATGACCTATGAATAAGACTGCTATTCCTCATGATCAAAATCTTGATCAACGATTGCTTGTGTTCTGGTATATGCGCAACTTGTCAAAATAATTACATGGAAGAATTTTCTCCATCCTTCATGCTTTCAGACCTCAGCTTTCTCTGCTCATGCATACTGCTTATCCTCTTTCTATCCCTCTGCCTCAATGATTTAAGCATAAACATGTTCTTTCTTTCCTCTTTAACACAAATCCATAGTACCTACCTACCTAGCTAGCTAGCTATATATATACATATATCATCATTTTATTCCTGAACTTTGACATAGAAATATATGCCATGGCCCATGCATGGTAACATATTCGAGGAATAAAGTGACGTACGTGATAAATTAATTAATTCATGGGCATTACCATGAGAGAAGTGATTGAGGCAGATAATGGAGATGGGAAAAATGTGTGTCCAAATCTAGCGCTAATTGAGGGGTCAGAATGGAGCTAAACATGCACATCGAATATTTTATTCTGTGTGTGTATGTCGCGTTGCCTTTGCCTTCAATATTTTCCTTGAGAATACTATCCCACAGTGGAGAAGTATATATAACGGTATACAATGTCGCGAGACTTTTCATGCATTACTAATCAGTTTTGGGTTGGATTTAGTTCAAGAGATTTTTGTAGAGATGTCACCTTAAAAAAAAATTAAGAGAAATGTCACCTTAATTTTTTTAAATTTATGATTTGTCATCTGACTTTAACACCATTTAATTTTTCATTCCATTTTAAGAGTATTTTAGTATTTTCGTTAAATTTTATGTTAAAATAATTTAAAACTATTTAAATATTGATTTCAAAAAATAACTATTTGAATACAATTTAAAATAGATAAATAAGAGTTAACTTAATAAATAAATAATTTTTATTAAAAAAAACCTAAACCTAAAAAATCAAATGAAAGACACCACCTCCAATCCCAACCGCCAACCACCGTCGTTCTCTCCTCTTTCTCCCCAACAACCCACCACCCCAACTCCGATCCACCTCACCCTTAATCTATATCTATATATATAAAGCAAAAGACAGAGAATGGTGAAACATTCAAAATACCAGAAAATACCCTTGGTTAATGCAAAAATTAAGAATTAAAATTATTAATTAAATCAGGATAATATGGTAAATTCATACTTTTCATATTAAAAAAATTTAAAATTAAAAGAAAAATCAGATAATAGATCCTCTTTTTATGGAACACAACCACCCATTATCTTTTTTAATTCTAAAATAAATTTAATTTTTTTAAAAAAAAGCCTTTCGCATGAGCAGAAGCGCGTGCGGAGAAGTTAGTATATATAAAGCAAAAGGCAGAGAATGATGAAACATTCAAAATACTAGAAAATGTCATTGGCTAATGCAAACATTAAGAATTGAAATTATTAATTAAATGAGGATAATATGGTAAATTCACACTTTTTCATATTAAAAAAAATTAAAATTAAAAGAAAATTAGATAAGGAATTCTATTTTTATGGAACACAACTACCCATTATCTTTTTTAATTCTAAAAATAAAATAAAAAAGAAAACCAATTGGCATATGCGTGAGCATGTGCCAAGGGGCTAGTATCCCCATATATATATATATATATATATATATATATATATCTCTCTCTCTCTCTCTCTCTCTCTCTCTCTCTCTCTCTCTCAAAAGAACAACTCCTAACCCCCCCACCATCCCTAGCCATTTACCCCATTCCAGCCAGTTGCTCACCTAGATTTTCCAACCCATCTCCACCCCAATCTCTGCCCATCCGATCGTCGCCCCACTCCCCTCTCTCCATCTCTCCCCCTTTGGCCATGCCTCTCCTTCCCACCTCTCCGTTGCTGGGTCCTTCCCTCCCTGACAACCCCTATCCCTTTTTCTCAAGGTTTTTTTTTCCCCTTCTCTAATGTTTTATTTTATTTTATTTTGGTTTGAGCCTTTCTCTAATGTTATGATGTACTTTAATGAATTTTTAATATTGTTAGATTAATTCAGTTTTTAATTAATTTAAAAAAGGTTTATAGATTTCCAAAAAAAAAAGTTTATCATGTGTATTTAACATCAAATTTAACAAAATGAACAATATTTGATAGCGGTCCTAAACACAATGACCGAATTGGCCAAATTGAAAACACAAGGTTTAAATTGGCCAATATGTTAAAACACAAAGACCATTTTTACATTTAAGTATTTTTTTTTAATAATGATTTTTCCATTTTTAAAATACCATTGAAAATGGAAAGACTAAATACCCTTACAAATTGATGAAAAATTGGATAATGTTAAAGTCAGATGACAAATCATGGATTTTGAAAAATTAAGGTGTTATTTCTCTTAAATTTGTCTTTAAGATGATAAATTAAAATTGATGTATAAATTCATGTGACATTTCTATAAAACTTAATTCCATAAAATCTACAAATACGTGGACGAATTTTATCAGACCACAGTACTCACATAATATTTCTAAACTTTTATTTATATCTACATGTTATCTTTTCTTGCCAGCTTACTGCATGTTTGGGAGTGCTCCTAGAATGGCCAAAAGTGATTTCTAATGACTAAAAGCATTTTTAACAGTGTTTGATAAAAAAGTTTAGAAGCGCTTCTTGGATAAGCATGTGCTATATGCTTCTTTAGGATGCACTCCTAAGTGATTTTCCACGAAACACTTTAATTTTTTATGAAAATTCAAGATTTTAATAATAAAATCGCTTTTGTTAAAAGCGCTTATGAGCAGAAGTACTTTCTAAAAATGCAGTCCCAAACGAGCCATTAATAAGTTGGCCAGGATAGTTTTCATACAATTTATAATGAAAGCACAACCAACACATGGTGGAATTAGATCCCATATCAGGGGTTGTGGGAATGCAAATGGACCACCTCCCACCCCACCAAGCAAAAATACAAGGTCGTTATTCAAAGGCATGCCGAAGCTACTTCAAATAATTCATTTTTTTCTAAACGCATGTACCAGATGGCCGACTTTGTGGAAATATACAATGCCATCATTTTCATTCTCCAGGTTCTGATTTTGGTTTGTGAATTGTGAGAGATGATTTTAACATGGGTAAATCAAGCAAGCAAGGATCACTCCTTGGAGAGTGTGTGTACGGTGTACCATTCCCACAGTCCTCACAATATTTACGATGACCTGTGTTGGTGTTTGACCTAAAGTTAGTATATATGATCCACGCGACATTGGTTTATCGGAATTAAAAACATAAGTTTAAATTCGAGACATTTATAAATGAGTTAATATTTAACTTGATTCGTGATATCAGTTATCGAAATATAGATTAGAACTTGAGACATCTTTATGAAACCCATCAGTTTTCTTAAATTTCAACATTTAGGAGATTACTCCGTTGAAGAACAGTAGAAGAAATGCCATTGAAATCCTGGTTATTAGTAGTTTTTTATATACAAAATAAAGAAAAATGAACCTTTTTGGTCAACCCCCACATGAAGTCCATTATAGTCATTTCACCACCACCCACCACGACACTTAAAGACACTTGCTCCGCCCAACTTGCCGTTGACAACGACACGCTGTTAAGCATTTCCCTGTCCTAAAATCCCAAAGACCAAAAAAAAATTCTCAAAGACTTCATCTCCCTTGACCCCTAAATTGACCAAAATGGGCAACTGCAGCAGCGGCGCCCTGCCCTCCGCCCAAGACTCCACCGCACCTGATCCGCGCCAGCACCGCCCATCTAACGGCGGCGTTCGGATCCTCTCTCCCAATGCCCCCGCCCCACCCAAACCCCAGCCCCACCCACCCACAACCACCGCTGCTTCCGCCGCGCCTCCCATCGGCCGCGTCCTCGGCCGCCCCATGGAAGACGTCCGCGCCACCTACACCTTTGGCCGCGAGCTCGGCCGCGGCCAATTCGGCGTCACCTACCTCGTCACCCACAAGCACAACAAGCAGCAGTTCGCCTGCAAATCCATCGCCACCCGCAAGCTCATCAACCACGACGACGTCGAAGACGTCCGCCGTGAGGTCCAGATCATGCACCACCTCACCGGCCATCGCAACATCGTCGAGCTCAAGGGAGCTTACGAGGATAAGCACTCCGTCAACCTCGTCATGGAGCTCTGCGCCGGCGGCGAGCTCTTCGATCGGATCATCGCTAAAGGCCATTACTCCGAGCGAGCTGCGGCGAATCTCTGCCGTCAGATCGTCACCGTCGTGCATTACTGTCATTCGATGGGGGTGATGCATAGGGATTTGAAGCCGGAGAATTTCTTACTCTTGAGTAAGGATGAGGACTCGCCGCTCAAGGCCACCGATTTCGGGCTCTCTGTGTTTTTCAAGCCAGGTCAGCTTTGGTTGTTCGAATTTCATGTGTAGTTTTGTTTTTACAGTAGTTTTTTACTGTAATGGCATGAGTTAGCTAATTTTTTTGCTACTTTGAAGACTAAAGTTGTAGTCTTTAACTTGAGCTGGGTTTGCTTCAATTTTTGTGTTTATCATACAGTTCATGTAGAATGGCTCGAATCTATTTCATTGCATTTAGGAGATAAACTTGAGCTGAAGTTGACAAGTTTTGAAGACTGCATTGGTTTAGAAATTGAAACATTACTCTTCATGAGTTTTATTTCTATCCACTAGAAGTCTTTTGTGGAGATTGTGTATTGTTTGTTGGCGGCAAGAATTTTAGTTTGGCATCCAACACATTAGTAGTTACAGTTCATTGCTTGCACCAAAAATAGGGGCAAAGTCCTCCGTGCCTATTCTGCTTTTAAATCATGAATTACTAAGAAGCATGCTATGGTTGCCACTTTCCCAGAGTGTTGCTACTCATGTTTCACAATGAGTTCAATTGTTCTAGGTCTTGCTTTAACTTGGCATGTGTTATTGTATTTTGCATTTTAAAACTTGAAATTGTTTCTTATCATCTTCGTTTTTGAGGTTTAGTTATTCAAAAGTAATGTACATGAGATGTGCTTAAGGATCTTCATGTTGAAATGTACAGTTTATTTTTGAGTGCAGGAGATGTATTTAAGGATCTTGTGGGAAGTGCATATTATGTTGCTCCCGAAGTGCTGCGTCGGCGTTATGGAGCTGAGGCTGATATTTGGAGTGCAGGGGTGATACTATACATTCTACTTAGTGGAGTCCCACCATTTTGGGGAGGTATGGCTTTTGTCCCAGAAGAGTAATAGAATTTTAACCATGTAGTCCTTTTGATTTCTGAGTAGAAATCTATGAAAAGCTAAATATTACTTCCAAAATAGGTTTATACATCTATGTCTGGATAATGTCCTTGACAGTACGCCATCTAGTTCATTGATACGACCAGAAGTCTCACGATGACTTTTCAGCCCCTTTGTTTTATCCTCTTCATCTAATCCTGAAAAAGAACAAGGCTTTCTTTTCAGCAAAAAAACATAATTAATTTCCTTACATCCTCCCTCGTGATCCAATTATCTGCCAGTAAGCTTTAAGTCAGCACTCAGCATGAATTTTATGTTATTTTCCATTTTCAGTTTATCGCATTTGTAACAGTTGCTCAGTTTAGCAGTGGTTTCCAGCTTCACTTTTCTTTCATATGCAGAGAATGAACAAGGTATCTTTGATGCCATTCTTCGGGGCCATATTGATTTCTCATCTGATCCCTGGCCTTCCATATCTAGCAGTGCCAAAGATCTTGTGAAGAAAATGCTCCGAGCTGATACTAAGGAACGACTTGCAGCAGTTGACGTTTTAAGTAAGTTTTCTTTGAGTTTCTGCTAGAGACATGGAATTCTTTTAAGTTATTTCAGGCCTTTCTTTTTTGTGTGGAGAATTTCTATGTCTAGTTTCTTCATATGGAAGTGGGCATTATATTACACAGATGTAGTTGGGGTCATGCTCTAGGAATGATGACATGATATTATCTCCTTGGCATCATATTTTAAATTGACTAATTAAAGGGTGAAAATTATGGAGGATGCTCCTGGTTGCAGTTTCATTTAAGTGAGCTAGCCATACATCAGAAGGTTTGGAGGATTAAGAGAAAGAATGAAGGTGCTCAGTTGATATGGTTTCCTATGGTTTAAGTGAGCTAGTCATTTGTATATTGTCACATATTTTCTTTGGTAGTTTCTTTGGCCAGGCTTGTTGGTCATTAGGTTGAGGAAGGGAATATGTTTGGGCCAATCATACAGGAAAATTTTCTTTTCATGCTTTTTACCTGTTAAAATCATCCCTGGATTAGTGTTAGTAAATTATAAATGAAAACTAAACCACTCAAAATGCAATGCAGATCATCCATGGATGCGAGAAGATGGTGATGCATCTGATAAACCTCTTGATATTGCTGTTTTATCTAGAATGAAACAGTTCAGGGCAATGAACAAACTCAAGAAAGTAGCATTGAAGGTGAGTGTATCTTTTTTCAACTTCATTAGCATCATATTCATGGATTGGAATGAGTTTGGTGCAAATGAAATCCTAGGGTGTGGGCATGCTGCTGGTTGAGCCCACGTCATGAGATTAGAGATGCGTCAGCATCATCAGTCTTGTTTTTGCGATTAAAAATTCAATAACATATGCTTTATTTTACTCTTGCAGGTAATTGCAGAAAATCTTTCTGAAGAGGAAATCATAGGCTTGAAGGAAATGTTCAAATCCATGGACACAGATAACAGTGGAACAATTACATTTGAAGAGTTAAAAGCTGGTCTTCCAAAACTGGGAACCAAGCTTTCTGAGTCTGAAGTGAGACAGTTGATGGAAGCGGTAATATCTCCAGTCTTCTTACTATTAGTGCAACTGGAGCTTCATGATGCTAGTGGGTTCGCTAATTTTAGTTAAGAGAGAAGAAAAAGAAAAGATCTGAGAGACAAGAAAGAGAATAAAAGGGACTTTTCATTTTTCTTATTCTTGATCGATGGTTAGCAAAGAAATAGAGAGAAAAGTGAGGACTGTTTGAAATAATTAAAGATCAATCAATATCAAAATCGCATTTTCCCCTCCAATCTCTCCACCCTTGGAGGGAAAGGTGAATGTGAAGAGAAAATGAGGCTCCAAATTTATCTTCACATTTGCCCATTCATTTCTAATCTTTTTTCTCAATTTCATTCATTTTAAACATGACTTACTATTTTTCGTAAAAATGTTCCAAGGATACTTTGGTGGAACAGAATCATCAGCTTCTTAGTGTTTCAGTTATCATAAACCTATAATAAGTCTAAACCATTCAGCTTTATGACTGCTTCAGATATTTTATATGTTTCTTCCATGTGCAAAACTCATTTGGATGATCAATTTCATGATCCTACAAAACTTGACAAATTCTGTTTTCCTTTTCAGGCTGATGTGGATGGAAATGGAACAATTGATTACATTGAGTTTATAACGGCTACTATGCACATGAATAGAATGGAAAGAGAGGACCATTTATACAAAGCCTTTGAATATTTTGACAAAGACAAGAGCGGGTGACAATTTACTCTATTACCAATAACATAGTTATAGCTGTTTTTTGTCCCTATATTGATGTAAAGCTGAGTATCATTTTTTGTTTCTAAAAAACAGTTTTTAACCTCTGCTGATTTCAGGTACATCACAATGGAAGAATTGGAGCAAGCACTTAAGAAGTATAATATGGGTGATGAGAAAACAATTAAGGAAATCATTGCGGAAGTTGACACAGACCTTGTACGTTCATAATCTCCTTGCCTTCATATATATTTTTTTTTTTTTCTACTCTCTTTTTTTTTTTTTTTTTTTTTTTTTTTTTTTTTTTTTTTTTCTTTCCACAATGTATTTCGCATGTGAGATTAGACAAATTACACTTTAATGAAACTGTGACAACTGAAGGATTAGGGTCTGGACTTTTTCGTCAATATAATGTTGAAATCATATTGGGATAAGACTTCACACTGTTGATTTTCGGCCACACAATTGTTGTCGACACCAAAACTGGAATGGTCATATAGTACTGGGAGAGGGGCAATGCAAATTTCTCATGTTTTGAACAGAAAATCCAGGACATTGTTCCAAATTTCTGATAATGCATCTAGTACCAAAAATAAGTGACACAACCAACCAGTAAAAAATATATATTAAATCAGACAGTCTCTGAATTTCTTTGTTGCAAAGAGAATCCTGTCAATCATCTCGTAGTTACACCATCACATATTACTAACAAACTGGGCTGATTGCTACAGTGTTCTTGTTTTCATATCCTGTCTTTTGGCAAAACCTTGTTGAATGTTTTTGTCACACTTAATGAATTCCCAAATTATTTGCAGGATGGAAGGATTAATTATGATGAGTTTGCAGCCATGATGAGGAAAGGCGATCCCGAGTTGGTCACAAACAGACGAAGAAAATAGACAGGACACTGTTTTGCTGGGCTAAACTCCTGGCGTGACCGGTTTGTTAATTTTGCGGGCTGAGAAATCATTTTCAATCTCAGTTTAGCTGCTTGGGATTGCATGTCATTCGCCTGCCCTTTAGTGGAAGAGATGAGTGCTCGATTTACGTAAGTTTGCAGAATGATTCAACTTCTTTGTGTAGGGCAGATTTCCCCTTTGGCAATTTAGTGGTGCAATGTTAGAGCATATGCGAGTTCTCTAAGCCCAACTTCCCCATGCAAAAGAGAATAAAATGAATGCTAGTTATGCGGTCCTCCTACTTGTCCCTGTATTTGGCCATTTTACCTGAAGTAATGATCTAGATTTTCCCGACATTTTAATTGCTTCAGGATAACGTTATTTATAAATTTCCAATTTTATATGTGAACAAAAAGCTTTTGGGTTCTGAAAGAAATATTGCATTTGCAAATTTTATACATGTATTGTTGTCATATGGTTCATCTTCGTCACCATTTCTTATGAATGATGAATATTTCATCCATTTTTTCCGCATTTAATATTTCATCTCCATGAATTTTGTTGCAAAGAAAGAGAATCAACATTCAACAAGAAATATAAGGTGAATAACACCAAACACTCATTCGGTGTATTTAACTACTGTAACATTGTCACATGGTGTTATTTTTTTGTGTCGTATCACTGCGGCCGCATGGTTCATGAAATAGAGGCACTCCAGATCTCTGCTGTTTATAGTTTACTGTTTAAAATGAAACTTTTGTTTTGTTTTACTCATCCAACACAGGAATCTTTCCATTTGCATAAATTAATTGAGGTAAATGGATGGCATTCGACAATAAAAAAAGGATGGGGAGCCAAGAGTGTAATTTCGTAAACTCCAAAGGACGAATCTGCAAAGAAACTTTTAGCAACCTAATCTAAGGGGGGGTGTATCCAATTCTAACTTTTAATGACTTTTAATGAATTTAAAAGTCTGAAGGTATTCAATTGTGACTTTTAAATAGTCTTTAAAAGTTTAGTTGTATTCAATTGTGAGTTTTAAAGAGTATTTAAAAGTTTTGAGGTATCCAAAATGTTAATGACTTTTAAAAACTTTGTTAAATAAATGACTTTTCAATACTTTTAAAGGTAATTCTTACTACCAAAAGTCTTGCTAATTTACACCAGACTTTATGAAAATATTGGGAAGCTGAGAAGATAGAAACAAAACGTCTCCAAATGTCTCCAATTCTTTCTTCCTTTGTTATATCAAGCATCAAGCAGATGGATCTTTTTTCTTCATGGTTAGGGCTCCACTTTGGTATCCCATTGTCATCCACTTCCTTTAGGTTAGTAAAAAAATATTGAATGTTTTTCTTCTCTTCTCATCCACACGTTTCTGTTGATGAATATCTCTTCTCATCCACTTCCTTCAGCTATGTTTGCATATAAATATTTTATTATATTGATTGTCTCATATGCTATGTTTGCATACAATATTTTATTATATAATTTTTTGCCCCTAAACCCATTAATTTATTCTTTAGGTACTGTTTCTTTACCCATAATTCGTTAGGTGGATAATTTTTTCATATAATATTCTCAATTTGATTACATCCCACATATTAGGTTAGGAGAATTGCTGGAATATAGACTCTTGTAATCTGACCATTTATGTTGATTTGTGAGTGTTTATGAAATATTATTGATGACTGAGTAATATTTATTTCTTTTGATAAGAATTTGTTACTTGTCTATGTGATTAGATTTGATAAATAAAAATTTAAAAGGTGCATTGGATGCAGTTTACCAATAAGCTATTATGAAAATATACACAATTAATAAGGATTTGTACGTGTGATATAGTAATTATCAATGGAAGAATCACAACAAGGAAGCGAGGAAGTGACCCCGAAACCGCAACTGAGTTGTTCAATCTTCGCCATGCTTCTTTGAGGAATGTAATTGAGAGGATATTTGGGATATTTAAATCAAGATTCACAATTTTCAAGTCAGCACCTCCATTCCCATATAGGACTCAAGCAGAGCTTGTGTTAGCTTGTTCAGGACTACATAATTTTCTTCGTAGGGAATGTCGTTCTGATGAATTTCCTATTGAACCAGAGAACGAGTCTTCATCATCTTCACCATTATTAGGGAATGAAGGAGATAATGTGGAACAAGTTTTTGAAACTCAAGAACAACAACGAGAGAATGCTAATGAATGGAGAGTTGGTATAGCTTCTGACATGTGGAGAAATGCCATGCAAGATAATAACGGAACTCAACAGTAATGAGCATTGGAATTTTCAAAAGGAATTTGTATTATGGTTTATTCACCGTCATTGAAATGAATCACGGCTAAGCTTTTTTTAAAACTGAATCATGACTAGTTGAATGCCAATTATTTCCTTATGGTACATTTTCAAATGTACTTTGTCATTTTTATCATTTTCTAATGTTAAGGAGAACTATTCTTTGCTTTTATGTAATTGTATCCAATTGTTTTTTTCCCTAATTTTTTGTTCAATAGATGCCGACTAGTTCATTCAACATAAAAGATAAATGCTATTTGTAAAATAAATATAAAAATAAGTATTTAAAAGTCTATAAAACTCTATGACAAAAGTATATGAAAGTTTGTCACTTAACTTTATAAAGTATGTAAAAGTCATTAAGAATTTGTCTACTCTAGAAAAGTCATTCACTTAAAAAAAGTATTTAAAAGTTAGAATTGGATACACCCCCCTAAAAGAAACTTTTAGCACCCCAGTCAAAAACAGACTTTTAGCAAAGCCGACATTCTTTGCTTTGCAGGGCCCACTGAAACAGAAAAACCGAAACACCGAGAAAATCCCGGCGGCAGAGGACCCGCCAGATTTGGATCTGTTAACTTACAACGTTCGACACTTTCGAATTCGATAATTTCCACCTCTTAACACATACCACCGTCCCCAAAATTTAATTTCTCTTTCTTTTAAATTTTGTGTGCTTTGAATTCTCTTATCATTTTCTTAAGCTTCAAAGGCCAGGAGAACACAGAGCGAATCGTAGAGGTCCATCTCCGACTGGCCATGGTAAAAACCCTCACTTTTCCGTTTGTTTCTCGAGAAAAATCAACGAGAAAATCCAAGAAAATTCTTTGAAACCAAGCCATTCTTCAGTTTATGCAAAGAATCTTGATTTTCATCATGCACAATCAAATTCCTAATATCTTTAGTATTAGTTAAATTGAAACCCAAAACAAATGATGAAAGGGGCTATGAACTTTAGGTTTCAAATAGAACATTACCATATACATTACTAAGAGTAATTTATTGTATGCATTGTGTTTGAATAGTTACATGCTTTATGTTTAGCTTTAAAGCTTGAAACTTTATGCACTGTGTGTTCTTTTAACAGGTTGACTGGAGAGGTCAAAGTAGACAAAATGCCCTTTTGGTGTATAGGAGTTTTGGTTTGGTTTTTGGTGCTTTGAGCATTGCCCCTCTTTATGTTTATAAATGTGCATTTTCTGGAGGGTTGCTCCATTACCAAACCGAGGATGCAGTCTTTGGGGTGTTTTCGGTGATTTTTTGGACTATTACTCTTATTTCATTGTTCAAGTATGCTTTTATCATGTTGAGTGCCAACGATAATGGTCAAGGTAAGAGCTGATACACTTGTCACTGATGCTGCCAGCCCTATTCTTTGTTTGTGGATTCATGTTTGTAGTTTTGGGTCATTTTCAGGTGGGCTTATCGCATTATATGCACTCCTTTGCAGAAATGCAAAATTCTGTTTGCTGCCTAATCATCAAGCAGCTGATGAGGAGATCTCTACATATTGTTACCCAGGTCGTTCCAATACGAACAGACCCACTTCACCATTGAAAGGATTTATTGAGAGACATAAAAGTGCCCAAACTTGTTTACTTCTTCTAGTTTTATTTGGAGCTTCCATGGTGATCTGTGTTGGTATCCTCACTCCTGCAATATCAGGTGAATTGTCCTTGTTTGACCCCTTTGATCCTTTAAAATATTGCAGTGGGATTTGCACTGATTGATTTTTTACTTTTGTACTTGGTTCTTTATGCCATTTGTTATCTCTTTAACAACCTGTGCTAATAAGAAGTGTTTGGTCATTTGCAGTTTTTGCATCTGTTGAAGGGCTAAAATTTCAAGCGAAAGATTTGCATAATAGTGAGTCTTCCTCTCCAAAAGTAGAATATATGTATACATATGTAACATTGTCCTAATAAAATTCAACTGTTAATAATTATAGTTGTCCGAAATAAACATATAGGTTATGGTAATGAGTTTGAGCAGTTGTCTGGCTTTTCTGGTCTTGCTACAAGCCCAAACATAATTTATGTATGTATACTTAGCAGTCTCTGATATCTGTAAATAAGGTTGAATCTACTAGTTCAAAAATTATCAGATGAGAAAGTAACATTTAGTAGAACCGTAGTTAGTAGTGTGAGATTTATATACTTAGTAGTGTCTTAGCTTTATAACTTTGCTGAGCACCCACTTCCATTTGCTGGGTCCACAATGCATTACTTAGATGCATAATGGAAAGGAGTCCTGGTCTCTCAGATTGAGATGTCAGCATCATACCAAGAAAGTTGCAAGAGGGAAAGGAGAAATGATAGGGGATGGGGATTTGCAGAACTACCTGTTTTTCCATGTAAAAATGTTCTTCGCTCTTAAAATTTATCTGGTGCCATTTTAGCTACTAACACTTCTACACAAACCAGGTGTGGTGGTTCTTATTGCCTGTATTCTATTAGTTGCTCTTTTTGTTTTGCAACACCGTGGCATCCACAAGTTGGCCTTCATATTCACTCCCATCATGATCCTTTGGGTACTGTTAATTGCTGCTGTCGGAATCTACAATATCATCGAGTGGAATCCAAGAGTATATCAGGCTCTTTCTCCATATTATGTTTACATATTCTTTAAGAGGACAGGAAAAGATGGTTGGATTTCTCTTGGAGGAATACTTTTATGTATTACTGGTAAGTAGAGCACTTGCACATTTTTTCTTTCCATAGCTCTACTTCTCATAATTGGGTAATGTTTTTTTTTATCAATTGTAGGAACTGAATCCATGTTTGCGGATCTTGGTCATTTCAGAGCAACACCAATAAGGGTATGCAGGACCACTAATTGTAGACTAGGCCTTTTAGTTCATGCTAGGCTGTGGGTTTGTGCAAGGAAGTCACGATGCAAAATATTATCTTTCTGTTCTTTTTGTTCTTTTGCATTTGTTTTATTTATTTTTAAGAGCTTTTAAGGCCCAGGGCTGATTGCTTTGGGATTCTCCATCATGGTGTGAAGAACAGGTTTTAAAGTTAGACATTACTGTGGGATAGAGTACATTGTCATTAACAGTGAAACTTATTGTCCACATATGTAGTTCTTTTTCAAATGTTGATATGCTCAATTTGTCTCTGAGATGAAATGGAACTACCTAGTAAATTGTTATGAAACTTTTTCTAGGAGTCATAGGTCAACCAGAAGGATAAAACATGCAGTTTAAGCATTAAATGTGCATACTTAAAATTTTCTATACAATACAATCAAGCCATGGTAACTTTAAGGTGGTGGAAAACATATGGTTTGTCTCAATTAGTTGGGTTTAGAATAAATTTGAGTTCAGAAATTGATTTTAAAGTGTTGCATTCAGAGTATTTGATTTAAAGAGAGGGTATTTATTGATTAAAATATGGTAACCTGAAATACGTGAAAATTTGAAGTGGTCTGTCTGTGGTTTAATCCACACAGAGTAATATTAAGGCAGAAACCCACTTGTGGTTACATTAAATGAAATCACAATTCGACTGTTTTGTTTTGCTCTGAGGAGTAGCCTTAACTGGCAGGAGTATATGTAAATTCTGCACCTCTCATTTCTGGTTGGTGATTAAAGCATTATGCATGTTCCAGGCATACATAGGTCTTTTTCTGGAGAATTTGCACTCTATCCTTGATGGATTGGTGTTCCCACCCTGCCATTTATGTAGAATGCTGAAGATTGTGGCATATATCAACAGTTCTACGTAGCAAGGGAAAAACTAACTCTTGTTGATATGTGCAGGTTGCATTTTCTTGTGTCATTTATCCATGTCTAATACTTCAATACATGGGACAAGCTGCATTTCTTTCAAAAAATTTATCTGCAGTGTCTATGAGCTTTTATGCTTCTATTCCAGGTAAGCTTCGTGATATGCAAAGAAAAATTGCTGTCCGGACTTGATTGTGGATTCTGGAATGATTACATTAATGTGCATACTTAACAGCCTCCATCTCCCTTTAACACTTTGATTCGTAAAGCTTGTTGAGCATTCTTGCATTATTTATTTTAAAAGATTTATCTGTGAAAAATTACTACTGTTTAGCTTACAGAATGCTCGTCTTTTCTGTAGTTCCCTTACTTTGGCCAGTACTTGTGGTTGCACCTTTGGCTGCCATTGTTGCCAGTCAACCTGTTATCTCTTCCACATTCTCGATAGTCAAGCAATTGCATGCAATACGATGTTTTCCTCGCGTCAAGGTTGTACATACGAAGAGACGGATCCCTGGTCAGATATACATCCCTGAGATAAACTGGTCTCTTATGATTCTCAGTCTGGGTGTCACAATTGGTTTTCGAGACACAAATTATATAGGAAATGCTTATGGTATGTCATCTTTTATCTAAAATACTTTCAATATCAGATAATATTATTTTCCTTATTGGTTGGTGTTTGTGCATGCCATATACTTGTTAAGTCCATCAAAGAACATGTCAGTGTTCTCTATGGAAACCAAATATTGCGTTGACTTTCATACATGCTCATATATATATGTGACAGTTATTGAGAAATCAATTTCACATCTGGGAAATAGAGGTAAATCATGATAGAGTTTTATTTTGAATCTTAATTTCTTGTCCGCCCAAATTATCTGAACCATACATGTGGTACTTTTGGGGAGATGGGTGACTTTATCTGGACGGAATAAGCTGCTCTTCCCATTGCAAATGCCAGTTCAATGAATTCTGCATATTGTGCCCTTTTTTCCTTTTCAGAAGGGCTACTTATTAGATTCAGTAGGTATGAGAATGGTACCAGGTAGATACTTAACGCAAAACTCTTTTAAATAGTAAGAACCTATGTCGTCTAAGGACCTTTCAAATTTGGATGGCCAATGATCCCACCCATTATTCCTGTACTTTGCATGGTGCTTTGAGATATTTTATCTACTATTGGACTGGCCCTAACCTTGACACGAGTCATGACAGTTCAGCTGTTACCAGTATCTTAATTTATATCTACATCCAGGCAAAACATTACAGAGTAGATCTAGTCAATATCGTAAATTTTTCATGTTTCTTCTTTCATTTTGTAAACTAAAGCTTATCTTGGTTTCTTAATATCAGGGATTGCATGTTTGGCTGTTACAATCATAACAACGTGGTTGACATCGCTAGGAATCAGCCTTGTTTGGCATAAGAGTTTCATGTTTGCCCTTTTATTCAGTGTACTATTTGGTTCAGTTGAAATCATCTACCTTTCATCTTCGTGTATGAGAATCCTTAAAGGTGGATGGTTTCCCCCTGTTCTCTCTGCAGTCTTCTTGGTAGTTATGTATGTCTGGCAATATGGAACGAGGAAGAAGTATTTGTATGACCTGCATAACAAGGTTTCCATGAGGCATATACTCACGCTGGGCCCTAGTCTTGGGATTGTTAGGGTCCCAGGGATTGGCCTCATCTACACTGAGCTGGCTACGGGAGTCCCAGCAACATTTACTCATTTCTTAACCAACTTACCAGCCTTTTACCAAGTGATTGTCTTTGTTTGCATTAAAACTGTTCCTGTTCCCTATGTACCCCAAAAAGATAGGTATCTTGTTGGTCGCATTGGTCCCAAATCTTATGGGATGTACCGCTGTATGGTTCGGAATGGATACAAAGATGTCTTTAAAAATGGAGATGACTTTGAAATTGATGTGGTGATGAGCATAGCGGAGTTCATCCAAATGGAAGCAGAAGGTTGTGGAACTCCTGAAGGTACTGTGGATCGCCGTATGGCAGTTGTGAAGACATCTGGGAAGTTTGGCACAGCATTGTTTATGTCACAAACTTCTGGCCCTGGAGAAAGCAGCAGTTCAAGTTCTTCAACTATTGTGAGCAGCAGCAAGTCTAACACACTGCAGAACTTGCAGGCCACCTATGAGCAAGAAGCACCGAAACTAAACTATTGGAGGCGGGCTCGGTTTGGGTTGATGGATGCAAAATGCAAGGATACACGTGTGAAGGAACAGCTGCAGGAACTTGTGGAAGCAAAGCATGCTGGGGTAGCATATGTAATAGGCGCTGCGTATTTAAAGGCAAAATGGAATTCGTCATTCATAAAGAAGTGCGCTATCGATGTTGCCTACTCTTTCTTACGTAAGAACTGCCGATCTCCTGCCGTTGCATTGAACATTCCTCATATCTGTTTAATCAAGGTGGGAATGAACTACATTGTTTAATGCAAACCTCTGGTGGTACATCTTGTGAAGATGCATATTTTGGCAGCAAAACTTGCACAGTGCCTGCTTTGTCCAGAGTTTCATGCACTTTATCTTGTGTGAATAGATTCAGATTGTTGGTATTTGGAAGATACGTTGCTAACTTGGCACAAAGCATTGATGGAGGAGGTCATGTTAATGCCAAGTTGTTGGTTGTTCTACTGCTGAGGCCTAAGTGGTTCTCAATAATTGAATTAGCCAGAGATGCTCAATCTGTTATTAGAAGCAGGATTTTAATTGGTTCCGCAAAATTTCAAGCCACATAATTCTTGTGTTCCCGAAATTGTTTTGTTTTGTTTTGTTTCGTAAACCCAAATTCAGGTTTGTTTACGTGTATGGAAAATTGGAAGTAGCATTTTTTGTTCTTTCTTTTTTCATTTGAAGGGAGATTGAGAGTTGATGCACTTTGTGTACAAATAACAGAACCTTGTCCAAATAACTTTGTTCAGCTTGGAGGATCGGTCTGTGACATTCATAATTCATTACAAAAATTCATTGACGTTTATAAATATCTTTTTATTATCACTTTCCCCCTTACTGTTGTATTATAAATGATATGAATGTTGTTGGAATTCTTTTGTATGGGAATGTGTTGTTGATGGCAGTATAAAACTCAAAATCTTCATCAATTTTAAGCTAAGTTTGATATCAGAGATAATGAAGTAATGAACTGAAAGGGTTTCCACTCACCATTCATCATAAACTTATGCATAATACATAAATTTACGTTCCAACTCTAGAATCCCTAATACCTTCCCCGGGGGGGAGAAAAAGCGAGAGTCAAACCCTTACTGAGAATGTGATGTAATAAGTCGCTATAATCCCTTCCCATATCATATATTCAAATCAAACGACCCTTGTTTTAGGGCAAGCAAAGGCAACCACAAAGTCCATAAAGTTGAGAAGAGGAAATTGGGTTCTTATTCCTAATCCTATATTTTAATTCCTTGGTTTATCTTTGAGTAGTCCAGCACTCCAGCCAGTTAGTCCGGTCAGAGAAAGAAAAATTCCCTGGAAAAAAGGCAATCCAATCCAATTATCATTTATCATTTCATGAATGGGTAGGCAGAGTGTAATTTTCAACCATGGTTTTGAGTTATGACCAACGACCAATAAAAATATGATAAAAATCCCATTATCCCAATTTCCCAGAATCTCTGGGAATTGGAAAAAACTCTTATCCATGTATCCAAACACCCCCTCAAACCCATAAATTACTCAGCCAGCAGCCACAGGCCCAAACCAAACCCAGGCAGGCATTTGAGATGGAGATGCGATGAGCCCTTTAACACCTGTACAATAACCAATCCCTAACTTTCTTTCTGAGAAGCCAATTCCCATTCTCTCCCTCCCTCCCTGAGAATCTGGGATTTGGGGGAAACCAACTGCCAAACAAAAGAGAAAACTTTCAAACCCAAAAAACCCCTCTGAAGTCTGATGCAAACGGAATTTGGGAATTTGGAGAATTCGCTCACAACATGTTGAGCTCCACTTGCTCTCACTCTCTTATTCGCCGCCCTTTCCTTCAATCACCTGCCCCCAAAACTAGGGTTTCGACCCGACCCGGAGCTCTATATCCAATTTCCCGGAGTTTTAGGATCTTCGAATCTCACTCCAGGCCTTCCAGCACGGTAAATAATGTTCCCTCTTGTTTGTTTATCTTCATTTATGTCGATAATTTACAGTCTGTTCACTGCTTGGTTGCCGAGAAATGTATGAAATATTGAAAATTTTGGACCTTTTTATTGACTATTTAATTGAGCTGTACAAAAGGGTAAGACTTGGTTTTTGTTTTTGTTCCAATTTTCCATTGCTTTATCGGCAGCTAAACCAGAGGTGTATTCTTTTGTGTTATGCCCTTAATTTTTACTCAGTAGTTTTCACTTCTGTGTTTTGGGTTACTTTTTTATTTGCAGAGATGGACAAGAATTTCATGCTTTAGAAAAGAGGATTCTTCATCAGAAACCCCGAAAGCTGATTATATTGGACACTTGGTGCCTGAGGAAGTAGTTAAGACCGAATTCGATGATTCTAAGGTGGTTAAAAAGGATTGGGGAATCACTCTTCGAGAGGTCATATTTCCTTGTTTTATTACTTTATTCAATGAGTTTGAATGTCTGGTTGTTCTTGTTGTAGTATGTACAAGAAGTGGATGGTAAATAGTTTGTAGAACATAGAGATTTTTATCGAAGTTACTATTGAGATTATTAGGGGGTTGGATTGAAGTTTGAGTTTCTGACATGTTGATTAATTGCCTTGTTGATCCATGTACATTATATGTGTGGTAGTTGAAAGTAGAAGTGTTAAATTGATTATAAACCTTACCATTGAAATAGTTTGAGACCATGAAACATCACTTGATCTGACATCTGAATGATAAGTAGTATTTTTTATTCAAGGATTTTCTTAAGAGTAGGTTGAAGATTTATGGTGTTAAAGACTATGGCAATATTCACTGCATCGCCTAGATGAAGTTCTTTAACTTTTATAGTTGCAATTGACTTATAGTAAGGTGAATGATAAAGTTCATGCAGTATGAACATATGATTATTTGATGGAAATTTAGGCGGTAACCACCTTGACTAGCTGTTTTCAATACCACAACAAGTTATGTTGTTTTTCCAGTATGTGAATTTCGGTGAGTGAATCGTGCCATCTGCCTATGGTGGTATCCTAAGCTTTTAATAATCAGTAGTAAACACCTGATGTTTGGTTGATTGAATGGGATATATATCCATAATTGTACTAGGGTGTATGATTAGGACAAATCATGATCTTGCATTTGCTTTACAGTTATGCTTCAATTGTCAGGATGTTGAAGGGAGATAAAATAGTCTAGTTTTATCTCCATCAGAAACTAGGATGTTGGTTCCATTTTCGTTTTTGCTCTGCTGCTTAAGTGGCTGCATCGAGGTTCTCATTTTTTCTTTCCTGGGGGGTTAAATTTCAGGCTGCAGATGCAGTGTTTAGGGCGATTGGGAGTCGGTGGAGTGTGCCATGGACAGCAGAGACCATAATGCAGGTAACTGTTTCAAATAGTGTGTGATGAAACTTAAATATGACTAGGCGACAGTTGTGGATTCCAAGCTGTCACATCCACCATCTACTTTTAAAGGATTAGTTTACAAGAAAAAGGAAAATTATGAAGATAAGGTGTTTTAATAACCAGGACTTATAAAGAAAGAGACTTTTGCCCCTTGTTATTGGCAAAGTTGATGTGATATACATGATGCAGGTCATGCTACTATGGGTTGTAGCTTTCTGGTTCATAGGTTCTTGGATGGTTCCATTTGCAGCTCACCTGGCAGGTTTCAGCAGGGAATCATTAACATTTAGAGGACAAGCCTTATTTAGCCTGGTGACTGATGTAACTGAGGGTCTTGCTGGAATTGTGATCCTTTATCGCTGCTTATCTCGTTTCCGTCCGCTTCCCCCAGATTGGTTCAAATTTAGCTTGAAAGGATCCTGGCAGTTGGATGTTGCTCTTGGATGCCTTATGTTTCCACTGGTCAATCGGCTGTCACAGTTCAACCTCAACCTACTACCTCTTTTGCCTTCCACCCCTGTCACAATATCAAGTGTTGAGCAATCAATTTTGGCACGTGATCCAGTGGCAATGGCACTGTATGCGGTAGTAGTTTCGGTGTGTGCTCCTGTATGGGAGGAGATAGTGTTTAGGGGTTTCCTACTTCCTTCCTTGACCAAGTACATGCCTGTATGGTCTGCAATACTGGTGAGCTCGGTTGTATTTGCTTTAGCGCATTTTAATGTACAGAGGATGCTACCACTTATTTTTCTTGGGGTGGTGATGGGTGTTATATTTGCACGGTCAAGGAACCTATTACCATCAATGCTCTTGCATAGCCTTTGGAATGGCTTTGTATTTTTGGATTTAATGAAATAAGCACAAGATTTGTTCTTTGGGATTCATTCATCGGCCAATCGGATCATAAAGAAGCATCCAAATTAATGGTTTTCAATCCTTCAAGAGGTGAGAGGTCCGCTACAAGACTGGCAGCTTGCTCTCGGTCAGTGACAGTGATTAAACAAATTTCAGCAGATTGCAGTTCAAGTCCACTAAATTAATGTGAAGTCACAGAGGTTGATCATCAAGGTCGAATCCCTTATCATCAAGAGGATCAGCATGATACTTTGTTCATATGTAAGATGGATAACACAGGGGAAAAGAAAAATGGATAGAAATGATTATTTTGGCCAAGAAGATCTTCAAGTCAGAGGCATAGCAAAGCTCTTGTAGTTTTGTCTGATGACCACATTGTTGTCTTATTTTCTCCTCATTTTTCAATTCCCTTCTCACTGGCCTGTAGAATAGACTATTAATTTATAAAGCTAAGGCTGCTGAGTATGATAAGTACGCGGTGTGCCCTTTGTTATGTAAATGTTGTATTTGACTTGGCAAATCAATGACTAAATACCAACTACACTAAAACCCTCTTGTAGATTTGCAAACATCAAATTGAGCAAAATTAGTATTGGACTTGCCTCATCTTGACTAATTGTTTTTTGAATTAACTGTATCCAAACTATCTTCAATTGCCAATTTAGTTTTGTTTTTTTAATACAAGCGATATTATCCTTTAAACTAATTTAAACTACGGAGATGGGGATTTGAATTTGGGTGTAGAGTGGGGAGCACAGCCGTTCTAGCCAACTTGCCTAAGCCCATGTATGCAATTGTCAATTTAGTTTATTATTGTGTAAGTTAGTTCTTGTAAAGACAAGTTCAAGTTTTTTCAGTGCATCTCAATATGTATATGATTACGGTTGAGAAACATATATCGTTTTATACACCTTATTATAAAATAAATTGCCGAAGAATAATTAAATATATACTTTCTTGTAAAATAACTAGAGAGGAAACATAAGGGCCATTTAATGACATTTATATTTGTAATTTTTAGTAAAAGAGATGGGGAGAAGGAGATGAGATATAAGAGCATTTCCCACCCCCATTGTGTCTTGGCAAAGGCCAAAGGCAAGTAAGGGAAAATACTATTCACGAGAATGGTGACTGCCTTAGCAAGTTTTTGATGCATTTCCACCCATTGTCATGGCAACCACTATTTACATGAGACATGATGATAGGAATTTGTATGGATTTTAGTGTGAGAAGTGAAGAATATGGCTACATATTTATAGAAAGAAAAAAAATTCTGAATTTTTTGATTTTTTTAATAAAAATTTTTGGTATTTAAATTGGCCACTTACGTCAGCTTGCCCAGGTAAGTCTTGCCTTTAGACTTGCCCAGTTTCATGGGCTCACTTCTTGCTATGACAGCTTTTCCTTTGTGAGGATTGTTTTTGGAACCTAAGCCCCCTTTTACTAGAGTGGAAATACTCTAATAGATGTGAGTTAGAAATGAGGGAGTTAATAAAATTAGAAGTTAAAAAACAATGAATTTCAAAATTGTTTTTTAATTTTGGTTTCAGAGCTCTAGTGTTATGATTTATAAAGATAATTGAGTGTACATGTTAACACAAGTCAGGATGGCCGAGTGGTCTAAGGCGCCAGACTCAAGTTCTGGTCCTCTAACGAGGGCGTGGGTTCAAATCCCACTTCTGACAATTTGCCTACAATTTTTATTTTTATTTTAATCTTTCTTAGGACAAAAATGTTGCAAAAAAGCCATGCCAAAGTCTCTCTGTCGCATAATTCCAAGGGGAAAAGGCAAAGTTGTTGCCAATCAAAAGAATCCATTTCTCCCACTTGCATTCTTCTTTTCCGATTTTTGTGCATCCCATTCACACTGCACATAAATCAAACATACTTGCAGCAATTGGGGACATTGAATTCAATGTCAATGTCCAGACATTATGAGACATAACAAGTTGGTGCCCTCCATCAAGCTGATGACACCAAATATCAAACATGATATCTTTTCTGGCTCCACATCTTCTCCCACTTTCCAAACAGAAAATTTTCAAGCCACCATGGTCTCAATTCATGCAGTCATGCAAACAAACAGCCAACTTTGAATCCAAAAGATACAGATGGAAGAACAAGTCACCTATGGGCTTGTACTGGGAGACCATAACATAGGATTGTTTTGTCCAGCGGACTGATTAATCCCATCCATCCCATCCCAATTGCTAGCTACTTGCACTGCATGACAATATTCTGCTGCCTTCCTCGTGTCTCCATGTCACGTGCAAATACAGCTGTAGTGGATTATCCACACTGAAGCAATCTTTGTCTGCCATTTTTTGCTGTGGCTCAGATACAGTGGTGCGGGTGCACCTTTATACTATAATTACGTACGTACCACATGATGTGACCCCTCATTGCATAGTGGTGGTGGTATATATTCTTGCTGGTTCTGATTCCAATGGAATCTGCTTTCAATCTTCTTGCGAAAAACAAAAGGCTATCCCTAGCAAACTTTCAATCTATTAGAGAGAAAAAACCAAAGGCAAAACAGAAGGCCTTCGCTCTTTGAGGCTTATAAAAACTTGTATATCGGAAGGATAGCATTGTTTTACTATATATTCAACTAATTGTGTTCTGTCATGCTTAATAATTATTCCACTTGATGGTGTTTGGCTAATAGTAAGGGTGTTGAGGTTTTCAGACTGTTGCGTTAATCATGGGTGTTAGTTTGCATTAGTTGTGGTAATAGTCACGTGTATCTTTCAGTTAGTTAGGAAGAACTAACAAAATAATTGATTGGAGATAACAAAATAATGCAATCCTCATTACATGCACGTTCTTACCTTGAGACTTGCAATCTAGACCATAGTTTAGATTGCATAGTACACATTACAAATAAAGAGACGTGTATTCACAGATTAAGTTGTATTTGGACGCTCATCTAGATCTTTTCAGATGAGTGCAAACAACGTTACCAATCTAACCATATACAAACAACGGTGGAGCTCGAAGAAAATCTTTATGCAAATCATGATGTAGTCTTTCTGGATAAAGTGATTGATTAGCAAGAGAAAGGTTTGTAGTGTTTGCGGAGAGGTCTCTTTCTTGAGCATTGTTAAATGTAGGTGTTAATTGTCTCCATCAATTAAAATTAATGTAATATGCACATAACGTGTTGATTATACCACGTTTACATCCCATGCAAGGAAATGTCTGATACACCCTCCAACATGTGCACTCCACGAGCGACCCATGCATATATATATCAGAACGAGGCAGTCACCGACATCCAACAGATACCCTAACGCTGCATTGAAATCACGGCTACATGACTAGGGTGGTCTAGCAAGTTGATCACAGCCGTCCAACGTCACCTCCCATCTGAATCCCATACCAAGGTGGGGCCCCAAGCATACCTTTGAACGGTCAAGATATAAGAGCTCAACAGATGCAGTTACCATAGAGGTCGTCCAAAGTAAAGTAGGCAAATTTTTTGAAGCTTATCCTCTTCCGCCCGTTTGGGCTCATCAGGCTGCATGATAACTCTTTAAATTTAGATATGTTTTGCATCGACCCCATTTCCTTTCTAAATTTTTCTGGTTTGGTCCTCTCTAAATTTTTAAAGTGAGCGTCAAAGAGACTTCAAATCCCAAGGACCATAATAATAATAAAAAACTGTCCAAACCGAAACCCAATCCCTCCAAAAAGTGACACGTACAGTGACCCCCACCACTCTGTCTTTAAAAACTTGAATAAACACCGAGAGACAGGGCTGCAAAAGCGGGAACCAAACCTCTTCACCACCACTCACTGTTCTCTCCCCGCCGCCATAAATCCACCTTTTCTCTTTTTCCCGGCGATCCACTTCTTTCGCACCGACCCTTTTCTCTCGTCTTCACATACATACAAGCCTTTCACAGACGGCACAAGAGAAATGAAAGAAAAAACAGAGAAAGAGATCAGAGGTTGAGAAAATTCGGGGTTTTCTTCAATCCTCTGTCCGACCCAGAAACCATTTTTCGAGTTTTTTTGAAAAAGAAATCTAATTTGAGGCTTTTGAACATATGTTTGAACGGAAGTTTGAAGCTTTTTTGTGGGTTCGATCAGTTTCTGGGACTGTGAAGGTTAGATAATAGCGGTTAATATTCCAAAATTACAGATAGGTTGAGTTTTGTGGTGAATTTGGTTTTCTTTAGCAACGAAACTCCATTGGATTCGTTTGTGTACGTTGTTTGATAGCATAGAATGTCTAGAAATAAAAACTAAAAAAATAATAAGAAGAAAAACAGTGAGAAACAGAGAGATGGAGCAGAAAGGCATTTTGCTATCGGCTTTGGGTGTGGGGATGGGAGTGGGAGTTGGGCTTGGGTTGGCTTCGGGTCAGACGATGAGCAAATGGGCCGGAAACGACACCCTCTCCAATGCTCTTACGCCGGATACGGTCGAGCAGGAGTTGCTACGACAGATCGTTGATGGCAGAGACAGCAAGGTCACCTTCGACCAATTCCCCTACTACCTCAGGTCACCACCTTCCCAATATTCCCCAAATTCCTGTTTAACATAAAGTGGATATTCATATTTTAAAGAAGTTAATTACTTTTTGTCATCTTTGAAGCCTTGAGAATGATAGTCTGGTTCTGGCTGTTGGGTTCTCACCAAATTTGACTGATAAAAGTTTTTGTCTTTATCATTATAGCATATAAGATACTTAGATTCTTATTGGTGCATCCATCAAATTTGTTTATCAAGTTTTGTTCACTAAATGATGTGACATGTGACAGTATTTGATTTATTGAAATTTGGATTCCCTTGAACGTTATTGTTTAGATAAGATTGTCGCAGACATACTAATACATAAATTGATGAGCAAACTTGGTAATTCTTTTATATAAAATACTGTTTAACATAGTTAAGTTGATGAATGGTTTTGCAGTGAACAGACTCGAGTATTGATAACCAGTGCTGCCTATGTCCATCTCAAGTGCGCTGAGGTTTCGAAGTACACACGCAATCTTTCTCCCGCAAGTCGGGCTATTTTGCTCTCAGGGCCTGCTGGTATGTAATCTGCAACTTGCATTCAGTGTTTGTATTTACATGTTCTATCATTCTAATCACTCTTTTTTTGTTTTGGTGTTTTCTTCCCTCACTTTTTATATTGAAGAACTTTACCAACAACAACTTGCTAAGGCTTTAGCCCATTACTTCCAGGCGAAGTTGTTGCTCTTAGATGTGACAAATTTTTCTCTAAAGGTGAGTCTCGGCAGTTTTATAGAATGTATACGTATGTTTTTGTGTGTGTGTGTGTGTGTGTGTCCGTTTTATCTTCTACTAAGGTTTATAATGGCTGGGGTTGTACAGATTCAGAGCAAATATGGCAGTTCCAACAAAGCATCTGTAAGCTTTCTTTAAACCATTTCCAGTATGTTCTTTTGTGCAGTTATCATGCCGTCAGTAGAATATAGTCCATAGCCTTCTGAGAACATTGATAAGATGCTGCATGTTTTGTTTTTCTCATCCCTCTTCAGATCTTTTTGTGTAAAAAAGTTGAACATAGTTTTAAATATGTTTGTATCATAAATTGTCATGCTTCCGAATTCTCATTATGAGTTGCCTGTTTAACTTCCTGCTGTTTATTTACTTATAAATTGTAATCATGTATGTGTAGTCTTTTAAAAGGTCCACTTCTGAGGTGACACTAGAGCGGTTGTCTGGCCTATTTGGATCATTTTCAATCTTTCCTCAAAGGGAGGAACCCACAGGTATTGTTGAAAATATTTATTTGATAATTTGTAGGTGAATTTCTGAACATTTATACAATTTTCCTTGTAAATAATATTCTATGATTATCCACGGTCCAACATAGCTCTGACCAGAAAATCTGCTTGCAGGCACATTACGAAGGCAAAGCAGCGGTGTGGATATTCGATCAAGGTATTGGAGGATAATTGAAAAATATGCTTGATTGATTAAAAGGGATATATGTTAGTTCCCGACTTGTTTATTGAATCATATTATTTAACTAATACCTTTTACCTTTACTTGTAGTATGGTAGAAGGTTCTAGTAATCCTTCAAAGCTTCGTAGAAATGCTTCTGCTTCAGCAAATATTAGTAACCTTGCTTCTCAGTCCACTCCCGCAAATTCAGGTTTATTTCTGTTTATTGCAAGAGAGAGCTAGCTGTTTATTGGTTACCCTTACAGTTCATGTATTAAAATCTATTTACAATGTATATTTAAAAGCCTATGATTTGATCAAGTGGTAGTGATGAAATTATATTGGAGTCTTGATAGACAAAAAAAGGAACTTCTATTTGATTTAGTGTTTTAAATAAATTATTTAGAGATTGAAATTCAATTTTGATATACATTGAATTAACTCAAAAACATACATATGATTGATTTTCTATGCTGAGAACATGTGGTTTCAAGTTCTTCTTCAATGGTATGTTGTTACTTTTTCCCCCTCCTCTTTCTGTTCTCTCTGTTTCTAATGAACCCTTTCCATTTTCTAGCTCCACTTAGGCGCACAAGCAGCTGGTCTTTTGATGAGAAGCTTCTTATACAGTCCCTGTACAGAGTAATTACTGATGCTTTTTTGTGCTATATTGTATTTTTAGCGGTCAACAACATGCCACCATGCATTTTCCCATGATTATGTACACAGTTTTTCCTCTGCTTTCCATGTATTTTTCGACCAGGATATTGGTCTCTGAAATAAACTTTGTATATACTTTCAGGTTTTGGTTTTTGTCTCAAATACCTGCCCCATTGTGCTGTATCTTAGGGACGTTGACAAGCTCTTATCTAGATCACAAAGGATATACAACTTGTTCCAGAAAATGTTGAAGAAATTATCTGGAGCTGTGCTGATCCTTGGTTCACGAATTGTGGATCCGGGTGAAGACAACAGAGAGGTTGATGAGAGGCTTACTGCTCTTTTCCCTTACAACATTGAAATCAGGCCTCCTGAAAATGAATCCCATCTTGTCAGCTGGAAGACTCAACTAGAGGAAGATATGAAAATGATTCAGGTTCAGGATAACAAAAACCACATCATGGAAGTACTTTCATCTAATGATCTTGATTGCGATGATCTGGGTTCGATCTGCATTGCAGACACAATTGATCTTAGTAACTATATAGAAGAGATTGTGGTATCAGCAGTTTCTTATCATTTAATGAATAACAAAGATCCTGAATACAGAAATGGAAAACTAGTCATTTCATCCAAGAGGTAAAGGATTTTTTTTTTTAATTTTTTTAAAATTTTGTTTTTGTTTTGGGGGTTTAATGATTGTGTCACTATCCCGTTCTGTGTACTCACACCGTTTTTGCCGTAAAACAGTTTGTCCCATGGATTAAATATATTCCAAGAGGGCAAATATAGTGGCAAAGATACATTGAAGCTGGAAGCAAAGGCTGAAACACTTAAGGTTTGTTGTACTAGTGTTTGTATTATTCTATAACTCAAGGAAAATAGATGGAGTACTAGTTTAATCATTCTCCGGTTCATCTCCATTAATCACAGGAAGCAGGAATTGAAGGGGCTGTTGGTGTGAATTTAGAGACAAAAACTGAAAGTGCTGCTCCTGAAAACAAAAGTGGCACAGAGACATCAACTTCAGCGGCAAAAACAGATGCTGACAATCCAATTCCAATATCAAGAGCTTCTGTAAGTCACCATTATTTTCATTTTTCTAGTATTTTGCATCGTAGCTATTTAACAAACACGTACACACACATACTAGAAGAAAACATGAAAAGTATATATTATGGCCTCATGAACATTTTTACTTGTAGATTGTATGTCATATATAGACGGCATACTTTTGCAGTATTCTATTATGTTATTCTCTCTTCCCCCAACTTTTCTCTTGGTATTGATATTGAGATATCACTGTGTACTACTTAACAGGCAGAACTCGATAATGAATTTGAGAAGCGCATAAGACCAGAGGTCATACCAGCAAATGAGATTGGTGTAACATTTGCTGATATAGGTGCCTTGGATGAGATTAAAGAATCCCTTCAGGAATTGGTAATGCTCCCTCTGCGGAGACCAGACCTTTTCAATGGAGGCCTGTTAAAGCCTTGTAGAGGTATATTGCTATTTGGGCCCCCTGGAAGTGGGAAGACTATGCTGGCGAAGGCCATTGCCAGGGAGGCTGGAGCGAGCTTCATTAATGTATCTATGTCCACCATTACCTCTAAATGGTTTGGTGAAGACGAAAAAAACGTTCGAGCTTTGTTCACCCTGGCAGCCAAAGTCTCTCCGACCATCATCTTTGTAGATGAGGTTGATAGCATGCTCGGGCAGCGGACAAGATTTGGAGAACATGAAGCCATGCGAAAGATAAAGAATGAATTTATGACTCATTGGGATGGGCTCTTGTCTAATCAAGGAGACCGAATCCTTGTTCTTGCTGCTACTAACAGGCCATTTGACCTTGATGAAGCAATTATCAGGCGTTTTGAACGGAGGTACGAATGCATCTGCAATAACTTTTAATGCTGCCAGATCAAACAAGTCTGTAGTGAATGTTAGTGGGATACAGCAATCAATGAAAGTGTAACATCAAAATTACTCACATAATTTTGCTTATGATAACGCTTTGTGTTTAAACAGAATTTTGGTGGGGCTACCAACTGTGGAGAACAGAGAAATGATTTTGAGAACTCTGTTGTCAAAAGAGAAGGTGGAAGCACGACTAGACTTCAAGGAGCTTGCAACTATGACTGAAGGATTTAGTGGAAGTGATCTTAAGGTCAGCATATTTGATTATGTATTTGGTTGTTTAGATGTTTGATGTGTACTTACGTCTGATCGAGTGTGACATTTCTTTTGCACAGAACTTGTGTACAACAGCTGCTTATCGACCAGTTAGGGAATTGATACAAGCTGAGAGAGAGAAGGATCTGGTAAGGAAGTTAAAACCAAGGCTAAATCTGTTGCTGTAGTATCTTCGATTCAATGATCAATGATCATCTTCCTTTCTTTTATTTTAGGAGAAAAAGCAGAGAGCTGCAGGAGGACAAAATCCACAAGGTGCTCCTAGTATAAATCAAGCCGAGTCTTTGGAAGGGCAGAGTCCAGAAGCTGTCCCAGCAACAAAAGAACATAAAGAGGAAAGAGTGATCACCCTCAGGCCTTTAAATATGGAAGACTTTAAGCAGGCAAAAAGTCAGGTATGCTCTCCCTCTCTCTCTCTATTGAAATTCAGATTGGTTTAGTACCCTTTGTTGATTCAAACATAAGCTCTAATTGTGGTTATTTATTGGAATGCAGGTTGCAGCTAGCTTTGCATCTGAGGGAGCCATGATGAATGAATTGAAGCAGTGGAATGACCAATACGGGGAAGGGGGGTCGAGAAAGAGAGAGCAGTTAACTTATTTCCTATGAGACTGTTGGTAAACACTACACATTTTCTTCAGACAGCTTTGAGTATCAACACACCCTTCTCGTTCCTTCAGTTCTTCCTGGCAGAGATAAGTCAGCGGCCAAACTTGAAGATTTGAACAAACAAAACTGGACTGAAGCATTTCCACGGCGGCAGTTTTAGTAAGCGAAGGGGAACGATCTTTCTAGTAATCTGCTAGGGTTTATAAAGGACATGCTTAGAACAATCCGGTATAAACTTGGTTTTGTGTTGATGCCACATTCTGTGAATAAGGTGTGAAAATGATCCCTTATCTGGATTGCTGTGAACTACTGTTTAAGAACGAACTTTAGTAGCAGCTGTATTTTCATGTGTAATATTAATAGGCGAAATGCGAGTGTTTAGATATCTAACCATATACAGCTTTCACTTCTTTTTTGCTTTTTCTTTTTATTTAATTCTTGCAGAGAAATTGTTGTGATTTGCTTTAGACAAACAAGAATTCGAAAATTCTGAAGTTTCGAAGTCTCTATTTTCGAACTCTTGAAGGAAGCTTTTCATTATTTTGTGCCAGACTTGCTTCCTTCCCCTTCTCATATGAGTAATTTTTCTCTACATTTAGCAATGCAATAATCGACACGAGCAATGCCAAAGAGATCGTATTTTTAGGTCATCTAAACTGATCATACAATGTTTGGCAACAAAAAGAAACACTAACCATAAAATATAGCAATGGTGTTACAAATTATGTAATTTGAACAACTCTTGTAAAAGTAGTCGTCAAACTGTACGTTTATTTATTTTTGTTGTTAAGAATGGAAGGCAGATTAGCATCAAGGCAGGCTTCGAAAACTGTAATTTATCAAAGCTTTTCCAATAAGAGAGTTATTAATCAGCGTAAGCCATGGAAGTCAGGGTGCAAAAGAAAGAGCTTAGCTATCAACCTGGCAGCCACCCGTTCTTGACCAAAACATCTTTGGGAAATAGAACTCCTACTAATGTAGTAAAGTTCTCACTATAGCAAATAGTAAAGTCCTAATATAGAAAGAGCTTACTATAGCAAATAGTCTCACTATGTTATCAATATTGTGGATATTCCATCATTTCGAAAGTAAATTATCTCATAAAGTTTTGACATGGAAAAAAACTTAGTTTCAAAGGGGATAACATTGTTTTGATATTCCTGACCAATAATGTTATGTCATGTGGAAGTGTTAATACGTGTGTCATAGCATTATTGGTCGAGTAAAGTAAAATAGTGATATTCTCGTTTCATGAAAGTCTCGCTCCTTGATATGACATAAATAAAGTATCAATATTATGTCGATAATCGATTTACTTGAGCAATAGTGTTGTTTGAGGATTTTGCCACGGTAGCATTGGTACCCAACATCTTTTTTATGTCAGCCACCTAATAGTCTTAGAGGAAGCTGGTCTAAGTTTAGAGATTGAGAAATTTAGTTGTGACACATATCTCCTCACCTAAACATGGTGTTGATTTTCACTTACTCAAGAGCAAGCAAGTACAACGTTTGAATAATCTGAGGTTTACTATTTTAACTATCGTCGTCCTGGACATGATTTGCTTCCCATGCAGAAAGACATGAATGATTGAATATTGTATTTTTCTGTTTTCACTTTAACGGCAGAATGATGAATGGTAAAGATGTCAAAAGATTATAATCATTTCATTTCTGATAAGAGTGGGAAAGGACTATTATTAAATCCCCCAAAAAAGGATTTTTAGGAACACTCACCAGGCAAATCATTCCACCAAACCAAATAAGCGAAAAAAAAATTGAAATTGAAACCCAATGTACAAAATAATCATTAATTTGAAATGTACTAGCATGATCACCAGGTCACACAACAAAACATCCATGAAAATTACACACAAATAATAATAGAAAAAAAAAAAAAAAACAAAAAAAAAAAAAAAAAAAAAAAAAAAAAAAAAAAAAAAAAAAAAAAAAAAAAAAAAAAAAAAAACCAAATCCACAAATTGTCAATCCAAGGTGACTCGAGAACTAGAATATGGAGAGGAGGATCCTAGCCAATCATGGATTAAGTGTGAAAAACACCCTGGTGAAACATAGCTACCAAATATATGTCAGCAAATAGAACCAGCTGCACGGCAGCCAGTCTAAGTCTTCTTGTCCTTCATTTGCCCCTTAGGAACTTTACTTAGGACCTTTGCATCAAACACTGCATACTGCTTCTTGATCTCGATCATTGCCTTCTCTGCCAATGCATCCACCTGGTCGTCGTATTTCTCATAGAATACAGGCAGCGTGAAGAGCAAAACAACAACTGTTCAGAAAGACCAGCAGCATGGTAAGAACACACGTAGAAAGAAATGGCATTATGCAAGTCATAACTGATAAGTACATTTGTTAGTTTCATTACCTATGTAGACCAAGGTCAAGAAGTTGTACCACTTCCCCAGGATAGACAAAACCCACAAGCTAGCAATCACCTAATTGCCCATAACACCATTAGCAAGTACCAAATGCGTAAATATAGATTGCAATTCATAAGTACCGCGATGGATTTATAATCAAATCGAATTTCAAAAAAACAATTAAATAATCATCATGAATAGCTGCAGGTAAAATTTATGTAACATGAACACCATCAATTAAAGAAGGCAGAGAAAGCAAAAGATAGAGCAATAAACATACAGAGAGGAACTGCTTCAGATCCTTCCCTGAGGCAATCTCTCGCAGGATAACAAAAGCCCGGTTAATCTCAATTGTAATTGCAGACGCAATCTGTAGAACCGGCTTCTCTGGAATTTTAACTTGTGGAATGCGTGGTGGAGACCTACATGTAACAAGTGGCGCTAAGTGAACCATTCCAAACAGATAAAATTGAGACTATCAAAACCCAAAGGGAAGAAATAAATAAAAAATCAAAGGCATGCTTACTTGTTAATGAAGGTTGAAGCGTTGGACCATAAGAACAACATAGCAAGGCCAAGAATCAAACAGTGGGAGAGCAGAGTCAGCAGGTGGTATCCAAGCAATTCAAAGAAAACCCATATGATCGTTATCGCAATAAGAACACTTGCCGATCCCTTCTTGTCCCTCCACAGGAAAACATCAGCCGCTGTGACATTTATAATAAAGATTCAATATTTATCAATTGCATGCTCTCTGAAATTCGCAATATTTTAGATGATAAAAGAAAACCCACGTAATTAAATACGTCTTTAACTATATGATTATAAAGGTTCACTTTCATAATTAGCTTGAGAGTCTTAGTTTGATTAGCAAAACTGGAAAAGCATAAAAAGCAAACCTTTTTAAAAACAATCAAATCAAAGAAGAAATTAAGGACCATTTGTAATTAAACAAAATCAAAATTAACCATCAATCAAAGCCACAAGCTCCATTCTCCAGATCTAGATCAATTAGCGACAAACCATTCGTTTCGATCGCGAAATGTACCTTTTCCACCGCCGAAGACGTTGTGCACGGGCTTCTCCCTCCCAAAGAGCCTGTAAGCCTTGGCCTTCAACGACGCCGAATGGCCGCTGCTGACGGCCTTCTCGTGCAGCGACTCCAACGCCGGCGACACTGGCGAATCGTGGCCGTGGATCTTGTCCGCTATCTTATCCATCAGAGACTCCGCCGCCTTCACTTCCTCCGTATGCTCCGCCATCGCAAAAACGCTGCCGTTTCACAATCTCCGAAACAAACAAAAGAAAAAACTCCCGTTTCGAAACCTGGGTCGCTGATCTTCTCGTTTTCTAGCGTTTCTTAATTCTCCTGCCTTTTTTTTGAAACACAGAGCGCTTTCCTCTCGCTCAGTCACTCTCTCTTTCTCTTATTTCTCCCTCTATTGTGGCGTTTAAATAGCGGGAATTAAACACTGAGCAAATTAGAGCCGCTAAAATGTCCTGATTTGGAATTAAACAATTAGCGGCCGTTGGATTTGACGACGTTCTCACATTGACTCCGCTGCGGATTTGTGTACGTGGCGGGGAAAGAAGCGTTGTCTAAAATCACGGCCCGCGTGTGACATACATTGGACCTATCATGTGCGAACACGTAAGGTAAGTCAGGGCCCGTTTGAAAGCCTTAAGCTATTATATATATTAAATAGGGCTTTTGTTGATTGAAAATTTAAGATTCCAGGTGTGATATAATGTGGCTGAATCTTGAATATTCTGTCTTCTTCTCTAATGGATCTCGTCCGTCCACGTTTGATGAATACAAGGAAATGGGTCCCACGGTATGTGGTTAGTTGTCACACATAAATTATAGAAATCTTACCTTAAGTTGTTGATTTTATCCCGGCTTTGCTTCACCCACAAGAAGCCATGTACATACGAGGCAATGACATACTTGATCTAATCCCTCACACGTTTGATCCTACCCCAAAGTATAATTTCAAATGTTAACATCAAATGTGGGACCAAAACCAAGCACATCTTGCCATGTGTCTTAATACTATCAATCTATATTATTAAGTCGAATTGCGAACGTAACATTTCAGTACCGCACAATGAATAATAGGAATTATTTAAATAGGCCTAAAGCGGGCTATCGCTACATTTATCCCAAAAGAAAAACTAACTTGCTAAGTCATCGGGCAGGATAGTATTTAGAAGTCTTGCTTATTCTAGTTAAAGCTTGGGTTGGACCAATTCTACTCACGAAAGCTTGCTTATGCACAAAGAAACTTAAGCAGATTTCCTTCCCATGTTAATATATTGTTTCAATTTGGGGGATTATTTCTATATTTGCAGCATAAATACAACCTGTCGGAGTCGGTCCGTGTGACAAGTCGTGCATGTGAGGGCAAAAGACTGATGGCTATGCTTGAAGAAAGAAAGAGGCAGATAGATAGCCACCTAATTTAGTCGACATGTAATGTACCAGCTCCATAGGCAATATGCAGACTTTTCAGCTATGATTAGCTTAATCATGAACAGAGAACAGTCATGTCACCAAATATGTGAACCACACTTCACTTGCTCTGTGAAATGATGTGAATGATATAAGAACAAACGAGAAGAGAAAGGTAGGTTTGGTTTGGTTTGGTTTGGTTTTTTATATATGGATCCAATTTCATTGTTCCGGATGAGAGATGGGACTAGAGAACCACATGGCTATTGGGAGCTTTTTTTTAATTTTTTTTATGAAAGCTGATGGGAGCATTTTCACTGAAACGTACGATGCTTTTATCACAAACATTGAGCAACATGTGAAAAATACAGAGTTCGAGGAAAATGGATGGAAAAAATTATTGAGGGTTGAGGGCAGATGGGGAAGAAAACATAGCTCAGATCCGTTGAGTAAAACAGAAATTTAATGGGAATAAAAGCAAAGGACTTGAAGATCAGGTGGTTAAGAGCATTCGCCCCGCACCCGAGGTCTTTGGTTTCATCCTTCCCCAATATTGCTTGTATAAATAAATAAGAGATAAAAGAAGGCAAAAATTCTATTTTCATCAAGTTGGAACCTTCAACTCAACCACAATGGCAGTGTGCTTGGACATAAGAAAACTGATGGACTCGGCCTATGGTTCCATGAAATTGAAATGCAAGGTAGCAAACTTGAATGGCTTCTGTACAAAGGGCAGTAGCTAAACAGCATTCAGGGCTAGGCTTTCTGAGCCCATCTTTCAAGGAAATGGGACTTACCCTATAGGGCCAATTCTAATCTTAGTGAGCCCAAACCAATAGTCATAAAAAGTTGCCCAGTTAGATTTAGTCGGGATGTGCTCCTGCTAGCCCCATGCAACATTTGGGACCCATTCCAATTTCCATTTTTTTGTCACAACTTTGGGGACCTCTTAAGATAGTCATAGTTGTGTATAAAAGATAAGTACTACCAAAAAAAAACCAAAAAAAAACCAGCTGTGGCAATCAATCAAAATCACAGGTGGAAGTGGGGAAAAAAGCTTATTCATCACCATTCATCCTTTTAGATGATTGGTAGGTCCGGTTAGCGTTGTCTAGGCTCTCCAATAAAACCATAGCCATGAATCACTCAAAATGACAAATAGTTTTTAAGAAAAGAAAATAGTTGTGACCAAATAATCACGTCCAATGCTAATTGTTCTAGTTATGTGGAAAATGACATTGACTTCCAAATCAGTAGTCTCATGTTCAAATCTCTATGACATCTTGATAGTGCGTATTAAAAAAAAAATCTCCCTTTTAACTCCGACAAAAGAAGAAAAAAGAAAAAACAATCATGTACAATCTAAAGAATGAAACATTATGCATGTGTACAAGATTTAAGATTATCCAAGTGAATCCCATAAAGTATTGCATCTTCTCTTCAATACAATAATAATACATGTACATGGGTGATGGCTCATTCAAAGTAACTTAAATCATGGATATGAAGTCATCGGTTTCAACAACAAAAGAGGGCAAAGGGAGGAGAGACAGGGAAAAGAAAATGGTGGGGACTCTCTTTTTATCTTCAAAGAAAGTGGCGCAAAAAATGCCAAAGTTGTGATTACAATCATGATTTTCTTGGTAGAGTCATATAATGAATGTATTTGTTGCGGCCACACTTTATGTGGGGTTTGTGTCAAACACTCAAAACTAGTGTCCTCTGCAATAAACAAGACAAACTTACTAACTCACAAGATCTAAACCAATCATTTTCCAGGGATTACATTACATCCCCAAGTTTTAAAATTGACATCGTCGCGGTGCATTATAATATAATGATCTGAACCGTCTATTTTACGAGACCACGTAATATATAAATAGAAAAACAACGGGGAAAGGGTCTAAAGTACTGTAGGACCATTGAGTCTTTGACTCACTTTATAAAGTATTCTAACCTTCTAGAATTTCCATAAAGGATGAAGACATATGCTTATTCAGAATTTTTCATCTAACATGTAAACTCCATATTTATTTTTACCCTTCATTATGGTTTGTGCGAGTGGTGACACATTGACTTTAAGGTGTGGTAAGGGTCGCTAGGACCATTTAAGATTGAGGGGTTGTTTCGTCACTTTCCGGGGACCGCTTTTAAATTATAAACCGGTATACGTACTTGACAAAAATTATGAAATCATGAGAATGGTCCCAATTATCATACGGTTGCGAATGCCAATGCCATCACAATCATTCTCATTTCAGAAATATCCATGGTTACCGTTTTTAGTTCACTAATATGCTACCTGCATTAACATCTTTTCTTCTAGTGAAAACGATCTTCTTAATTCAAACATCTATCTAATTTTTTGAAATTTTTTCTTATCAACCAGCCTGGCATATTTATTATCATTAATGAATTCGCAATACCATTGGTGAACACAATCGCTCTCTGAGCATCTAGGAATGGCAACGAGTCGGGGATGTAGTCATGAACGTAATCAACTCTAATATAGACCTAAGGGGTGAAATTGACTATAATATCAGTACAATTCGTGGCATTAGAAAGGAGCCAAGAGCATGTAGGACCCCATAAATATTAGGTCCAAAATCATAAAAGATCATATATTCTCACCATCAATCCCAGTTAGATGGCAACTTCTCATCATCAGTTCCTAAAACGAAAGCCATGAAGAAAAAAAAAAAGTGTCTTTATCCCCAAGTGTGATGTGTTCATGTGACTGTGTCGACCTTTTATTTGCTTGGTTGCATTTGAATCTTGATGTGTACACTATCACTATGCTCATCTCATCTCAAATGGAAAGGGTTTGATGGAGGTCAAAGCTTTTTGATGAGGAAGAACTGGAAATTTGGCATCCTCTCACGCAATGGAGAATTCAAATTCCATGCTACCCCACTTGCATGTCCGCCACGTGGCATTTTAGCCCTGCTCTGTGCTTACTACTTGGCTTCAGTTCAGTTGCAGCCTTGTGGCTGTGACCTTGAGACTCTTTTTATTTCTTTTTTACTTTTTCTTTTTTGGGTGTAGTTTGTTGTAGGGTCAAAATTCAAAGGTTAAAGTGGTAAATAAAGGGGCTTCGAGCCTGCTCTGTGAGAATTCTTTTACCATGCCTCTTTGCAGTCTCTTTGTCTTTCTTTCCTTCCTTCCTGGAAACTTCATTTCAATAATTTAAATTACCACGTAGAAAGTTGATGTGGGTTCTGCCAACAATTGGTATCCAGAGAATAGCCCTTTTTGCTTGGCCAGATTAAAATGTAGAATTCACCCCAATGTCACTTTTGTGATATGAATATCTGAGCCAGAATTCAGAAATCAGTAATCATGTGCGATTTGGGTCTACCACAAGAGAAACAATTATATAGAACGGGATAGCACTATTTCGCTATTTTCTATCAATCACGATATGTCACGCGTAATAATTTTTTCACATGTCCGACTGTGATTAGTCAGGAATAGTGAAACAGTGATTTTTCCTTTTCATACAAGTTTTTCTGTTACCACAATCATTATTGTACAAATTTTAAATAAAATAAAAGATAGAAAGAAAAAACAAAAGTGAGCCTACTCTGCTGCCAGCATTAATACGTTCCTCACCCATTCATAGTTCAATTTGCAATATCTGAGCCAAAATTAAGTTGCAACATCTGAGCCAAAATTTATTTTTCCATATTTGAAAGGTAATTTTCAATCGTGTTAAACTGAATACTACCTAATTAGTCAAAGATATTATCCTACAATTTCGATTGATGTTGATACAACTTCTGAAAAAAAAAATTAATGAGAGGATGAATATAGGATTAATCATGTCATGTCAATAAACGTGCTTTAATACCGAGCAATTTTTATCATTATTTTCCATTAAAAAAAGAAGAAGAAGAAACCTATCAACAATTGTACTGTATGTATATTAATTGGCCTCTGTCGCTATTCTCTGAGACGACACTGCTCTTCCTCACATGCCTCTACTGATCTCTGCCCTGCCCTGCTCAGCAACTCACGTATTCATCACCACCACTACAATGAGAAACACTTATGTAAAACGGATATAACATTATTTTGTTATTTTCGATTAATCACAATATGTAACGTAACAATTTATAATTTGTTAAAAATATCAAAATAATGTTATTCTTGTTTCACACAAGTGTTTATTTTTGAGTCGAAATGTTTCACACAAGCTTTCCTGCGAGCACCACACAAAATAAAAGCTCTCTTTTTTACTTTTACGGTTTTACCCCTCTCAATCTTTCCAGTGACTAGTCTATGGCTACTGGTTAAAGCTTTACCCTCACTGCTGCTCTACCCCTGTCACTTCCATTTTCAGTGGCACCTCCTGCCTCTCTCTGCAAACCCATTTCCACCTAAAGCCTTTTCCTCCATCCATCCACCAAAAGCCCTTTCCTTTTCCGATTTTCTTTTTCTTTATCACTCCCCTCACTCTCTCTCACTTTACCTACTTCAACTCTTGTATACTGGCTCTCCCAACCATGGAAGCTTTCAGCTTGCTCAAGTACTGGCGAGGCGGTGGTGTTGTAGCCAATCCCGTTCCCAATAGCACAGACACTGCTTCTTCCGCCAACATGCGCGCCCCTTCGACCTCCACCACCACCACCACAATCCTCACCGCCGTCGCCCAACACAGAGACGAGACTGACGACGACGACAGCGACGGCGACGATGGGCCTTTCTTCGACTTAGAGTTCGCTGTCCCCGACGAGGATGAAGCCCTGCCGCAAACCCGCAAACCCTCTGGCCAAAGTACGGACGAGACCGATGTAGAGCACCAAGAAGACGACGACGACGATAGCTCTGAGGAAGATGATGAAGAGTCTGATGATGGCGTGGACGGTGAGAGAGAGTTCAACTTCACGGTCTCTTCTGGGTCTAGCCATGACCATACGGACGACCCCACCCTCACTCTGTCTCCCTCCGACGACTTGTTCTTCAAAGGCAAGCTTGTGCCCATTGAGCCCTCGTCGATTGAGTTCAACCCATCTGAAGAACCCAACTCCAAGCCCCAATTCGCCGTTTCCTTGTTGAAATCGGCCACCAAATTTCGTGTTTTCATGTTGGGTTTGAAGAAATCGAAGTCGAATGCAAATGGGTCGGAGAAAACAGACCCGGCTGTTGGATCTGTTGAACCGCCGCAGAAAACCCAAAAGCCGCAGCAGCAGAAGCAAAAGCAGCAGGGGAAGCTTTTCACGGTGAAATTTAAAGTCGAGGAGGTACCCATTGTGTCTTTGTTTACCAGAGACAACAGCTCCAGAATCTCCACCACCACCAACAAGTCCCAGTCCCAGACCCAGACCCAGCAGAAGCCCATAAGCGCTGCTGAAGAATCGGCTTCTGAGGAAAAGCGCTTTTCCAAAGAAGTAATGCAAAAGTACTTGAAAATGGTCAAGCCTCTCTACGTTCGCGTGTCCAAGAGGTACGGTGAGAAGCTCAGGCTGTCCGGCCAACTCAGCTTAAGCGGCTCGACAGCGCCGGCGCCTGTTGCTGGGTCTGAGAAGAGCCAGTCAGGGACTGAAGCTTCAGAGCCACCGGCGACGGCGAGCATTGCGAAGAGTTTTCATAAACAGGGAAATTTTCCGGCTGGGCTGAGAGTGGTTTGTAAGCACTTGGGTAAAAGCCGGTCGGCTTCTTCGGCTGTAGCCGCGGCTCCATCAGGAGCCGTGGTGTCTCAGAGGAGAGATGATTCGCTGCTTCAGCAGCAGGATGGAATCCAAAGCGCCATTCTGCATTGCAAGCGCTCCTTCAATGCCTCCAGAGGTAATTTTAATTTTTAAAATTTTAAATTTATTTTAAAATTAAAATTTACGAACAAATTTTATTTTAAATTTTTTGATTTTCTTATAATTTTGCTGGTTTTTCTTTGAACAGATTCGGACTCTACCCTGCTATCTCGGTCTGTGAGCGATCCCTCGAATGAAAAGTCAGTTGAGTTGTCACGCAAATCGTCGGATCATGGCAAAGGAGTTGGCCTTTAACGGCTGTGATCTTTCCACGTTTTTGCCCACAAAAGGCGGGAAAATTGGGCTCACTGGTGAAGTCAAAGTAGTTCTGTTGGTGCGTTCAGTTGCCTTGTAATCACTGCCCAAATGAAACAAGCCGAAAGGGATCGAGAAAATGAGCAATGCATTTTCTTGTTGACTGTAAATGTCCTTAAAAACCCTGAAAAAATTAAAAGTAGGAGGATTAAAGAAGGTTCAGATCTTTGTACCTATTGTTATTATTAAACCTTTGTAGTAAGTCTAAGTTAATTTGCTATTTTGCTTTAATTAGCTAGCTTTATTTGGGTTCATATTAATCAAAAAACCCAAGTTATTACTTTGAAATTAAGGGGACGGACACACTATCCTTATCAACCGGCTTAACTTATGTTGGCGATTATATTACAGCTAAGTGCATATGTTGATGACTATTCTACAAGCATATCCAAGTGACTTTCTATCCTCTCTTTCCTAGCTACTTAAAAAGAAGGAAAATCATCCCTCCCTACCTGACTTTCTATTTTGGAGAACTAACTTTTAACTCTCTACATCTAGCAAAGAGAAAAAGTGCCACATTTGGGAGGTTGGGTTTCTATTTTTTTTATAATGAATATATTGGATTTGCAAGAGAAAGAGAAAATAATAATAAAATATTTCAGATTAGCCAAAATAGAGAACATTGTTGGAGGAAACACATTTTAAGTGGTTTGCTATAATAGCTTTCTAGCTATTTAGAGCATCTCCAAGGGAGATGTCAAATACCAAACATCAAATTTAAATTTGATGGCTGATGTGGCAATTTGACATTTATACAGTTTTACACTCCACTCGATTTGTCAAATAAATAATTATTGTAACAGTCAAATCATTTAAGATAAAGAAGAAAAAAATATAAAAAAGGAAAATAATAAATAAAAGTAACAGCCAGCTATCTTTTAAAAATAATAAAATATTCATTTGACATCTTGCTTTTGGGATGTCAAAAATAATATCTCAACCTCTAGCCTTCATTCCATATCATCTTTGACACATCGGTTGAAGTGATGTGAGATGTTATTTTTAGCCGTTAAATATCTATGTGGCACTTTTGACACATTAGTTGTAGATGCTCATAGCTAAAATTTGGTTAAAATTTGAAGACTCTCCTATAGATGCTCTAAGTACATGTTGGATTTAGTGGTCAGGTAGGGGTTGAAAAGTTGGGGTCCTATTTTCCCAAGGATGCTACTTGTCAGGTAAGGAGTGAAGTATTTTCATTTTCTTAAAAATAGAGAGGGAGGGAGGAAGGGAGCAGACAAGAGAGTAAAGAAGGGTCTGAGTGTACTGCTCGGATTGGTGGAGGGTGGAATCTCTCTTGGGCATAAACGCAAACACATAGAATACAATACAACATGGCATTCTCTGATTGTTATGTTAATTAATAAAACAAAGCCAAAAGCACTTATTCTCTCTCCAATTAAGCACTTAATCTGGGTTTCTCTCTCATGGGTGTTGGGTTTGCTTTTTGGTTCGGTCCTAATGACGTACGGGAATTCGTGCAAGTTTTTGTTAATCTGTGTTGTGAAATAACTTCGGAGATTCAATTTGTCTCCTTGTGGTAGTGCTTGGACCTACAAAAGCGCTGCTACACTGTTTGATCTGCTGCTTCCTTTGTCGTTTTGGCTATTTATCAGATTCTTGGGGGACCTTTCTTGTTTTATAAAAAAATTTCAATCACAACAGTGTTGTTAAAAGTTTTTCTTTTCTTTTTGCGGTAACCGGATTTAAAGGATTTGTCACTGTTTTTAATTGGAATTATGCTCTAAATGGGGGCATATATATATGAAATAGCTTTAGGCCATCTCTTGATCTTCTTTTCGAGATACCAAAGATGACAAGACGTATCACGTAAGGAGCTCGAGGCATGTGTATAGCTCTTGCATTGACATGATTGTTTGGAGTAGAATGGCATAAGGTTACCTCAAATGCTAAGGGTGGACCAAAAAATGAGTTTGGAGTAGAATATGTCAATTACTCGATTTTCTTCCATTGTAACAAAAAACAGGATATAAAGAAGAAAGACGTGTATTCACTTAAAAAGAGAAAAACAATGGTGTAAACGAGCTGAATTAGGACGAATATCATAGTGCTCGAGCTTGGCTTGCCTACAATTTATTCAGTTTAACTTGGCTCGATTTGTTTCTTTTAGAACCTTTAATGAAGTCTATGTTCTAATCCCCAAATTTTTTTAAAATTTTGTTAAGCTATACGTCTGCCTTAATTAAAGAATTGTTTTGCTTGCATTCCATAGTGTTGGAGTTTCGTCCAATTTTTCTTTTGGGTGCATATATTTGTCCGATTTGTTTCTGTCTCACCCATTATTGTAATGTCTGACTTTCCGCATGTGAAGCCTCTGCGTGTCGAATGCTTTAATTTGACTGGTATTCATTTCCATAGATATTGACCAAAGATTTGATTTCAGTGAATTGATCTGTCTTCTTGAGCCTTCGCTAATAGAAACACCAACCATGAAATGCGTTTATTGCCAAATGAATTAGGGACAATTGCCCCATCAAAAGCCTGCTTGGTTGGCTTTGGCTCTGCGTTGAGTGGATTTTGGATATTTGGAGATCTTGGTGATGTTGTGGAAACAAGCGATCCTAGAAAAAGCATTATGATGGCAAAAATATAATTAAGCGAGTAAATTAAGAGTAAGTAAACAGTGTAACAGATGAAAATAAAGATGATAAACACTAGGACACTGATTTTATCTGGCTAATTCCACTCAAATTCTTCTAGCTTGTTAATCCTAATTTACCTAACATATTTATAGTAGTCGTTTTCCCTTACCTCACCAATACTCTCTTCCAAATATATTAATTGTGTTCTTTATCATCAACCTACTCTATTCCTATTTATGGATTTAGATGGCTAAGAACTCATTAAGATTTATGGAAAATATTAAAGACTACACAAACCACAACCTAATATTCCGAGTTGGTTATGTAATTTATGATACTTGTTACAAGAAGCTTTTTATTAGGCTTCTCCTTCAGGTCTCAACCCAATTATTCTAATAATGCAATTAGTGGCCAATTCATTGAAAGCATTAAAAACGGTAACAAGCACTCAACATGCATAGATAAATAGAATTAACAATATTAAAGAATTTAAGTATTTATAGATACGTTACGTCGTAGTCCTAGTAAAAAGAAATTAGTTCACACAAACATGATGATTGACGCTGAAAAAGTTGTGATGTGGAAGTGGTTGTTTCAAATTATTTTTAGTTGAAGATGAGAGGCATGTAGTGGAGACCAGTTGATAAGGTCGTAATTATACCCATTCTTTCGCATACAAGGATGGAGGATTGACTCTTATTTCAGGGCTCATTTGTCTCTCTCGAATACAGTTTCATGAGAAACTAAGGAGCAAAGAGTCAAACTCCTCCTGTGTGGTGATATTTACAGATACACGTTTTGATGTACACATCGAAGTCAAACTTGTACAAATTCAGCCATGGCGGTTTGAAATTGTGAGCTGCGACTTTAAAAGGTGACAAGGGGTCCATAATTTCCAGTCCATATTTTTGCAATCGATCAGACTAATAATTGACATCTAATTCAACCATAATTTAATTGTAATTACATACTTAATCGGTAAATGGGATCTCAAATCTTCCCTTTGTACTTGCTCATCTGATATTCAATCATATACAGCGCATACAGAAAAAAAATTGCTTCGACAAAGAAAACAAAGAGAGACCAGAATTGTAATACAACGACTGCTCTCTTAGCAACCTGTGATTCTGTGAACCGTAATACTCAAAGACGAACCCTTCGCTTGCAGTCCTTTTCTTCAATCCCCGTGTTTGCAAAATTGTAGGTCATGCTACAATTCAATTCAACCACCACATTTTTATTGACCATAAGAATTTTCACCTTACCTTGAATCCTTGTATAAGTGCTCACCGTCAACTTCCCTGATGCCACCTCCTTCGTGAACCCCGGCACCACCGAGATCTCCTCGGGAACAATATCTACCGTCACGTTCATCCTCATCGTCCTCCTCGCCTTTGCCACCCCTGCCGGAGTCCTCCCTTGGCCCACCTCCGTCCCTTTGTAGAAAACCGTGGTGGTTGTGTTCCCATACTTGAAAGATGCCACGTTAGGGTTCTTGATCGAGACATCAGCTAGGAGTGTCACATTAGTATCCGAGCGTAGGGCTCCGTTGGAAACCTCCGGCTGCTGTTGGATTGTGACGTTGTTCATCTCGATCCTCGGGCTCTTTACGTGAAACACCGTGAACCCGAGAACTATGGCAGTTACGGCTATGATTAAGAAGAGAGCCGAGACACAGCCACAGCACATTACATATTTTCTTTGGCAGAGCTTTATGTGTGAGGAGACGATAACTTCTTCTTCATCACTGCGGAGATGGTATGAGTTGGCTGGGGCTAGGGGCTTGCCTTGTTCTTTGGCAGCCATGGCTGTGATTCAGAGAGGTTTGGAAAATAAAGGGAGCAAAAATGGTGGGGGAGATATATATATATTTGGAACTGGAAAGGCTGATGAGTTTCATGGAAATTTTGATTTTCTCTTTTTTGGGTCTTTGATTGTGAAATGTTGGAGAATTTTAGAGATTCTAGACGCGGTTGCACAAGTTGCACGGCTTGACTTTTGACTCTGATGTTGTTTGTTTAATAAGAAAATGTCACCAAAAGTGTGGATATAAATCCATGGATTTTAAAATAGGTTGTCGAAGCTTCTTTGAATAATGTTGTCTGATAGTAACATAACTCGTTGTTTAGGGACCCAAAAAATAAATGGGAATGCATAACTTGTTGTGAGAAGAGTCAAGCGTGGCACTGCTTGATTGATATATTACTATTACAAGGTGGGAAAACTGATACCAACATAGGAGCAGAATTGGGTGCTCCTTGGAAATCAATAATGTTCCTCCTATTTCTCTTTTTCATACGTAAAGGCAGGGCAGAGTCACAGTGTCTGTCTGTGAATATATGTAATTTCTGTGATCGCTGTGGGGATATGATCCTAGTCCTAGATGCAATTATATCAATTAAGTTACCTCCGGAGCTTATGCCAAGAGGTTCTTCTTTTCATATTTGGGTACATATGAAATAGGATCCTCTGCTTTTGTTATGCGTGAGTTTAAGCTGATTGGGTTTAAGGTTTAGCGTTTAGAATTTGAAATATACAAGTGATAATTGAGAAGAGGGGAATCGAGTACACGAGTGAAAGTCTAAAACGACACAATCAAAAGTAGCACTAAATCAAGTCTAAAGTGATAAAGTTAAAAGTAGCACTAAATCTTTTTTTCTTGTTGGTGGTGTCTTAAGAAGATATTTTTTCTTCTTATTATTTTCTTTCTTACGTGGGAATTTTTGTGGCCATATGAAAAATTATAGTTTACTACGGTAATATGACTATGTGGTACGTTTTGTACACGTGTTATAATATGGATGGACGACATGATTTATTTTCCTTTTTTATATGAAATAATATTAATATATATTCAATTATATTATAACACGTATACAAAATGTATCACATGACCGTATTACCCTAATATTCTATAATAACTGATCATGAAGAGGAAAACCCATGTGTATATCTAAAATGAAGAGAGAGAATCTATCCTCTTCCCCCATCCTCAAAAAAAGAGAGTTTCACCTAGTACTAGGCCCAACTGATTCAAGATCGGTCCAATCATTTGGGGTTTATGCTGTGTATAGAATAGGCCCATATATTTGATTGGAAAGAAGCTAAACAAAGCTGGAGCAGCATGTCACGTGCTGCACGTGGACCAGTCCCTACAACCGAAAACCGACCAAGGAACATGTTCCCAGGTTGGACAACAGATGCAAATCATGCAACGATAAATTAGGGAGATAAAGCAAATTAAAAAGCAAATTAAAAAAGTAACAGCCGAGTCCACCGGCAGCCACAGAGCCTATGACCTCGCCAGTCACCTCCATTTTCAGAGAAATGCGAATATAATAATTAATCACCTCCTTAACCTTTCATTATGGGCAACACACAGAGTTTTGGACTTTTGGGCATCCTAGATAGATTGGATTCAATTAAATCGAATATATATATTTTTAATTATGCGATTCTGTTGGTCTCATTTACTACCAATAAAAATATAATTAAAGTACAAGATTCCCATTTTTTCACGCAGAAGCATGCCATTGGGTTTGGTTTGGGTGTCTTTTTAGCCAAGACGAATTCATTTTGAATCATTTCCAGCCAAAAGAAAAGGACATGTTTTTTTTTCACTTTCTTTTGAACTCCGGCATATCCATGTCATATCATATGCCACCCAAATGAACACCTCCATTTGTTGTCTTGTCTAGGAAATAAACCATATTTCAAAGTGTTAAATTTATTGAGTAAAGTTATGGTTTAGACTTTTTTTTATAGTACAAACGATAGTTTGGAGTGAGGTTTTCTCATACAAACTACTACGATGTCATGAGATTTGAACATGAGACCACTAGTATGCAAGTCAAGACTTTTTTACACTAAGTTAGACCCAGTTGGGAAATGGGTTTAGACAATTAATTTATCATAAAGCTGGCAGATGGCAACATATAGCTGCTATGAAGTGGACATAAAAACAAAAACAAAAACAAAAATAAAAACTTGGTCACAAAGAAAACTGAAATCTGAAATTGAAATATATGGACAAAAATTTATAGGGAAGAAAAAGAGAACAATATAAACAACAAAACAAAACAAACGAATGAATTCCTAGAAATCAAAATCTCTACAAGCAAATGATTGAATTCATTGCTAGTTTTATCTCAAAATACAAATACACCAACATATCATATCTATCACTAACTAGAAATCTAAAAAAAAAGAACAAAAAACGAAAAAAACAGAGCAAATCCACTAAAATCATCTGCAAAATAAATCCTTGACAGTCCTGCTCTTCAAAACAACCACCATGGTGCAGTTCGTATCAATGGTCTTCCTCTTCTTCATGATCTTCATCAAATTCACTTTCCCACTCAGCTTGGCATAGCTGCTGATCTTCAAATACCCAGAATTTATCTCACCTTCAAAACCATTCTTAGCCTCCTGAGGCAGCCTATTTGACCTAACTTCAATACTCAAACTCACTTTCCTCGTCCCTCTCGCTTTAACCCTCCCCTTCCCAATCTTGGCCTCGCCAACTTTAAACCCTCCATACCACAAACTCGCGCTGCTGCCCTCAAACTTGTACTCGCCAAAGTTCTTGTTCTTTATGGCCAACTCGGTGACCAAAGTTGCATTGAGAGAAGAAGTTGGCGAAGTTGTGTGCTTGAGATTTTTGACTACCACAGAGCTGAGATTAAAACCAGGTGATTTAACACGAAGAACAACCAAAGCAAAGACCAAGATTAATATGCTTTGGAGGACAATCGCAGCAAACACATAGACGAAACACTTGTTGCTTCTTTCTCTGCGTATGGCTTTGAAAGTAGGGTTTTCTTCATCGCTTCTGCGATGCAGTCTGGAGGGTGCCAATGGCCAAACTTGGCTCTCTTGCTCTGCCATTGCCAGAAGAATAAAAAAAATGAAAAGCCGCTTAATTTGGTTGAAGGGGTGATGTTTAAGAACGTGGGTGATGATATGAATTATATATAGAGTTGGTGTGCGTGAGGGGTGAATGTGAGTGGGGTACTCATGTTTAATTTCTGAAGCTTAGGGGATAAGAATTGGTCAGTTATGGCCTACGTCCGTGCGTCAGCTGTTCATTGTGGGGTTTGATTTCTAAAAAAATAAATAAATTATATACTAGACAGAATTGACAATAGGTCTAAAAGCATAGATATTTTATTTAACTTCTGTGAAAAATGGTGGAATTTTTCGTGCCACCAGGTTTTTCATTGTGGAGGTCAAGAACGGTCAGCTATATGTATATGGGATGTCACAGGTTTTTCTTTTCTTCACTTCTTTTTGTGATCTTCCAGAATAATGGAGGCACAATCTACTGATAGGAGAGAGTTGGGTCTGATCTGAAACATTGAATGAGTCAGAAGGTAGGGGCTAAAATCAGACTAATCTTGAACTGAGTTTTTTTAAATACTTTTTTTTTCTGGTTTTATATGTAAAAGATTTGGGGAGCAGTTAATTTCTGCACTAACAAGATGAGTGTGCAAAAATGATGGGAGTAGGTCAAGTGGGAAAATTGAAATTAGGAGGATCAAAAGTGGACTTTGTTTATAGTGCCAGAACCAAAGAGAAAATGGCGAAAAGGACTTTACATCTGAGACCTTTCTGTCTCTGTTTGAATCTAGTTGGCTCTAAAAGCAACAGAACAAACGTTGCATGGTCACTTTCATAATCCTTACCATTTGGTGCCATTTGTTGCAGAATGCATGCTTTGTTGAAGTTTGGAAATTCTCATTATGTTCTTATTCTCTGGGTAATTAAATTCATTGATAGAATGAATACCACTAGAAATTGGTTCAGCGGGACTACTCTTCTCTCTCTTTTCAATGTTGAAAGAGGTTCCGAGTTCGAATCCACCTCCTTATTAGCAACAAATATACATGCATGATTCAATTTATAATAAGTCTACAAGCATTGTAGACTTTTACACAGTCATGATCATAAAGAAACAAGGGAGGATCAGCACTTGGATTAATTTACAATTTAATAACGTTATAGTGATATCAATTGTTAGATTGATGTGACTGTCATATTTGCTATGAATATAAGTTCATGAATTTAGATTATTTTACAGGCCAGCTGCTATCAAAATCATCCTTTTGCGACTTTGGGCTTAAGGACTGATAGGCCAGCCTAACCCCTTTGTGAGTTTGGCCTGACCATTGCTTGGGCCATTTCAGCTAAGATTCTCATTTTTCTTCTTTGGAGCAAAGCCTCTTCGTTCTGCGAAATTATAAGGTGTTCCACTTTAGCTTAGTTATATGTTACTAAAAACTCACCCGTTACACCGTATCACTTACTCTTCTCTCCTATAGTCTTTATTTCCCATTCAATTTTATAATTATATCATTTTCAATATTATCCAAAACCATAAATTGATGATCCCTTCATCCATATTTATTATGAACCATGTATTTTTGGGTCGAACAACAATTAGACTAACTGCATATCGACTAACAAACCATACAACCATGGAAATATTTTCGAGATTCTCAAGGAGGAAAGACACATGCTTCTCTCCTGCGCAGCCCTCTATCCTTCACTTGCAAGACCGTGAAAAGAAATACAAAGGAAAACTCAAAGCTTGCTATTCAAATATTGGAAATTATTGAACCGCAATAATTTTTTAGGCTTGACATTAAGTAATTAACCTTTTTTGACTCTGCTCTCTCTCAAAAAACCTTGTTTGGCTCATGCATTATCAATATCATTATTACTATTGACCAAAATAAATATTTATTGTTTATTGACGTATCACTTTTTTTCTTTTTTTTCCCAAGACGTATCATTTTTTTATTTGATGCAGTGCAAATTGTGAGTTTTAATACAATACAACCACGCTGAGGGGGAATTACTAATATCCATTAGATTAATTGAATGCTAAATGTACAGGCTCATGATCACCAAAAGTCTCTTAGCATAGTTAAGTAAACTATGGAAAGAAAAGAAAATACGAATAAAATATGTACATATATTATTAAATAAAATTAAAAAAAGATGGTAAAAAATACGGCTCATTAATGTTATTTAAAAAAAAATATAGTCTACTTGTTTAATATTATGTGAAAATATGTGTATGAAATGTGAATTTTACTTGTATTATTCCAAAATTTGTAACCAATGTGTATTAAATGTAAAAAAAACTTGCATAATACATTTAATTTTGCTAATTAGACCTCCTAGTTTAAAAGAAGATAGTTCAAATTCTCACATGGAAGTGTTGTGTCAGAGCTTTTCATTTTCCACTCATACCAAGATTGACCAAAACAAGCATAGTGCATTAAGTATGCGTATTATTTATTTAGAAATAAATGAGTAGGTCTGGTTCATGCCTCTGTATTCTGCCATAAACAAACATCTTCCTAACCTCGTAATTATGTGTAACTAAATTAATTTGAAACGTAATCAACCTATCGTGCTACCCTCCAAAGCTTATTTAAAGCACAAGTCACGAAGGAGCAGACTTTGCAATTAAGCTACATACTTTACGAATAAATTAAAAGATTAGAGAGGCAAGCGACCACATAATTATAGACTAAAATGATTTATATTTCCAGCAGCCCATGTGTTTCTCATGAACGTATATTTAACAAGACTGTAATGATGTTATTTGAGAACTTTGCTATGAACAAAGACGGAGTGGACTCTAAAATCAACCTCTGCGCATCAAGATATTTAGATGTTTCGCAAGGGCATTTAGATATTTTCATATCAAAAAGGGCAAGTAACGGTCAAAACAATTTTTCATTTGTTAAATCGGGTAATTTGAAAAAAATTTCCCCATTTAGAGTTAGGACAAATTAGCCAGCATGAAACCCAACCACTACATGACCATCACAACTTGTGATTTGTCCTCTCTCCTGAGATATTTGACGAGTCCCAAGTTTATCTTATGTCGGTAATAGTCAACCCAGGTTGGCGTGCTATTATAATATGTAAACATTGCTTTGAATGCAAGTTGCAGTCTCTAAGCCCGTCACCTTAGCCCGTCACCTTTTATGATATTAAATATTTCAGTCTTATATTATTATTAAGTGGGCGGCATCAGATTCGAAAAAAATGAAGACTGAATCAGTTCATACTTTGCAAAATTGTATACAACAAAAACAGAAAAAATTGCAGAAAAAGAAAAAGCACTACCAATCTGTATATAACGAAATAGCACAATTGCAAAGTTGTGCCTGGGAAGTGTATATATACCCATACAATAATTCATAAACGAACAACAAAAAATTTGCAGAAATTTAAAACAAGTTGAAAGAAATCAAATCATGGTCTGTTTTTTTCACTTGCAGTGTAAAGATTTGAGGGCCCTGGCTGTCACATCAAAAGCTATGGTGCAGTTCATGTTGGCGGCCTTCTTCTTCTTCATGATGAACATGATTGCAACTTTTCCGTTCAATCTTCCTACGCTGTTGAGCGTCAAGACCCCGGTGCTCAATTCACTTCCAAAGTTTGAACCATCTATTGCAGTTGAATTCAAAGTCACCTCCGCATTTCTTTTTATGGTCGAAAGCCATCCTGCCTTGCCCTTTGCGATATCAATTACTGCCAGAGTCGCGCCTTGGTATTGAAACGTGACATTGGCAGCACTGAACTTGTAGGAACCCCAGTTGGCTGAGTTCTTGATCTTGATTTGGGTTGTGAATTTCGTGTCGAATGAAGGCGCTGCCGAGTCAGATACGAAGCTTTCGACATTGATGTTGCCTAGCCTGAACCTGGGGGTTTTCACTTTCATGACAGTGAGACTCATTGCGGTGATAACTATGATCTGAAACACAACGAAATAGTAATATAAATGGCCAATTTGATTCTCTTCTTGCGTTTCAGCTCATCAGCGGACAGCTGAGACTCTCCATCACTTCTTGTGTAACCGTTTGATGGTGCCAAGGGATAGGCAGGGTTGGTTTTCTCTGCCATGTTAACTTGTTTTTTTTTGTTTTGTTTTGTTTTCTGATATGAAATTGGAAAGAAAGATTTCTCTGCTTTTGCTTTCTGGGTTTTGTTTCTATGATGAAACTTGAAAGCAGAGGAAGTTGGTTGTGGAAATGAAGGTAGAGAAGTGTGCTATATATAGTGTTTGGGGTGTCGGGCCTATTTCAATAACTCATCTGGTGGAAATAATGAGTTTCCAGGAAGAACATGTGAGTCTGGAAAAAATAAATTTTATTGCGGACCCCAAACGCGTCCTATGGTGATTACTATTGACTTCTAGATGATGGACGACTTTTCTTTGAGGACCTTTTAGGGTTTTGCCATGAGATTTGGACATTTTAAATATCAGAAGAACCTCCAATGCCAAAATAAATATCAACAGAAGCTTTTTTGTTTTTCGGTCGAAAATATCAACAGAAGCTTCGAATCTATCCGTTGGCATAGACCAAATCTCCCAATCAAATGTGAAAACGTGTTGTGAGAAATATTATACTAATAACCTTGTGAACGGTGTTTTGAAAATATTGGTTTTTAAAATTAAATTAAATTAATATGATTTGTTCTGTTGTCCCTGAATACAAGCAAGAATTGGGATAGTTGGACTGCAAATTTCCGAAGACAATTCAACCAAACATGGCCTAGGATTTAAGGAACTTTATTTTATTATTCAGTCAAATGTTTGCTCTGAATGATGAAGATAGAATGTGAATCGTGCAAATGAAACTGTGCAATATGACATTTCGAAGGAATGATACCTCAATGAATACAACTGCATCAGCATCTGATTTATATTGCTTTGGCATCAAGCTTCTTAGTCTTTTTCCCAAGAAACAAGGCAGAGATAAAATTGCAACACTTCCTTAGATAGTTTGTTTGTTATTTTGTCAATACAGGATTTTTGGTTTGATGCTCTTTCTTTCCACTCTGCCCATGACATAAGGCCCAATTGCGACCTCTGTTTTTCTTTCTTTTTTTAGTCAGTTTTTCTTTTTAATACAAGCGATAATCTAAACTATAAGGGGAGAGAGATTTCTCATAGACATTAACAAGGTGCCATAAGGGTTCCAACATGAAACCACTGATATGCTAGTCAATGCCCTTTTTCCATTGCACTAGACTCGTTGGCTTTTTACTTTGTTTTTTATATGAGAAGTAATTGGGTAAAAATAAAAATATGTGAGAGATAACTTTGTCAAATGAACCAAAATTCAAACGCCACCTAGTAGACAAGATCTTGTCCTTGTTTAAATGGGGATGTAGATTGCAGAACAAGGATAAAAGACAGGTAGAAAAAGTCCCAATGATGTTGTTCAAAATAGCCTACACAAGTTGCCCTCCGTTCTTGTGAGAGTTTTAGTGTGTGGTTTGGATTGAGAAATGTCCTGATTTTTACTCTGTTTTGCTCAACAGTCATATATTATGCATTGTTTTCAACATTACTTCTTAAGTTATGTTTTCCATCAATCCCTTTCGTACTGGGACAAAAAGAAAGGCCTTGATACTACCCCTCAACTAATAAATCGTAGGTCGTGCATTAAAAACCATTCCAAACTTGGCCTGGTTAGTTTGACTTATGAAGCAACTGATAGAGAGTCTCATTCAAAGAAAATAATTTCAATTCCAATGCCACCAACTACAAGAAAATACAGTCCTGGTCTCAAGGCCAGTCAGTTCAAGCACAATCCTTGACACTAAGCTCTCGTTTGGTAACTTCTCTGTTTTTAATTTTGATTCTTGTTAGATGTAGCGAGCAAATACACTGGGGGAAAAGAGAAATGAAGGAGAATGAATCCTTGACACTAATCTCGTTCGGTAACTTTTCTGTTTTTAATTTTTGTCAGACGTACAGAGAAAATACATGGGGGAAAAGAGAGATGAAGGAGAATGAACGAACCAAAAAACCAACTTAAAATAGTTTTTAGTTTTATCTATGTTACCTTGAAATTTGAAGTTCACACACATACATATGTACTGCCTTTTGCTTTTGGGATATATAAAAACGCATGGGAAAAAGTATTTAAAGTAGAATTGGAGTTTGTACCATAATCTGTATATTCTATATATAATCCCAACAGAATTTGTAAACAATATAACAATCAAAATTTGTAAACATAAAACTAAAATTGGCTCGATTCTCAGTTACAATCCAAATTCTGGAGAGTCCTTGCTACCAAATTGAACACCATAGAGCAGCTCAATTCAGCTGTCTTCTTTGTCTTCATGATCAGCATCAACTCAACCTTTCCCTTCAACTCGGCTGTGCTGGTCAGCAACAGCAAGCCATTGCTGAGCTCATTTCCAAGAGCAGACTTGCCTGGCAACGCATTGGAATTCACATTCACAAGCACAGTGATTTTTTTGGTGGATCGCAATCCGACTTTGCCATTTGGAATATAAACTTGCCCAACAACCACACCTTGGTATGTAAACACGATGGTGCCGTCACGAAACTTAAAAGGACCCCAGTTTGGGTTTCGCACTCTGACTTGTGTTACGAAGCTCATGTCGAACGAAGGTGTTGCCGGGGAATAGGTGAGTGTTTGGATATAGGCGTTGCTTGCCAACTTGAGTTTTGGAGTCTTGGCTTTCATCACAGTGAGTGAGAATATGGTGATGACTATGACTTGAAACACAATGAAAATACCAAAATATTTCAACCTTTTGATTTTCTTCTGGCGTTTGCGCTCCTCGGACTGGTGGTATGCGTTTGCTTCATGATCTGCATCCTTCTCAGCCATTTTTTTTCTTCTCACTTGTTCTTTTTTAATGGGGTGATTTGCTTCTCAGAGATGGATTGGGAAATGGAGGACTTGTGTTTGTGGTAATTGTAGTGAAGAAGTGTTGTGTAATACTTATAGACTGGTGGTCTCAACGGGGTTTGCTTCCCAGAAAATGACCTAACATAAATGGGGTTTTGTTTGTTTGTTTTTATTTTATTTTATTTTTACTGTTTATGTTGAAACGCCAAGCACACCTACTGTAAAATGTTGACTTGGTGTTATTGTATCCACGAAGCTTCTTGTGGTCTCAGTCGTCCGATTTGGACCTCAAGCCTAGGTGAGGACTTTTCATGTACAACAAATTCACTGGTTGAATGATCTTTTTTATTAGGCAACAAACAACCCTGTGGGGCTTTTGAGTACTGCATAAAGAGCCATCACTTGAACAGTTTGAACAAGACCAAGGATGTGATGTGATGACCATCTTATGCAGAATAAAATAAACCCAAGTGGCCAAGTTGTTGTCGTCTTTGGTGGTGCTTGAAAGCATCTGCTCATTTTTGCTTAGTGATATGAATTTTCTTTTCATTTCTTTCCATAATTAAGGCAGGAGGTTCCTCCATCATGATCAAGGAATCTTAACCGCGGCAAACGTGTTAATGTCCAAACATGGCCTATCATTATCCACTGATACTACAATAGAAAATAAATGATGTCTGCTCCACAAAACACTCGTACAGAGTAGAAGCATGAAAAACACCACACACCACAAAAACTTGAGGCTTAAATAAATCAACAGAAAGAAAAAAAGTATTTTATTTATGAAGAGGATGGAACAAAACCAAACAGTACATGGGACCCGTAGAGATATTTTGTCATGTGTATAATTTTCTCTACCCAACTTGCAGGTTGCAGGCTAGGAGGGAGGACGAATAACATATAGGTATAGCTATGACCATTCAAGGAGATAATAATCCCATTAGAAGATTCCTGTCCACTTGCTTGTTTTTTTTCTTTTATTATGACATTGACAGAAACTTATCCAGATTGTTTTTAGATATGACTGATAGGAGTCTTTTGGCATTGTGGACTGGACTAAATTCTGGGACTGTCTCAGATTAGCTCGGATTGAACTAAATTCTTAGTTGGTTGAAACATTGTTAAAGGAGCTAAGCTCACTCTATATAATTCTAGGTTTTTCAGGGATCAAGTAAAACAATAATTAAAAAAAGGAAGATTCACTATTTTACCCAATATAGGAGCACAATTATTTATAAAAAAATAAAAATAAAAATAAAAACCTATATGAAATGGGACTTTAGAAACACACCCAAAACTCATTTACAACATAACAAAAAGGCTTTTAACTTATTTTAAATTACAAAAATGGCATTAATTTCTTAAAACAAACCCAACTCTAAAATTTCATAAAAAAACCCAAAACATTCAATAGGGCATCAAAATAATTTAATAATTAAAATTTAATTTAATAGGGCCATCTATCATTTTTTGGGTTTTTTAAAATAGAAATTAAATGGTGTAGGGTTTATCTATAATATTAGAGTTAAGAATGGGTATATGGCTAAATATCTCTTAAAAAAATTATATACATATATATATGTATAATTTTTGTATATTTGACTTTTGACTTCAAACTGAAAAATATAATTTGACAAGGTAAAAATGGCTTGCGATAAAGAAAGCATCACATCATTAATTATTAAACTTGTTTCAATATTAAAAAAAATAAAAATCAAACATTTTTAAATTACTATAGTTTGACTCCAAATGCAATATCAAAATAATTAATATTTAAATTCAATTAAGGATTTTTATCTAAAATAAACAAATGCTGCGAAAAAAACCCATTTAAAGATCTAAAACAATAATTAAAAGAAAACAAATAAAATTATGATATTTTTTAAAGAGAGGCATCGGACTCACGTGTTCTATTTAGCGAGTGTGCTATTTAGCGAACCACTTTTCGGGCTCACTGTGTTAGACGAGTGAGTAGGGCCTTTTTTTCACTATTGGACTATACAGTCTCATTTAAGTTAGTCATGTCTCTTACCAAACAAGGGTTTCGAGTGCTATTTAACCCAGTCCAGTCTCTTGAGGCGTACCAAACATGGCCATAGTGTTTATAGGCTACTTTGGCCCTTCTAGTTATTTTAGCTAGTGATCAATTTTTATTGTCTTTTTAAATTCAACATTTTCATTGAACAATGATCTTTTAATTACTTTGACAATTTTAAAGTGAGATGAGACTAAATTCACTAAATGATCGGTGTATGTTTCAATATCTTACTTGTTAATAATAAATAAAATTTAAAATTGATCAGGCTTCAATCAATCAAATACTCACACATCATTTAGCGAGTAAAACTTAGCAGTTGGAATATTGAACACGGAGCTACTCAGAGTCACTTTCTTTCTCCCCATGCTAGAAGCTTGCAGAACTTGAGCTTGTTAGTAGTAGCAAGATAGCTTAGCATGATTGAAGCCTTGAAGCACATTTTGCAGACATTTCCCTAAATTGCAGTTGAGAGCATGTCTGATGTTAGGGGCTAGGGGCAATTTTACCTCACAAAATGACACTATTCATCAAATTTACTTCACAACTCTATAATTGAGAAGACTCCGAATATCATTAAAATCCTGGTAAAAAACAGTAAAAAATAGTGGCTCACTAGTAAAAGATTAAATAAGTACAAATTCAAGCGTCACACAAACAAAAACTATAAAATAACAAATAAAACACTACTCTTGTTCAGCCGCAATTTGATTCCTGAAGAGGATATAGAAATCATGAATTCTATTCCACCCTCCTGCACTCGTTGCTTTGCTTGTGTGTCTTCACTTGCATTGTAAAGATTTGACCGTCTTGGCTGCCACATCAAGGGCAATAGTGCAGCTCATGTTGGCAGCCTTCTTCTTCTTCATGATGAACATAATTGCAACTTTTCCATTCAATCTTCCTACGCTGTTGAGCGTCAACACCCCGCTGCTCAATTCGCTGCCAAGATTTGAACCAGTTATTCCATTTGAATTCAAACTCACCTCCGCATTTCTTTTTATGGTCGAAAGCCATCCAGCCTTGCCCTTTGCGATATTAATTACTGCCACAGTCTGGCCTTGGTATTGAAACGTGACATTGGCAGCATTGAACTTGTAGGAACCCCAGTTGGCTGAGTTCTTGATCTTGATTTGGGTTGTGAATTTCGTGTCGAATGAAGGCGTTGCAGGGACAGCTTCGAAGTTCTGGATGTTGATGTTGCCTAGCCTGAACCTGGGGGTCTTGACTTTCATGACAGTGAGACTCATTGTGGTGATAACGATGATCTGAAACACAACAAAAATAGTAATATATATGGCCAATTTGATTTTCTTTTTGCGTTTCTGCTCATCAGAGGATCTCAAAGACTCCGCATCACTTGTTTTCCAAGCCATGTTTCCTTTTCTTTTCCGATAAAAAAGTTGGAAAACAAAAGTTCTCTGCTTTTGTAGTTGGTTTGGTTTAGTAGATGAAACTTGGAAGTGGAGGGAGTAGTTGTTTGTGGAAATGATGGAAGAGTAGTGTGTTATATATATAGTGTCTGGAGTTTGGATATTTTGTTTGATTAATTAATGATTTAAGAGTGGAAATATGATGATGAGTGTCATAATTACCTACCCAGGAAATGCTGAAATGTAAACAAACGCGCTTAGTATCTAGTTTTGGACTTAATTGTCTTCTAGATGGTCGAAATATTTTTAGACTTCGGTGTACTCGAAACATACAAAAATTTCACCATGTAGGAAAAAGTCTACGTCCAAAAAAAGCCAACAAAGAAAAGAATAAAATAAAATTATAGACATGTGGTACATCTCCCTGTAAGATTTTGGAGATCCAATTGTTTTGGTTTTAGGCAACGTCTTGAAGCCGCCATAGGTGTGTTAGAATATCACAGTTGGCCAATTGCCTATATTTTAAGATATTCCGAGTTTGGTGAGTAATCATATATTCAACAAAATATCAGCTTCATGGTCAAATAAAGTTCCTTAAACCATGACTGTGTTCTGGACTGAAGAATAATTCAAAGTTAAATAACAGTATAATTTGCCCAAACTATTCACAAGGTGATCCCACACCATGTTCTCACATGTCATTGGGATATTTTTATTTGTCCATTACGTGCATCAAAGCAAAAAGCCTAAAAGCCCCTCAACAAAGTCTTCCATCATCTAGAAGTCAATAATTCACACCTTTGGCTTTGGACGCGTTTGGCGTCTGCAAATAATATTTTCTGCTGAAACTCACATTTTCCAGGAAGTTGATTTCCACCCCCGTAACTTATTGAAATTGGCAAAATTCCGAATACTATAAATAGGAGGATACTCTTCCATCATTTTCACAAACAACTCCCTCCATTTTCAAGTTTCATATCCCAGAAAAGCAGACTCCTCAAAAGCAGACAACTTTCTTTTCACTCATATCAGAAAAAAGATAAGCTAAGAAACATGGCTGAGAAGGCTTATCCTGCAGCCCCGGCAAACCATGGTTACCAAAGAAGTGATGCAGAGTCTTTGGAAAATGCTGATGAACTGAAACGCAAGAAGAAAATCAAATTGGCCATATATATTACTATTTTTGTTGTGTTTCAGATCATCGTTATCACCACAATGAGTCTCACTGTCATGAAAGTCAAGACCCCCAGGTTCAGGCTAGGCAACATCAACGTCCAGAACTTCGAAGCTGTTCCTGCAACGCCTTCATTCGACACGAAATTCACAACCCAAATCAAGATCAAGAACTCAGCCAACTGGGGTTCCTACAAGTTCAATGCTGCCAATGTCACGTTTCAATACCAAGGCCAGACTGTGGCAGTAATTAATATCGCAAAGGGCAAGGCTGGATGGCTTTCGACCATAAAAAGAAATGCGGAGGTGAGTTTGAATTCAAATGGAATAACTGGTTCAAATCTTGGCAGCGAATTGAGCAGCGGGGTGTTGACGCTCAACAGCGTAGGAAGATTGAATGGAAAAGTTGCAATTATGTTCATCATGAAGAAGAAGAAGGCTGCCAACATGAACTGCACTATTGCCTTTGATGTGACAGCCAAGACGCTCAAATCTTTACAATGCAAGTGAAAACAGACCATGATTTGATTTCTCTATAATGATGTGGATTTTGGATTGATGAAGAAGATCTTATGGTTTTTGGGTGGTTTTTTATTCATCATCATCATTGATATTATTTTTTTTTTTTTTTTTTTTTTTTTTTTTTTTTTTTTTTCTTTTAGTTACAGCTATGTATTGTATTTTGTTTGTAGAATTATAATACTACTTTACCTTTTTCATCACTGAACCGGTACCATTGCTATTCTTTTTACTTTATGTTTATCAAATGGCTTAAATCATGCATCTTGTTTATCCAATAAAGGCCAATAAATTTGCAGGATTACATATGTTCCTCTGTTCTCAAATCACATACTGTATACGTATGTTCTAGAGAAATGAGCAATTGAAAGTTACAGAAGTTAACGAACAAAAGAAGTTAAAAAGTTACAAAACTATCATGACATGATGACATGCCCTACACGCATTAATTATTAGAACACTCTGTTTTTCTGTTTGGTCATCACTTTGTTTTCTTCGTTTCAATTATACTGAACTTACAAAATGCGTGTGTCCTGGATTAAGGTTTTGCTGAGTGTTTAGTGTGGCATGGGGTGCAGAGTGTCTCAGGATGAAGGAGAATGAACACAAAAATGGAAATGTAGCACAAAACACAAGTTGAGATGAAAACATTGGACATGGAAAGCTTAGCTAGTCACATGACACATATTTTGTTTTGTAAGGCCTCCATTCACCATAGATGGAAATTAAAGCTTAATTTGTATATACAAAGTATCTCTCTTCATATGGTCAGAAATTTGAAAGACAGTAAAAACAGAACAATATATCAACTACATTATGGTTCTACAAAAAATCCAATCCCAAAACAGAGAGTAGAATGGAAAAAAAAACACTCGCGGTTCAAATCCGGAAGTTGCAACCTCCATCACTCATTGCTGACAATTTCTCACTACTTGCATTCTAAGCCATGAGTTGCCTTTGAAGACAAGTCAAATTTCATGGTGCAGTCCATTGTGGCAGATTTCTTTTTCTTCATGATAAACATCAATTCCACCTTACCAGTCAATTTAGTTTTGCTGCTCAGCGTCAACATCCCACTGCTCAACTCATTGCCAAGATTGGAACTGCTTCACAATGCGTTGGAATTCAAACTTACCTCAACAAAGATTTTTTTTGGTGGGACGCATTCCAGGCTTGCTCTTTGGAATGACAATTTGCCTCACAGCCAAGCCTTGGTACAAGGAAGTTGCATTGGCCGCATCAAACTCATTGGGTCCCCAATTTGTGTTCTTGACTCTGATTTGGGTTGTGAAGCTTGTATCAAACAAAGGTGCCGCAGGGACAGCGTTAAAGTCTAGGACGTCGATGTTGCCTAACCGGACTTTGTGGGTCTTAACTTTCATCACAGTGTGTCCAAATACAGTCAGACTATGATATGAAACAGAAAGAAAATACCAAGGTAATGGCCAATTTGATTTGATTTGATATATATATATTTTTTTTTGGCGTTTCAGCTCATCAGCGGATTGCAAAGATGGTGAGAGATATAGTTTCCAGGAAATGCTGAAATGTAACCAAGCGCTCTTAGTGTAGAATTTTTGACTTGGTCTTTAAGTCCCATAGCTTACAAAGAGAAGGATATGATAAAATTAAGACGTGTGATAGAGAGATCCAATTGTTAGTGTTCTAGGCACAGTCTTTATGCTGTCATAGGTCTTTTAGAGTTTCAAAATTGGCCAATTGTCTGTACTTTAATAATGTGAGAGAGTTAGGTGAGCTTTCTATTGTTATTTTCTATCAGATGCTGATGCAGTGGTGTGCCAGGTACTGTTAGAATTGCACCCGACACATTCTATCTTAGAACATTTCATCCATGAGCAGAAGCTTCTATTGATATTTAATTAGTATGTCAATCTACTACGCAAAGAAAAAAGCCTAAAAGCTCCTCAACAAAGTCATCTATCATCTAGAAGTGATTTGGACGCGTTTGGCATGCGCAAAATTCTTCCCTTGAAACTCACATTTTCCAGGAAATTCATTCCACCACATAACTTCACTCAAATTACTGGGATGAAAGTCAAAGTCAGTCAAATTTTTATAGTCAATGCTCTTATTCTCAACCCATGTCATTTTCCAATGACTGCCCTTCAATGGCCGAACGACAACCCTTAGAAGGTAAATCATCACCTCATTAATGGCCAAACAACACTCCTTTGATGGTGAACGTTAGCCTTTCAACATTAAGTATCATTGCCTTTCGACGCATAAGCATTATTGCCTTCCAACACATAAGCATAATTGCTTTTCAGCACTCATGCTTGATTTGAGACACACAAGTACCTTTCGGGTTGGCACCCCGCCTATCAGTGCATTATCACTAACTAAGTGACATGAACCATAATCTTGCCTTTTCCACACTTTGCCCTTCGACATCATTGCTTCATGTCACTGACCGAGTGAACGAATTCATAACCGGCATGAGGGACTTGGGAATAAAAAGCCAAGTATTCTTCTAGGTCCTTACCTTGGGGCTTTGGGGATTAGGAATAGTGTGGCTAGGCGATATGTAGACGAAAAGGTTGCTCGGCCTGTGCACTCAAGTTACAACACTTGAACCAAGAAGAAATTTCTTACTAGGGACTAAAGGGGACTGTTGGTATCGTGACTATTATTCTTAAACAAGTAACTTGTATTATGTAAACAAAACAAGTATAGTGATATTAAGAATATCTCTAATTTTTATGGACTTAGCCTGTTCGGGTGAACCACGACGTCTCCCAAGTTGTATCTAATTTTCGATTTGCTTCACTTTTTTTAAAAAAGTTTTGTTTTTCTTTTGTGCTTGCTTTTACAAAATGAATGATTGTAAAAGGAGCGTACTTTACACTTGATACTTGATTTTTTTAATAATCAGTTTCATATTTGAAACGCGTCCATATGCACAACAAATATATAATAACATAATATCATGGGATTTCAAGTCATGTTCTCAAGCATCTAGTAGGCTACTGCAAGTCAATAACTATTTACGCGTTTTGATTCCAATTTCCAGGAAGTTTACACCCTCGATATTATTCTGGCAATTAACTCATTTACCAAATTGTCTATAAATACCACACGGCACTCACCAACATTCTCACAACCAATTCACTTGCTCATCAGTTCATATTTTACAGAGCGAAACAGAGAAAAAGCAGAGCATTTTCTTTTGAAGCTTTACTTCCACTAAAGAAATAAACATGGCTTGGAAAACAAGTGATGCAGAATCTTTACAATCCTCTGATGAGCAGAAACGCCAGAAGAAAATCAAAATGGCCATATATATTACTATTTTCGTTGTGTTTCAGATCATAGTTATCACTACGATGAGTCTCACTGTCATGAAAGTCAAGACCCCCAGGTTCAGGCTAGGCAACATCAACGTCCAGAACTTCGAAGCTGTCCCTGCAACGCCTTCATTCGACACGAAATTCACAACCCAAATCAAGATCAAGAACTCAGCCAACTGGGGTTCCTACAAGTTCAATGCTGCCAATGTCACGTTTCAATACCAAGGCCAGACTGTGGCAGTAATTAATATCGCAAAGGGCAAGGCTGGATGGCTTTCGACCATAAAAAGAAATGCGGAGGTGAGTTTGAATTCAAATGGAATAACTGGTTCAAATCTTGGCAGCGAATTGAGCAGCGGGGTGTTGACGCTCAACAGCGTAGGAAGATTGAATGGAAAAGTTGCAATTATGTTCTTCATGAAGAAGAAGAAGGCTGCCAACATGAACTGCACCATAGCTTTCGATGTGGCAGCCAAGACCCTCAAATCATTACAATGCAAGTGAAGAAGACAGCTAGGACACATCTCTGTAATTATGTGAATTTTGGATTGACGAAGACTAGTTCTTGGATTATTTTGCTTTACTGATATTCTTTGTTTCTATAGCTAAGAGTCACACTCGTATTTGTTGTAGAATTATATGGCTACTTTACCTTTTTAATTTCAGAATCGTTGTTATTCTTTTTACTTGGGGCAGGCAGTGCTTCGATTCATAAAGGAATTAACTATATTTTTAGCAAATTGTTTGAATCATCCAAGAAGGCCAATATTCACTACTACAAAATTGGTCAAAGACCACCAACTTAAGAGCACGAATATTTATGCCTTTTTCATATAAAACACAAATAATTGTGTTAAATCGATTTGCATAGAGCACATTTTTTTACTGGGCACAAAAAATAATGCCAAATGTTAGTTTCCTTCATCTGCTGTGGCTCTGCCGAGGCCTTTTCTAGACCATCTCACGGCTTTCTCTCTCGACCTAGTCTCTCGCTCAAGCTTATAGTGAAGGCCAAAGGTACAAAATCCCTCCCTCTAGTACATGGATTTGTTGTTTTTTATTTTTTATTTATTTTTCTACTGCGACTTATATTTGCATTTTAATTTGTATATGTTTGTTTGGTGAAATTTTCTGGGTGATGATAGACGGGCAGAGGCTGCTAGGATCCGAGAGAAATACCAAGATAGAATTCCAGTAAGAATTTGAATTCCCAACTTAGTTATCCATTGTCAATTTCTGTCCATGATGTGAATTACCAGCACATATTTTTTATGCAGTAAATGATTTGGATGGTTCTATATTTTTTCATACTTGGATGGTTTTTTATGCAGTTTCTCTTGGTGTTGCTGTCTTCTTCTCGAATCTGTGGCGGTTGTTGCTGTTTGCTGAGTTTTTTTTTGTTGTGGTTGCATTTCATAGATTTGGGTATAATTAAGGAGGGTGTATTCAATTGTGATTTTAATATATTGTAATCACAAAATTTTAATGTAATAGATTTAAGCAGGATTTGTAATTACAAGATTTTACTTATGATTTTAATAGATTGTAATTATACGATTTTGTTATGATTCACTTAGGGCTTTTTTGTATGGGGTTATTATTAATATACCCAAAATATGAGCTGAAATTATAAAAAAAACATCACTTGGAATGCACTTTAGAAACATACCCAAAACCCATTTATTACATAAGAAATTGGTGTTCAAGTTCTTATCAATTACATGACTGCCACTGAAAAAAGACCAACACCAAAAACTCAAAAAACACCCAAAACAAGCCTAGTTCAATTTTATAATCATTACAAAGAAAACGTCTTGAAAACCACAGCCGCTTTATTTTTTTTTCAAAGAACACCACCACACCTACCACTAACAACCACTTACAAAATCACAAAAAATAAAGAGAAGCAACCATTCAACACAAAAAGATGAAGAATTTCAAGTGGAAAATGATTCAAAGGTAAGACATTTAAAAACCACACCTTTACTGTCACGTTGATTAATGGTTGTAATGTTTCAGTCTATGGTAATAACACAGCTAGTTTACTATCACGTTGATTAATGACTGTAATAATGTTTCAGTCTATGGTATACTGCTATTTACTGTCACGTTGATTAATGATTGTAATTTCTAATTTAGGGTAATAACACTGTTAGTTTACTGCCACGTTGATTAATGGCTGTGATGTTTCAGTCCAGGGTATTAACACTGCTATTTACTGTCATTTTGATTAATGCCAGTAATGTTCCAGTCTAGGGTATTAATACTGCTATTTACTGTCACGTTGACTAAAGGTTGTAATGTTCCAGTCTAGAATAATAATATTGCTAGTTTACTGTCACGTTGATTAATGGTTGTAATGTTCCAGTTTATGATACTAACACTACTATTTACTGTCACATTGATTAATGAATGTAATGTTCCAGTCTAGGGTAATAACACTGCTACTTTACTGTTACGTTGATTAATTGTTGTCATGTTGCTATTTCTAATGCATGTCACAGAAAGAATGAAGAAAGAACAAAACAAACCAACATCCAAAAAGAAAACCAACGATATAAGTATAAGAAAGATTTCATAACGAGTATTCGAAGCAAAAAATTTGAAAATTGAAGCTAAAAGATGAGGAGTAGAGCTAAGAGCATATGACCGAGGTTCGTTCAAGGTTCCGAAAAATCTGGAAAAAAAATATGAATAAAAGCACGATTTTAGAACAAGAAATCAAAAGTGAAATATTGAAAATTGTATATCAGAGATGAAGAATATAGTTTTACTTGAGACTGAGCTTCAATGGAAGCTCCTCTTACTCCAACAACAAGAAAGCACCAGCGAGAAAGGTAATGAATTTGATTTAGTTTTTTTTTGCAATTTAATATTAATATCAAAATCTACAGTTGGCAGATCTGATTTTTCTCTCAAATCCATAGTACAAAGGGCAATATAGATATTTTGTACACACAAAAAAACTAAAAAATAGCTATTAAATTGAAAAAAATTGACTTCATATGAAATAAAAATAATATAATAACATGGATTAATTATGGATAAATAACCAAATGATAAAAGTAATAACAATAACATCATGTAGAAATTAGACATGGCTTAAGGAAAATAAAAGTTATCAAGACGTAATAAACATTTGTTGGAGCTTCATCTCCTCATATGACCTACATAGCATCTCTCGACATAGCACATAACTTGATAAACTTTCATTAATTGATTGGTATGCAAACCCTTGATTATTTTTCATGTTCTAGAGGCCTCCTTGGGTTTTTATTGGAATTGCTAGACAAGTGAGTTCACATTTGGATTTTTATTATAATTTATTCCTATATCCCAAATGTTAATTCGTAGCACAGTGGTCCTTTTCTCCCAAGTGGGACTAGAAGACCCAAAGTAAACAAAACAAAACTCTATAGTTATTCGAATCATCATTCTCCGGTTTGTACAAAAGTAAAATATTATTTTATAAAATAAATGCTAAATAAAAAGAAAAATCAATCCTAAATAATGAGGCAGTGCGCAATATTATTTTACAGATTGGTTTCTTCTTCTTTATCTGTTCCACACTCTTATTAATAATTGATAAATTGGCATAGTGGAAAGATATACAAAACGGATGTATGTAGGCTTGCGCCCACAACAAAGCAACACAGATGAGAACCTTGTTTATCTTCTCAAGTCTATTCATCTTCTCCTAAAACAAACCAACGTGAGAATCAGATATAATAGGGTGAGATTTTTTTATGGGATTTGGTATTTATATCATCCACTCAAAAGTCTCACACAACACATCATTTAATGAAATACCTCAAAATCGGTAAGTTTTTGAATACCATCAGGCTTTCATTGATGATTTTAAAATCCTAATTGAATATCATCAGATTTTTATTGATTACTTAAAAATCATAATTGAATACCTCTAGACTTTTAAGATTTAAAAAAACTATTAAAATCCTAATTGAATACACTCCTTCAAGTGTTTGTTGTTGTATTTCATAGAATAATTGTTTGGCTCTTATAAACAATTGGGTCATTGCATTTGTAAGCTATTTGGAGCACCTAATATGCTAATTTTCTCAATTTGTAATTCGATTTTATGTTGATTTATTTGTAATTTGTTTTATATTTGCATTTAGGTGTAACTTCTGAATGGGTGGAATCCAGCCCAAGGTGCGAGCGCTTGGGTTTCAAATTTCTTTTTCAATAAAATATTCAGTATTCGATTTATGTTGATTTATGTCTAATCAACTGATAAAGTTGCTAAGTTATAGCTTATTAGAATAAGTGGTGATTTCCTAACTCCAATTTTATCCACTTAGAGCCATTCCACTGAGCAGCCCAAGCTCGAGGCTGGGGGATGGGGTTGCTCGAAAAACCAGGTTCCAGCAGGCCAGTCTTGCCTAGGCTGGGAGTGGGACCCATGAAGACGGGTTGGCCCGAAGGCCAATTTCGCCCGAGGGGGGATGATGTCAGGCTCGACGTCATTGCGCGGGTTCAAATTTTTTTACCTTTGGCGCGTGCAATGCAAGCGCCAACGGTAAAAAAAAATTGAACTCGCGTGCGCTGACGTTAGCCATGCACAATCTCCAATGGCTGGAAGACATGTGTCAAGGCCTGGGCACTATGATCTGCTTCTACTCCTCCAATCCAACGGTTGGCATTTCTTTGGCAATAAAATTATGAAAAAAAATTGAATTTTTTTTTAAAAATACCAAAAAATTCTGAATTTTTTTTTCTATAAATACTTACAAATACCGTTCACTTTCAACACCAATACTCGTACATTTTCTTCTACTTCTACTATTATTCACTCTTTACTCAACATTTTCCTCTCTTTCAAATTGTATTTTTATTTCTTATCTTTATGGCTTCTTCCATGGAAGATGTTTTCTTGTCTGAGTCTTGGCTCCAAATTAGTCATTGTCCCGTGTCAAGCAATGAGATGAAATTTTGTCATATGTGGAAAAAAATTCATGTTGAATTTTGTGAAAGAATTTCGGGGTCGACTCGTACGGAAATGACATTGTCTAGTAGGTGGAAAATTCTCAATAAAGAGTTGGGAAAATGGAGAGATGCCTTGGCAAAAGCGAGGGACAACCATAGAAGTGGGGAAAATCTTATTAGCGAGGTAAGTATTTTGTAATTTTTGTTTTATTAAGTTTAATGTCCTAATATATATATATTTATTGTTTCTTGCATTTTCAATATTTTGTTAATATTTCTTGCATTTTCAATATTTTCTTAATATTTCTTGCATTTCCAATTGTTTCTTAATATTTCTTGCATAAATAATATTTTGTTAATATTTGTTGCATTTCCAATATATTTGTAAGGTTAATTGCATTTCCATTTTTATTTTTATTTTATATTTTATGTTACTTGCATATCCAATATATTTTAAATATTTCTTGCATTTCCATTATATATATATTTTTTGGTTAATGGATGATTCAAGCACATATGTGGTTTGGTGCAATTGGGCAAGGCAAAAAAACTTTCAACCATCATGAATGTTGGGAGGTGTGAAAATTTGCAAACGCTTCAAAATTATTCTCACGGATCCTGCCGTTATGTTAAATGAGACGTCACTCCATGATTCAACGACATCAGATTCACCTCTCGAGTCCCCTATGAGTCAAGACTCACCCGTCGAAAAGGAGCCGAGGCCCATTGGCTGAAAGGCTGCGAAGGCGAAGAAAATGAGTAATTCTAGCAATAATACATCAACATTTTTGGAGGAAATTGCAAGGCAGAGTGCCATAAGAATTGAAATGGTGCGGAAACACCAAGAGAAAGAGATGGCAATTCGAGCAGAAAATCTTCAAGAAATGGAGTTTTTGCGCAAAGAAATCATTGACAAGAAGGATTGGGAAACCATGGCCATGGATACAAGCCATATGTCCCTTAAAACAAAACAATTTTGGAAGCTAGAACGAAGGGATGTTATGAGAAGAAGACTTTTCCGTGACGATGGGCCTAGCAACACGGATTGGTTAAATGATCAAAACCATTAAATTAGTTGGCATACCTTTTATTTATTTTTATTTTTCATGTATTTTATTTTAGTAGTAGTAATTCTTAATGACTTGTATTGGCTTTCTTTATTTAATAAGCAAAGCATTCAATAAAATACCTTTTTATTCAACATGTTCCATACATCAAACAAAACATAATTAAAAGGAAAAACCACAACCAAAGCATAATAAAAAACAAAAAGAAACTACAACCAAAGTATAATAATAATAACAAACCACAACCAAACCATAACTAAATAAAACGTAACCAAAGCATATATGCTCCATCAAGTTGTTTGGGCCTAAAAATTGACACACCCAGCCCAGCGAAAATGAGGCCCAAAATCTAAGAAAAGCCCAGCCCAAAACTTGGGCCTCACAGCCCCATTGTGATGGAAAGGGGGAAGCCCAGAAATAGGAAACAATCCCACGTGACATCTCTGGGATGAAGAAAAGTCAACAATGGCAACTGTCATGAGAGAAGTGATTGAAAAGTTTATGTCATCAAGCTGTTCTGAAAAAAGCCTTGAAAAAATCAGAAGATAAAAATCCCTCTTACATATACATATATATATATATATATATTAAATCAGAGATTTTTTCTACTCTACAGAGAGGGTAATTCTCCCAAAAAGATAAGCAAGCTACAAGCTCAAAGAGAGATAAGCAGGAAAGTAGGGAGCTGTCCAGAAAAGAAGTCAAACTAACCATCACGGGTGAAATCTCACAAGGGGCAGTTGAAATTAAGAAAAGAGATTAGGTTCTTTCTCAAGAAAAACAGGGAAGTGATTGCCTATTTTTTGAAAGCCTATCTGCCAAAACTGATAAAATCCTACTTTCTTTCTTTCCATTTTAAAAGAGAAAAAAAGGGGGAGATATCTTTTGAAAGAGATTTGCCGCCCATTATTAATTTTCACTATAAATACAAGGAAGAGTGAACAGGGTAAGGGACAACAAAAAATTCATCATCATCCAATCAAACAAAAATCTTACACAAGAAAAACCGTCAAATAGACAAGTTCAAAATCAACCAACAAGCCCACTTGAATTTCAAGTAAAACCAGCTCCAGATCAGAATTCCCAAGGTCCAGATTTAAGAAGCAAGTCATTCAAAACGAGATTTCTCTCGTTACAAATTTGGTTCAGCAAAAAACCAAAACAGGTAGAGTTTGAGCTTCCTCCAGATATGGAAAACCTCAACAAAATTCACAGTGCAGTCTCTAGCCCACTGAAGCCCTCAAAAAACAGTCATTCCTGCCCGTGCGGACAGAGAAAACTGCAGTTCTGCCCACTCAAAAGCTTCACAAAAGCATGAGGTACATTGAAGCTCTGCCAGAATCAGCCTTTGGTATCGATTTACAAGTTGAAGCTTAGCAGTCAAGTTGTCAACGGTCCAGTCTAGCCCAAGCGTTTCCAGTCCAGCCCGGGCATCTCCAGTCCAGCCCAGACCAGAACCTTCCATCTCGATAGAAATAAAGTCCCAGCTGTCTCTTCATCTCTCTCTAGCATAAGCATTCATTGTTATATTCTTGTAAAAGGCAGTTCCGCCTAAAAAAAAAAAAAAACAGTTTAAATCCCATCAACCATTCTGACCAAGACAACCTCTTTATACTGAGATAAATTGTTAAAGTCCTCACCAGGAAAAGAACTTACTTGGGAGATATTCCTCACCCAAATTCACAATCGCTTGTTTGCAGAAATCAGTAACTTAGGACGCAAGTTATCCATTCCAAACTAAGTATGCTAGAAATGCTTGCTAGCAGTGGCACGCTCGCACACCAAAGAAAGCTGACTTGTTGACCAGTTTATGGTTCTCAAGTCAAGTTGACACCTTTCATGAATATACGAAGATTGCATCTCTGTATATCGATCTATTATATGGTTCATGAAACGACCATCTCTAACCAACGGATCCAGCTCAAATGGTTCTCCACTTGACCCCATGGGCCTTTCATAAATTCGTGTCAAGGTCGTGTTCATGGGATCCGGTTCGTAGACCTCTGCAACATCGTAATCATACTCATCCTCCACAATCATATTATGGAGGATGATGCAAGTCATCATAATGCTTCTCAGGACCTCCTCATCAAACATACACGCCGCACCTCGAATAATCAACCATCGAGTTTGGAGGATGCCAAAATACCTTTCGACATCTTTCATGTATCCTTCTTGATAGGAAGCAAATAATTTTTGCTTATGAGATCAGGGATTGGGAATGGATTTGACAAATGTGGTCCACCTTGGGTAGATGCCATCAACTAGTTAATACCCCGTCTGGTACATTGTATTGTTGATTTGATAGGTGATATTCGGGCTTGCATATCTCAAAACATCGTTGAAGACCGGGGATTGACCCAGCACGTTGAGGTCATTTTGGGATCCGGCAACTCCGAAGAAGGCATACCAAACCCATATGTCAAAGCCAGCAACGGCTTCAAGGATGATACCTTTATGGACTTTTCTATTCCCGTAATCTCTTTGCCAGGCAGTTGGGCAATTCTTCCATTGCCAGTGCATGCAGTCGATTCTACTAATCATTCATGGAAATCCTCAAGCTTCGGCTTTTTGTAGAAGCCGTCGGAGGTCCCTGGGAGTGGGTCTGCGCAGGTAGTCTTTAGTGTACAGAGTTTCGACTGCATCACAAAATCTTACCAAGGCCTCCAATGTAGTGGACTTCCCCATCCGGACAATCTCATCCACCTGATCAGTAGATGAACCATACTCCAACATTCGTATAACAACTGTAAGCTTTTGCTATGGAAGAAGTTCCAAAACCTCAGCAGCATCACACTTTTGAACAAAGTATGCATCATAATTGTAAATATCATGCATGACTTTATTGAACAAATGAGGTTGCATTCTATATGTCATTCGAAAATCAATATTAGAGTACAAAGAAGTTGGGATAAAATAATCTTTCAAAAGATTTTTACCCCGAGAATGCCTATGTCTGTCCACATTCGGGCCACGGCCGACTTGTGAATCATGACGGCGACCTTGGTTCTTTTCATCTAGCAAAGCTATTGCTATGACAACTTGTTCATCTTCTTCTCTCTGCAACATTTGCCTTTCAGCTCGTTTATGGCTTCTCTCATTTGTTTCTCGCTCTTGCTTCTCCAAGTATCTCCTCAAATCTTCCAATGAGAATGGAGTATGAATTCTAAACTATGAGAAATGAAAATATAGAAAGATGTGGTGTGAGAGGGAATGAGCTGATCCTCTTGTTTTATTGAAAATTTTGGCAAGATAGAGATGCTACGTGGCTTGATTTGATAGGATGAAAATCTTATTTGAAATTTGAAATTTATCTGAAATTTGAATTTTGAAATTCATTCGAAATTTGAATCCAAAAATCTTATTCGGAAATTTTATCCGATTATGAATAGTCTTAACACGTAAGAACTCGAAAATCTTATCTGAAAATATTATCCAAATTAATTATTGAGGTAAAAAAAATTATAAAAAAATAAAAAGTAGTTGCCCTTTGCCATAGCAACGGATGGAAACACAAAATGTTTTTTTGCAAGGGCAATCATTATTCACATGAATAATGACTGCCGCCCCTCTCTTGTCATGACAAAGGGTAAATGAGTGGAATTAATCTTACACTATATGTAAGTTATATCTTATAAGATTGAGTGGTCATTTGAAGTACAAGCACAAATGCCTCTTTTCGTGCTCTGTAGTGTCTGACACAAATGACCACAAATGACAAATTAGTGTGAAACTCCTATAACCGTCAACTTAAAAGTGGCTGCATAGCAAACTGTCAACTTAAAAGTAGTATAAAGCACAATTATATGGGTTTTGTGTCCTTAGACATTAAGAGCACAAATAAAAATGGTGCCTGAACCCAAATTGTGTAGTAGTGATTGACGCAGAGAAAAGGTATCCATCATGATTGCGTGACGCTAACAACACAACGAAGACATCACGATTCAATAAACAAATTTAAAGTAAAAAAGAGTTCACGCGTCAACACAATTCTAGTAGTAGTCGACCTCATCAAAGGCAGTCCACCAACCCCCCACCAACCGCACTCACAGCAAATCCACCAACTCTCTCCCTTTAAAAATCCGCTTCCATTTTTCCTCCACATCCAAATCCAACCCCTGCTCTTCGCGACTAGGCTAACGACAGGAATTCCCTCTCTCTCTTTTTGTTTGGAAGAAAAAATTCCCCCTCTCCCTTGCGCAGCAGCAAACCATCATTTCCAACCCATGCTTGCTGCCTATCTTAATTGAAGCAAATTAAGGTAATCTTTCATTCATCATCTGCGTTTTTTTATTTTTATTTTTATTTTTTTTAATGTTGAAATTTTGGGGAATATTTATGATTTATGATTAGTTATTTACAATTGAAGTTTATGAGTTGAAATTGATTTTGGTGTTCTTGCTTGTATGAATTATTCATTAGGGATTTTGATAATTCATTATGAGTTGAAATTGATTTTGGTGTTCTGATTTTGATTAGATATTTAACTATTTAAGTATGTTTTTATTGGATTTTTTGTTAGTTTATATGTTTACATTTTATATATATTATTCAATACATTATACTTTATAATGTCGCGCCAACATCGAAATGTTAAGAGATCAAAGACTTTCCGGCAAGTTTTTAAGAGAAATAATGATATAATGATTAATCATCAATTATGTCTATGTTTTTGCCATCACTGAAATTCACTTTTTCCATAGGTTTGTCCGATAAGATAAATTTAGACCCACCATATTGAAATTCCGGCTCCATCCCTGATGGCGACCGAAACGCCTCCGAATTTCTGGGGCGACATGCCAGAGGAGGACTACTACACCTCCCAAGGCGTGCGCAACGCCAAATCATTCTTCCAGACCCCTAACGGCCAGATCTTCACTCAGAGCTTCTTGCCGTTGGATCAAACAGTCAAAGGCACTGTCTTCATGACCCACGGCTACGGATCCGATACCGGCTGGCTCTTCCAGAAAATATGCATCCACTACGCCACTTGGGGCTACGCCGTCTTCGCCGCCGATCTCCTTGGCCACGGGCGATCCGACGGCCTCCGCTGCTACCTTGGCGACATGGAGAAAGTTGCCGCCACGTCACTCTCCTTCTTCCTCCACGTGCGCCGCAACGAATTATACCTCCACCTCCCTGCCTTCCTCTTCGGCGAGTCCATGGGCGGCGCTGCCACCATGCTCATGTACTTCCAGTCCCCGCCCGACACGTGGACGGGCCTGATCTTCTCCGCGCCGCTCTTCGTCATCCCAGAGAACATGAAGCCCAGCAAGGTCCACCTGTTCCTGTACGGCCTCCTATTCGGGATCGCCGACACGTGGGCGGCTATGCCGGACAACAAGATGGTCGGAAAAGCGATCAAGGACCCCGCGAAGCTGAGGATCATAGCCTCGAATCCCAGGAGATACACGGGCCCACCTAGGGTGGGGACCATGAGGGAGATCGCGAGGGTGTGCCAGTACATACAGGACAACTTCTCGCGCGTCACGACTCCGTTTTTGACAGTGCACGGGACGGCGGACGGGGTGACGTGTCCGTCGTCGTCGAAGCTGTTGTACGAAAAGGCATCGAGTGTGGACAAGACCTTGAAGATTTACGATGGGATGTACCATTCCTTGATACAAGGGGAGCCCGATGAGAATGCGGAGATTGTGTTGAGGGATATGAGGGAGTGGATTGACGAGAGGGTTGAGAGGTATGGGCCCAAGTAAAGTAAAGGTCCAATAAACAATGAAAAAGTTACCATGTCCATTACATGACATGCCCTCCACGAATTAATGATTAAAACACTACGTTTCAATTATACTCAACGTACAAAATGTGCTAATTCGTTTGTCATCTTTTAATTATTAGGTCACATGTAATGTAAATAAGCATCTAGAGTCAGCTCACATATTTTATCACGTAGCGTGATAATTGATTGGCTATATCTTAGCGTAAAGCATGTAATTCTGTAATCCACAAAGAAGATATGAGGAAATTTCAAGATTTATTGATAAAATTGGAATAACAAAACATACGACGGGTAAAGTATGCTTAAATATTCATAGAAACCTTAGAAATAACAAAGTTTTCAAAAACTCTAAAAACTGGAGCCCAAGTCTACAGTTTACCGATTTGCCCTTGTGCGCGTCGCTCCTGCTCATCTTGGATTGCTTCCGCCATATGTTCTACATCATTTTATTTTAATGGCTTTTTATCAAAAAACATCATTGACGTTTGCGAAACTATCATATTGAATCCTTAAAGTTTTTTTGTATCACTTATGGTCCCTATCGTTAATATAGGTGTTCTTAAATAGTTCATCTGTAAAAAAAAACTATTAAATTCAAGGACATAATCGTCAAATCAATCCAAAATTATAAAATATATTTTTTTATAATTTCCTTTGTCAAATACAACTTTGCATCGCATCCGCATCGTACTGATTTTCTCTCCCTAGGATGCTCCACGTTGGCCTTTTTTCTTGGTTGATTAAATCCTGACTGATAACAAACAAAATCTCGTCTATATATCCCTAAGTTTTGACTTTTGGTTGAGCGTGCTTTCCTAATTGAAAACCCATTCTTCCGGGCAAAATTGCTGTAGTATTCAAAAGCATCATCATCAGTTTTGAAAATTTGACCAACATAAGGAGTGAAGACAGCTTCTGATGATGACGAAGATGGAGTTGTCTCACTCTTTACATGCTGAGAACTTACTGAGCCCAGATCATCTACTTCATAATGAATGTAACACTTCCAATCTCCACACGAGCACTGTCGGCGTCGAATCCATATGTTATTTGATTGCTTCATTGCCATTTTTTAGGAAACACAAGAAGTGTTCCAGCTTATGTAGCCTTCAGCCAAACAAACAGCAAAAGAAAAAAAAACTTTTAATCAAATATTTGTTGCAATTCATACTGTCATATACAAGAAAAAAAAGAGGCAAAATATGTCCTTAATGCATTACGCATTTCAAGTCCGAAAAAAGCAAATAAAAAAATAAAAGAGAAAAGGTGAAATAGTTCCTTAAACTCCAATATAAAGTTGGAAAAAAAAAGAGGGAATGATCAAAATATATAGTTTAACTGAAGATAGTGAACGCTAAATCAATGAAGAAAAAAATAAAATTTGTCGTGGACTAACAATGAATAACTACTCCACAAAAGAGACATGTCATGGGCTACAATTTAGGAAGGAAATGAGAAAAATAAAAGAAACCCAGCAACAAGCATGAATTCAAATTGTTTTATACCCCTAAAATTTGATCTTTCAGAAAGAGGAAAAAAAAGCTCAAAACTATACATAGCTATTAGAAAAACGAAACTTACCAGTAAAATTGGCCCTCAAATGGTTCAAATTATTCTGAGCAAGACAATGTGGTGTTGCAGAGCAGCTACAGCCGGAAGTTCAAAAAGATGAGAGAGAGAGAGAGAGAGGAAACAGAAAAGAAAGAGGGGAGAGAGAAGACTTATATATATATATTATAATTTTGGATTGATTTGACGATTATATCCCTGGATTTAACAGTTTTTTTGACAGAGGGATTATTTAAGAGCACCTATATTAACGTTAAAGACCATGAATGATACAAAAAAACTTTAAAGATGCAATCTTCGAGTTTCGCAAACGTCATCGACGTTTTGTGATAAAAAACCTATTTTAATTTTATGAATGGTGGAGAGAGGACTTTGAACCCAAAGAAGAGAGTATGATGACTGCTGCGACCCGGACAAGAGAAGAAAGTGCACCTACTTCTAGTGAGAATAGGGAGGACAAAGGTCTTTTAACAACTGAAGAAGAACAAAAGGTAAATGTGGTTCAAGAATTAATGGAGAAGGATACAAGGAGCAGGGATGCAACTCTATATGAGCATTTGGCAGTGGAAATGATAGATTGTAGGCGAAGAAACGCAAACCACAATCAAATGTTTTTCTCCGGATTCGACAACTCTTTTCCCAGATATTTGAGCTTAGGACCTCCTCGAACAAAATGTAAACTTTTCTTGTCCTGGATTAGAGGGTTGGCTGATGTGATGATCTAATCACTGAGGAACAAGGGAGCAGTAACACGTAGTCAGCATGTTCTCACCCGTATTAGAACATTTCATCTATCCACAGAAGCTTCTATTGATATTTAATTAATATGTCCATCTACTCAAAGCAAAAGCCTAAAAGCTCCTCAACAAAGTCATCTCCATCATCTAGAAGTAAAAAATTTCCACATTTGGACGCGTATGGCGTGTGCAAAATTCTTCCCCTGAAACTCACATTTTCCAGGAAATTCATTCCACCACACAACTTATTGAAATTGGCCAAATTTCCCACACACTATAAATAACAGACTACTCTTCCATCATTTCCATAAACAACTCCCTGCATTTCCAAGTTTCATATCCTACAAAACCCAAGTCCTCAATTTCCTTTTCACTTATATCAGAAAAAGAAAAACTAAGAAACATGGCTGAGAAGGCTTATCCTGCAGCCCCGGAAAACCATGGTTACCAAAGAAGTGACGCAGAGTCTTTGGAAAATGCTGATGAGCTGAAACGCAAGAAGAAAATCAAATTGGCCATATATATTACTATTTTTGTTGTGTTTCAGATCATAGTTATCACCACAATGAGTCTCACTGTGATGAAAGTTAAGACCCCCAAGTTCAGGCTAGGCAACATCAACGTCCAAAGCTTGGAATCAACGCCTTCATTCGACTTGAAATTCACAACCCAAATCAGGATCAAGAACTCAGCCAACTGGGGTTCCTACAAGTTCAATGCTGGAAATGTCACGTTTCAACACCAAGGCCAGACTGTGGGAGTAATTAATATCGCAAAGGGCAAGGTTGGATGGCTTTCGACCATAAAAAGAAATGCGAATGTGAGTTTGGATTCAAGTGCAATAACTGGTTCAAATCTTGGAAACGAATTGAGCAGCGGGGTGTTGACGCTCAACAGTGTAGGAAGATTGAATGGAAAAGTTGCAATTATGTTCATCATGAAGAAGAAGAAGGCCACCAACATGAACTGCACCATAGCTTTTGATGTAGCAGCTAAGACCCTCAAATCTTTACACTGCAAGTGAAGATAGACTAGTTATTTTGTAGACTGTACCTTTGCGATAGGCCACATCTCTATAATGATATGGATTTTGTATTGATGAATACTTGTTCTTGGATTTTTTTCTCTTCATTGATGTTATTTGTTTCCATAGCTATGAGTGACACTCGTATTTATTGTAGAATTATAATGCTACTTTTACTTTTTTTAATCACTAAAGTGTTTTTCTTTTCACTGGGATTGTGCGTTCGTTTGATTTTGACAAATTAATCGGTTTGCAACTACCTTTATGTTCATCAAATGGTTTAAATCATGCATCTTGGTTATCCAATGAGGCCAATATTTGCAGAAATGGGTTAGGATCAATATCTTCAACTGGAGGAGCAGGATTAGGGGTTTACGTTTTCCTTTGTTCTCAAACCCCATATATTTTATTGAAGAGAAATGAGCATATGCGAGATACAGAACAAAAAAAAACATAAATCAAACGAACAAAACATGTGTATGGTGAAGATTGGGCTAGGAATTAGTCACCTGAGGCATCTTTTGTGAAACCTCCATTTGGTTTGAAATGAAAATTAAAGCTCAACTTAGAAGGTTATACAGAAAGCATCTCTCTTTCATCAATGTTCAATAATATGTAAAGAAAGTTAAAAGAAAAAAGGTGGCCTATGGTTAAAGTAAATAAATAAATAACAGTATAGTTCTACCACAAACTAATAAAATCATGAACTAGTGTTGAATTGCCTTTGTTGACAAATCAAATGAACATTGTGGGAGCAAATTTCCCCACGAGAATATTTGATTGGAAAGATTCCCATTTCTTCTTTGCCGCCTCTTTCTCCCTGCAAAATAGAACAAATAAGAGGACCACACCCGGGGGGGGGTGTTGGCCAAATGCCCTCTGATGTCTAAATTAGTTCAAGAGTTTGTAAGAAAAACACTAGCTAATTAGGGTACGGAGATGTGTTTATGGTGTAAACCGGGAGGCTGGAGCCTTATGTAAAAAAGAGAGAGAGAAGTGGTGGCTAGGGTTTGAGAGGAATTTTTTGCAGAGTTTCAGTAGAGATTTTAGACGTACCTCAACCCTTGTGTGTGGCTATCTTTTTATAGTGGTCTTGAAGGCTAGGGTTTCAGAGGAATAATTCCGTAGATGGAAGAGAATTATTCCTCCCATATTTGGAATTGATTTGATTAATTAGGGATTTGATTTATTAGGGTAAATCAAATCCCTAATTGTGGTAGGTATCAAATCAATTCCTAATTTGATTAGGTAACTCCTCATTTAATTGGGAATTGTGGTAGGAATCGAATCAATTCTCTATTTAATTATGTAACTCTCAATTTAATTGGGTAACTCTCAATTAAATTGAGTAACTCCCAATTAGGTTGAGTAATACCCAATTAGGTCAAATAATCCCCAAATGGAAGGAATAATTTGACCTAGGGTTTTGATTTAATTCGGTTCCCACAAATGCCCCATAGCTTCTGCATAGCGCGTAGTGGCATGTAGGAGATGTGAATCAACTATTGGGCTGTCTAGCTGTAATTGGGCTTTCTTCTGTGACTTGGGCTCTTTTTGCAGATTGGGTTCCTAAATAGAGTGAGCTTTTGACTGTTCTTGGAGTTGGGTTCCCAGTAGGAATGGGCTTGCGATTCCTTCTTGACCTAGGATGCCTAACCTATGTAAATGCAGGGCTTCTCTTCACTCTTCTTCACATCGCAAACTTAACTTCTCTACTTTCTAGCTTGAGGGAGATCTTGGAAAATTTGTACTGCTTGTCGAAGAGAGAAGTCGCTGTGCATCCCAAGGTAAGTCGAGCACATATATTTCTTTTTCTTTGCCTTTTCTTCTTTTTTGCTGCGAAGGCCAACTGGGGGAAGTCCGGCTAGTTGTCATCGTGACATGCGATGGTTGGCAGTGGGCAGCAGCTGTGGTGGAGCAAGTGCGCACAGATGGACCAGCTGTTGCCTATCACTGCAAGTATGGGTGGAGCATGCTGGGCCTCGCGCGTTGCATGCCACGTTAGAGATGGGGAGAAAGTTGGTGGTCTGCCCCTGCTCAAGATGTTGAGAGATGGAAGCATAATGGTCCAGACTTGGATGATCTGTTGGCTGGATAGGAGAAGTGTTCTGCTGGACTCCCCTTCAAAAAGGAAGGCTGATGTCAAGTATTCAAGAAATGAAGTTGCGACTTCGCTGGCGAAAGATGCATCCCCGTTGGGGAAGACGCCAAGGATCCCTTCTGTTGAGAAGACTCAACTAAGAGCTGTTCCATCATCACCTGCTAGGGTCAAACATCTCGTTGGTGCAAACAGCACGAAGGTTGGTGGTATGCGCGGTGTTCGGGGTGTTCTACCCTAGCCTCCTACTGACAAGATTGAAAACCATGATCTACTTCATGGAATAGCTTGTGCCCGATCTCGTTCTGCCGAGAGTCAAAGAGATGCAAATATTCCTCTTCGAAGTTCGAGTCGTCTGCGTCAGCCAAAGGATGAAGATCGAAGTGGGAAGTTTGCTTGTGATCCAGCTGTTGAGTCATGAGAAGTCAAGCGTGGAGTTGATTCAACATCATTGACTCATTTGGAAGTGAGGTTGGAGGAGGCTAAGAAGACAAGAGAGTCATCTGCTCGGGCGAAGGGATCTTCAGCGTTGGCGGTTGATCCCAAAGTGAGCAAGTCCAGCCTTTTAGGGGATGCATGTGTGTCTGACCTGCTCAAGACGAACTTTCTATCAAACCCATCCTCCTGTGTTGAGTTGGTCAATCACATCCGTCAGGTCGGCGATCTTGGCACATTCTCGAATCTTTCCTTGGAAAAACAAAAGGAAGCAACATTTCATCTACTCCAAAAAGGAGTAGTTTTTATTGATGAAACTATCTGAAACTTGCCTGCTATTGTACTGCTCAACTAGAAATGATCCCTTCAATGCCATCGGAGATGGATACATCGAGATGCTCTGTTTTGACTTCCTCCTTAGGCAAAGTGAGCCGTTTAATGCTGTGAACATGAAAGGAGCTAAAGAGCAGGCGGTCGAAGAGGCGGTAGCTGAAGAGGATGAAGCAGAGGAGGATGCAATAGATGAGGTAGTGACAGACATCGTAGATCAGGCAGGTGGAGCTGCTGATAACATGGCAGATCAGGCAGACGTCGAAGAGGCTATAGATCAGGGATCTCTTGCTGGTGTCTCAGAGTAAATGAAGACTCTTTTATTTCTTTTCAGCTTTTGTAGTTTGCTTTCTTGTGTAAAATAATTGGTCATGCTTGACCATCTTTTTGTTGAACTCGGTCGGTTGGTCACTTTGCTATGGAAATTTTAGTTGCTTTTCTAACTTCAATTCCCAAAGTGTCTTGTGAATAGCTTGAGTGTTTCTAGGTTGGGGCATGTCTAGCCTATGTCCGGTGACGTGTCGATGAGAGTGACCAGTTTGGTCTACATCCGGAGACGAGTGTCCTGTTTGGCCTACGTCCGGAGATATGTCAATGAGAGTGGCCCATTTGGCTTACGTCCGGAGACGTGTCGATGAGTGTGGCATGTTTGGACTACGTCCGGAGACATGTCGATGTGTGTGGCCTGTTTGGCCTGCGTCTGAAGACGTGTCGACGACAGTGGCCCGTTTGGCCTACGTCCAGAGACGTGTTGATGAGAGTGGCCCGTTTGGCCTACTTTTGGAGACGTGTCGATGAGTGTGGCCCGTTTGACCTAGGTCCAGAAACATGTCGATGAGAGTGACCCGTTTGGCCTACGTCCGGAGACACGTCGATGAGAGTGGCCCATTTGGCCTACATCCGGAGATGTGTCGATGAGAGTGGTCTATTTGGCCTACGTTTGGAGACGTGTCGATGAGAGTGGTCCGTTTGGCCTACATCCGGAGATGTGTCGATGAGTATGGCCCGTTTGGCCTACGTCTGGAGACGTGTCGATGAGAGTGGCCCGTTTGGCATATGTCTGGAGACGTGTCGATGAGAGTGGCCTGTTTGGCCTACGTCCAGAGACGTGTCAATGGGAATGGCCTGTTTGGCCTACGTCTGGAGACGCGTCGATGAGAGTAGCCCATTTGGCCTACGTCCGAAGACGCATCGTTGTGTGTGGCCCGTTTGGCCTACGTCCGGAGACGTGTTGATAAGTGTGACCTGTTTGGCCTACGTCTAGAGACGTGTCGATGAGTGTGGCTCGTTTGGCCTACATCCAAAGACGTGTCTGTGAAAGTGGCCTGTTTGGCCTACGTTCGGAGATGTGTCAATGGCATTTGTAAACATTCCATTGGAAAGAAAAGTTTGAACTTGTATTGATGTTTGTGTGACTACATTGCTTTATTGAACAAAAGAGATGAGTTGCAGGGGTAACATCAAAAGTAACTTGTCTTCAATAGAGGTGAAAGAGGCTTGGTTGTCTACTTGGAGCTAAGCTGATAGGCAAAGAGCTTTTTGGATAGTACCTCCAGAGGTGATGGGCATTCCGTTGTCTTGGAACTTCCTTTCCTTAAAAGATGATGCTGGGATTGTCTTCCATGACAGGGTAACAAGTGACGGCTTGGGAAACCTACGCTTGTCGCTTGCATGATCTTTCTCTTTTGCTCCTCGGTGGTTAGCTCAGGCTCTTAGAGTCGGCTAGGATCGTGCTGATCTGTATGACTTTTTTCGTGGAGGTTTGTTGGCAGTTGCGTCACGATCTTTGATTTGCTGGATAGCCCCCCTTGCGATGAATTCCGTGTAATGGCCATCTCTGACCAGTTCTTCGAGGTGCATTTTCCAGGCGAAGCAGTCATTTGTGTAATGATCGTGCCCTTCATGAAATTCGCAGTATCTACTAGTATCCTTCTTGGCTGGGTTTCCCTTCAAAGGAGATGGTTTCTTCAACCAAAGCATGTTATTTACTTGGGCCAGGATCTGGTGTATCGGGATAGTGAACTTGTTATAGCTCTCGGTTGCTGGAGCACCTCCTTGAGGATGTAATCCGTGCTTGCCTCCATCCTTGTCGTCTATCATGCCGTTCCTTTGGCTTGCTTGCTCAACTGGTTGATCGGCTTGCTTAACAGCCTTCTTTGCAGCTATCTGATCATCGTCCCAAAGTGTATAGCACTCTGCTGCTGCGAAAACTTCTACTAGTGTTTGGCAGGGAGAGATGGTCAGCTCGCGATACAGCTCACACTCAACTGGCAAGCCCCTCTTGAAGGCCGATGACGCGATTCGATTGTCATAGCCAATGATGTTTGCCATTTCTGCTTTGAACCTCTTGATGTAATCTCGGAGGGATTCATCGTACTTCTTGCGTAGGTTGAATTGGTGGTCAAGGTTCTTCTTGATCGTCTGGTAAGAAGTGTATTCTTCGGTGAAGACGTAAGCTAGCCCCTTGAAGCTGTTGATTGACCTGGATGGTAGGGTGTAGAACCAGTCTTGGGCTGCTCCTAGCAAGGTCATCGCAAACACCTTGCACATCAGCACGTCGTTGGTCTTGTAGAAAATCATAGCTCTTTTGAACTGTTTTAGATGGCTCTCGGGATTGGAATCCTCTTTGAAATGCATGAATGAAGGCATTGAGAATCTCTTTGGGGGAGCAACCTGCTCGATTTTAGTAGTGAAAGGCGTAGAGTTTTCTTGGTCCACCTCCCTGCGTAGAGCATCTTAGAAATTTCTGCCAATCTTTAAGTTACGAAGTCGGTCGTTTACGAGCTTCTCGACTTCTTCTACGCACATGGCTGGCCGATCACGTTGGCGTTCCTCGTGATTTAGGTGGGGATGGTTGACTTCCTCGCCGACTTGAAGAGGTTGACCTCCTTGGTTGCCTTGCCTGTGAGGCAGATTGATGGATTGAGCTTGCAAAGATTCCTCCACGAGTTGTCGCTGCTCCTAGCAAGGTCATCGCAAACACCTTGCACATCAGCGCGTCGTTGGTCTTGTAGAAGATCATAGCACTTTTGAACTGTTTTAGATGGCTCTCGGGATTGGAATCCTCTTTGAAATGCATGAATGAAGGCATTGAGAATCTCTTTGGGGGAGCAGCCTGCTCGATTTTGGTAGTGAAAGGCGTAGAGTTTTCTTGGTCCACCTCCCTGCGTAGAGCATCTTAGAAATTTCTGCCAATCTTTAAGTTACGAAGTCGGTCGTTTACGAGCTTCTCGACTTCTTCTACGCATATGGCTGGCTGATCACGTTGGTGTCCCTAGTGATTTAGGTGGGGATGGTTGACTTCCTCGTCAACTTGAAGAGGTTGACCTCCTTGGTTGCCTTGCCCGTGAGGCAGATTGGTGGATTGAGCTTGCAAAGATTCCTCCATGAGTTGTCGCTGCGAGTTGGTTCTCGAGTGGGTTGGTGAGCGTCGGTTGTTGCATTCGTCACACAATCTTTCACGGACTCGTGCCCCCTGTGAACCCAATCTTGAATAGATATTCGACCGACTCAGAGTACGGCTTGCAGATGTCTGCGTCTTGTCAGCCCAATCTCGTTCTCTCCCCAGCCAGTTTGTCTCTGACTAACTTGCATGGGATCCCTCAAAATGCTCGCCAGTATGCTCACGGGTCCTTCTCTCCTCGTTATGGGCTCCAAAGTTAGGGCCTTGATTCAAGTTGATCTGCCTGAGTAGTTGGCCAATTAGGTTGTTCTGGTTGTCGACCCTCTGCGCTAGTTGATCAACCCGTGAATTAAGGCTCACTTGATGCATAGGTCGGGTAAAGAGGTGTGGATCAGGCCTAATGGCGTATGGGTTAGGGCTCCATTAGATGCGCACACGGGTGCATACATCAAGTGTGGTTGCAGAGGAGGGAGATAATGAATTTGCTCCGAGACTGGGATGGCGTTGGAGCAGCTGTGGGGCTGTGTAACAAATCCTGTAGCTAAGTGGTGCAGCTGCTGATGTGTTCCGACGACAGGATAGCGCGGCATAGCAGCTCCGGCAGGATGACGCGTTAGAGCAGCTCTGGCAGAATGACGATCCAGAGCAGCTCCAGCGCGCGCGGCTGCAAGGCTGTGGAGGTCACGGGGCCATGTGGCGGTTTTTCTACAATTCTAGTAGCTGTCTGCAAAGGTGGTTTTGCAATTTCAGCAGCTGTCTGCAGTGGCTGTTCTGCAATTCCAGCAACTGTCTGCAGTGACTGTTTTGCAATTCCAGCAACTGTTTGCAGCGGCTGTTTTGCAACTCCGGTAGCTAGAGGTGGTTGCACAGCGCTAGGAAGCGGCTGCAAGGTGTTGGCAGTCATGGTTCTTTGCGGTTGCAACGAGGTTTCCACCACAAAACCATGAGATGGGCCCGTTATGGTGGTGTTGCTCTTTGTATGTCTTGTATCAACCATGATTGTTTGAACAAAGTGTGGAAAATGGATTTGGAACATGCTTTGAGTATTATTTCGCGCTCTCAATGAAAGCACCAATTTGTGGGAGCAAATTTCCCCATGAGAATATTCAATCCGAAAGATTCCCCTTTCTTCTTCGTCTTCTCTTTCTCCCTGCAAAATAGAACCAATAAGAGGACCACACCCGGGGGATGTTGGTCAAAGGCCCTCCGATGCCTAAATTAGTTCAAGAGTTTATAAGAAAAACACTAGCTAATTGGGGTACGGAGATGTGTTTATGGTGTAAACCGGGCGGCCGGAGCCTTATGTAAAAGAGAGAGAGAGAGAGAGAGAGAGAGAGAAGAGGTGGGGTTTGAGAGGAATTTTCTGCAGAGTTTCAGTAGAGATTTTAGACGTACCTCAACCCTTGTGCGTGACTATCTTTTTATAGTGGTCTTGGAGGTTAGTGTTTCAGAGGAATAATTCCGTAGATGGAAGGGAATTATTCATCCCCTATTTGGAATTGATTTGATTAATTAGGGATTTGATTTATTAGGTAAATCAAATCCCTAATTGTGGTAGGTATTAAATCAATTCCTAATTTGATTAGGTAACTCCTCATTTAATTGGGAATTGTGGTAGGAATCAAATCAATTCTCTATTTAATTAGGTAACTCTCAATTTAATTGGGTAACTCCCAATTAAATTGAGTAACTCCCACTTAGGTTGAGTAATACCTAATTAGGTCAAATAATCCCCAAATAGAAGGAATCATTTGACCTAAGGTTTTGATTTAATTCGGTTCCCACAAACATCAATTCCACTTTTCCAATCAGCTTGGCTTGGCTGCTCAGTGTCAAGACCCCAGTGCTCCACTCAGTGCCAAGATTGGAATTGCTTGGCAATGCGCATTGGAATTCAAATTCACTGTGACATCGATTTCTTTGGTGGAAAGCATTCACGCCTTGGTACTGAAACGTGGCAATGCTTGCATCGAACTTATAGGGAACCCAATTTGTGTTCTTGACGTGGATTTAGGTCGTGAGGCTTGTGTCAAATGATGGTGTTGCTAGCACAGAGTTAAGACTTTGGACATTGATATTGCCTGACCTGACCTTGGTGGTCTTAACTTTCGTGCAGTGAGTCCAAATATGGTCATGACAATGATATGAAAGCCCCAATGTAAATTGTCAATTCGATTCTCTTCTTGCATTTCTGCTCATCAGCGGATTGCAAAGATTCTGCATCACTTCTTTTCCATGTTTCCTTTTCTTTTCTGATGCAAAAAGTGAACAAAAGTTCTCTGTTTTTGTTGTTGGTTTGTTTTTCTGGGATGAAACTTAGGAAATTCTGGTATTTGCTTGTGTTATACATACAGTATTTGTACTTAACGAGCATAGTGTAGAGTTTACGAAGAAAAGGATAAAATAAAATTAAGAAGTGTGTTACATCGTCTCTGTACTTTTGTAAGCTTCAGAGAGATCCAGTTGTTTGTGTTCTAGGCAAAACCTTTATGCCGCGTCATAGATTCCTATTATTCTGTACTTTTGTTTCTATCAGTTTAATATCTGGAAATAGATTTACAGTGCAAATACTTTCTATATTTCTGTTATTCTAAACTTGAATTATCACTGTTACATTGCAACAGACGCATTTCATTATATATATTGAGAAATTAATAACTTATTAATAATTAAATTAAGTTCCTTAAATCCTTGGCTTTATTGGATTCGATAAGGCCTCTGCAACTTTCAAGCTTTCCAGCCCAGATTATTCCCTTTTGTAAGACTTTGATAATTCTTGATTGTCTTAATCATGGGACCGCAGAATTAAAAAAACAGATAAAATTTTTAAAGACATCTTAAACCTGCCAATACATTTTGACCAAACAAGCGATAATATTTTATTAGATCAATGAAAACGTACATAGAGAGCCATCAATATTAGCAATACAACAGACACAGGTAAAGCTTCCCTAGTGCCAACACTATTCACAAGGTGATTAGCAAACTGTGTATAATAGATCCCACATCACGTTCTCACCTGTCACTGGCAGTAGGAGATTTGGTCAATTGCAGGCAGAGAGATTCGAAGCTTCTATTGATATTTATAATATTTCCATTATCTCATGACTCGTGAGAAAAGCCTAAACGGTCCTCAGCTGCACCAAAGTCATTGTTCATCTATCTAGAAGCCAATAATTCCCACCTTCGGCTTTGTACGCGTTTTGTGTCTCAAATAAAATAAAAATCCTTCCCTTGAAATTTACATTTTCCTGGAACTTCATCCTATTCTATCACTTAACTTAACGAAAATAGGCCAAGCTCCAAACACTATATATAACAAACCACTCTTCCTTCATTTCCACAAACACCTCCCTCAGCTTTCAAGTTTCATCCTAGGAAACAATACCCCACAAGGCAAAAGCAGAGAAACTTTCTTTCCAATTTCATATCAGAAAACAAAAAACAAGTTAACATGGCAGAGAAAACCAACCCGGCCTATCCATTGGCACCATCAAATGGTTACACAAGAAGTGATGGAGAGTCTCAGCTGTCCGCTGATGAGCTGAAACGCAAGAAGAAAATCAAATTGGCCATCTATATTACTATTTTTGTTGTGTTTCAGATCATAGTTATCACCACCATGAGTCTCACTGTGATGAAAGTTAAGAACCCCAGGTTCAGGCTAGGCAACATCAACGTCCAAAGCTTTGAATCTGTCCCGGCAACACCTTCATTCGACACAAAATTCACAACCCAAATCAAGATCAAGAACTCAGCCAACTGGGGTTCCTACAAGTTCAATGCTGCCAATGTCACGTTTCAATACCAAGGCGTGACTGTGGGAGTAATTAATATCGCAAAGGGCAAGGTTGGATGGCTTTCGACCATAAAAAGAAATGCGGAGGTGAGTTTGAATTCAAGTGGAATAACTGGTTCAAATCTTGGAAGCGAATTGAGCAGTGGGGTGTTGACCCTCAACAGCGTAGGAAGATTGAATGGAAAGGTTGCAATTATGTTCATCATGAAGAAGAAGAAGGCTACCAACATGAACTGCACCATAGCTTTTGATGTGGCAGCCAAGACCCTCAAATCTTTAGAATGCAAGTGAAAGCACAGAAGCTATCTGTAAATTTTGCGATGCAGCTTGGCCATCTCTCTGTTATATGATGTGGATTTGCGACTGATCAAGTCTACTTCTTGGATTGTTTTTTTTTTTTTTTTTCTTTTTTTTTTTTTTTTTTTTTTGTTTGAGTGAGTGAGTGTAATTTTATGAATAAATCGTTGCTATTATTTTCACTGGGACTCTGGTTTTTCTATTTCTACGACTATAATTCTTATCTCTTCATTCAAAAAGTTGCCCAACTTGAATACAGTTTAAATGTAGCCCAAGTGGAAATAGAACAGTGTTGCATTAATTGAAGTCATCAATCATTAAACTTGATGCTTATCAAAAGCTTGAGTCTTGTCTAAAATTTTCATGCTGTCCATTATTGCAGAAATAGTTTTCTCACTGTAATCCGTGAGTCTTGAGTCACTGATTTGCCGTGACTAGTACAATAATTGGATAATGGCTATTTGAAGTCACATGTGTGCACTCAGTGTGAAAATATATCAGTGGATATTGACCCTTTTTCAAGTCCAACTAATATTAATATTAGGGTTTAAGTTTTCCTTCTTTATTTTTCTTTTCCGAAAATAGCTGAGACATGAGAATATGAACATAACTTGCAAAGAACGTATCACGTATAGTGTTTGTGAAAATTATTTTGTTTCAATAAACCATATTTGTTCACTAAACTTAACTGCTTACCAGTTGATGCGGTAGCGTAGATTTCAGTTTTTTATTTGTTAGAAATAAATAATGCTAATCGTGAAATCAAATTTGTGTTCTTCAGACTCTGATTTGGGTTCTGAAGCTTGCATCAATCGAAGGGACAGAGTTGGGTTTGGACATTGATGTTGCCCAACATGATTTTTGGAAACTGTCATGACAGCAGTGAGTTCAAAAATGGTCATGACCATGATTTGAAACACAATAAACAAGATTTTGACGTTTCTTGATCACTTATGGAGTAGCCATTGTGAATGCCTAGCTCTGCTGATTCTTCTCTGCCGCATTTATTTTGCTAGAAAGTTTTCTGAAACAAAAATGTTCTGCCTTTGCTCTTTCACTCACTAAAATGAATTGAGCAAGTGTATTAGGTGGTTGTCTGTAGGAATGCTGGCTTCTGCTTCTGCTTAGCCAAGTTGGCGTGAGCAGATACGATCCCCACTCTGCACCCGAGTTCAAATCTCCCTCCCTATTTAAATAAAATTGAAGTATAATATCCTTTGTATTAATAAAAAGAATGGTCAAAATGTGAATGTGTGATCTTCAATTAAAATGTGAAAATTGCAGATAGTTTAATATTGTGACTTGTGATGGAATATAGCTAGCTTTTTATATTTCTACTATTCTATACTTTGTATCAGGTGCTAATGGAGGAGTTGTATACTTTGCTAACTACACACATTCAATCTTTATTTAATCATATATATATATATATATATATATATAAAGTAAAAGACAGAGAATGGTAAAACATTCAAAATACCAGAAAATGTCATTGATTAATGCAAACATTAAGAATTGAAATTATTAATTAAATGAGGATAATATGGTAAATTCACACTTTTTCATTTAAAAAAAAAATTAAAAATAAAAGAAAATTCTGATAATAGATCCTATTTTTATGGAACACAACTACCAATTATCTTTTTTAATTCTAAAATAAATTTAAATTTTTTTAAAATAAGCCTTTTGCAGTCGCGGAAAGAGAGACTGTATAATATTAAACAAAATATTACCTTCAAAATTACCTAAGTTCCTAAAATCTATGGCTTCGTTGGATTGGTTAAGGCCTCTACAGAATAAATCATATTTTAAAATAAAAATAAATCATATTGACATAAGTTCCTCCTCCCGCTTGTGGTTGATGAGGACCACTACGCTTCGTTTGGTGTAGAGTACTAGCCTAATTCCCTAGGGCTTGTGCCCGATTTTTGTACTTGTTACCATTTTTTCCTCATTAATAAAACACTATCGCCCTTGTGTTTCAAAAAAAAAATAAATAAAAAATAAAAAACCAAAAGTTGGCAAAGTTTTAAAACTTTTAATAGTTCCCACATCACGTTCTTACCTGCCATAGGCAGATTTGGTCCATTCAATGCAGCGGATAGAATTTAAGTTTTCTCTGATAATTAATAATTTAATATGTTCAACTCAAATATCAAAAGGCTTAAAGGTCCTCACCAAAGTCATCCCTCCTCTAGAAAGTCAATAATCGCCACCTCCGCCTATGGACGCGTTTGTTGTCGTCTGCAACAAAATTCTTCCCCTGAAACTCACAGCTTCCTGGAAACTCATCAATCCGAAGGCGATATATATAACACACAACTCTTCCTTCATTTCCACAAACAACTCCTTCAACTTCCAAGCTTTCATCCTACAAAACCAAACCCTCCAAACAGAGGCAGAGATTTTCTTTCTACTTTCATATCAGAAAACCAAAGGAAATTAACATGCCAGAGCAAAACTACCCCACCTATCCTTTAGGACCAGCAAATGGTTACACAAGAAGCGATGGAGAGTCTCAGCTGTCCGCTGATGAGCTGAAACGCAAGAAGAAAATCAAAATGGCCATCTATATTAGTATTTTCGTTGTGTTTCAGATCATAGTTATCACCACAATGAGTCTCACTGTGATGAAAGTTAAGACCCCCAAGTTCAGGCTAGGCAACATCAACGTCCAAAGCTTGGAATCAACGCCTTCATTCGACTTGAAATTCACAACCCAAATCAGGATCAAGAACTCAGCCAACTGGGGTTCCTACAAGTTCAAAGCTGGAAATGTCACGTTTGAACACCAAGGCCAGACTGTGGGAGTAATTGATATCGCAAAGGGCAAGGTTGGATGGCTTTCGACCATAAAAAGAAATGCGAATGTGAGTTTGAATTCAACTGCAATAACCGAATTGAGCAGCGGGGTGTTGACGCTCAATAGCGTTGGTAGATT